GAAGTTTTGCTTACTTGGAAAGCTGGAATAACAGGCAAGCTGTAAAGAGCAATTCTGAACATCATAGACGTTTTTTTTTTATCAGAGAAGATTACAAACGCGATAGCGGAAAGATTTGTGTGGAACATTTTGCAGATAATGACAAAGTTCAAAGTTGGTAATTTTAATGTTTGCGCTTAATCATAAGAGGGTGTCATACAAAACTGTGCTGCGATACAATTCCATAACACAAAGTTTGCACCTATCGAACTTGCTTTTGTAGGTGAATTTATTAGACATATTACATATTCAGTTAATCGTAGGTAACATTGCTGGTACATAATGCATCGTAGATAGGTTTGTTTAAATTTAGGAATTTAGCTCATAGCCCACTAATTAATATTATCTTCTATGCAGGAGGTTGCAGGGCTGAATTCAACTTGCAGCCTTACCGATCACCTGACGATGCTCATTTAGTTTGGCTCGAGCAAGTCTTCTTGAAATGCTTGTGTGGATGGAAACTACCTATATTTTTTGCCTTCCTCCGATTTTAGACAAATTTATTCTGAGGGATTTCGCATATAATTCTCACTGATTGTTGGCTGTTTATAATTCCTATTGATTGTGAATTCTGATTATAACAATGAGTTGAAAATTTTTTACCTAATTTACTGGCACCTTTTTCTTGTCAATACTCCAAGCTGAGGTAATAAACATGACAATACATTTATGTCATCTGGAAGCAAAATATGCACACTAATTAATAGTTTGGCACATTGAGATAATACATCATGACAGAAAATACAAGTTAAAGATATGTATGACCATCACATGGTAATTAAAATTAAAAAAAATTAATAGGGGCTGTGGAGTATGGAAAGTTCAAGACAAAGAAGAGAACAAATGTTCATAGCTCATGAACTCTCAATTTTGCCTCCATTGCTTTGTGAAGGCCAATATATTTCGAGTGGCTGAATTGGTTTACCTTTATGATAGCAACGATTTTGTATTTAATATAGCGAGATTATTTCAATTTAATTGAAGTGATATAATTTCCCAAAGCAATGCTTGAATCGTCTAGAATAGATCAGTGGTGTCAAACTCATGGGTTTTCGAGAGCCGCATTGCATTTTGAAAATTGTAAAAAGAGCCGCAAACAGTTTTTGATAATGTATACTTAAAAGATATTTTTAAGATAGTTTTAGTTTGTGACATATATTGTGATGCAACTAAACAGTTGGATTGGGTTTTATTATTTTCTTCAATTTCAAATGCAATTACATATTAATATTTGCATTCCACTATTATTGCAACATTTGCAAGTTACAGTATTTATTATAAAAAATCGTAAAATTCTATGTACAACCATCAAAATCATTTTTGAACAAGCTTTGAATAAGGAAAGAATAATACATACACTAAAAATAACTTAATCTAAATATATGAACTTAAAATTAACAAAAATACTACAGTATAAACTCAATGTTTTATTAATTACATTTGTCCTGGCGTTTGGCATCTTTTTTGTGTCACCAGCATACTAAGGCCAGTCTGAAATGATTTTATAGTACCAACTCTAACTAACGAGGCCACATGATCATGGGTTTATCTGGATCTTTACGAATGTTTAATTAATTCCAGTAATGCAAAAAAGTTACTTTTATCATTTCATGTATAGATCAGTAAAAAAACAAATGACAGATTTTTTCGACAAGACATTTCGCACTACATTGCGTGGCATAGGATTGCTTGAATTATTATTGATATTGATTTTTAGTAACTAAGTCGTTGTATAATTATATTAATATACAAACACATGGAAATTTTCTGTTCGAAGTTGGTCTTCGAATTTGTCATATTGACTGCTGAGCTTATTGTGTTTTTTGATTGCATTGATGGAAATATGACAAATTAAACAATGTGCTTCAGAATTTTGTGAAAAGCAGAAATGTTACAACTCCCATTTTCTTCGAAAATGCCACCTTCCTCATGTACTTTGCGTTTAATTTAATTACTCAAGTGTTTTATTCAAGTATTCTTTTGCTAGCTTGATGTGTATTCTTAATTGGGTCAAAATGTGGACAAAAAAAATTAATATTCCAAAACTACTTTCAGTAAATTGTTTTCTGTGTGAATAATCAATTTCACTTTAGAAGGTTTGAAAAATCTATTACATTTACCGGTAGATAAAAAAAAAACTTCCAAAATACTATTACAATTATTGTTAAGCGTTCGAGGGCCGCACTGGAAGTTCTCTGGGGCCGCGAGTTTGAGATCCCTGGTCTAGATTGAAGTTGTTCAAAAAATATATGATATTATTTTATCATGAATGATGATTATACCCCTTCCGGAATTTCTTCTATAGTACTACCAAAAGTTGATGAACCAAATATAACACAGGTGCAGTGAGGTACCCGTAATCCTCATTTCCAAAGCTGTTTTAAGTATGTCTGGCGTGTTTTGTGCCTTTTTACAAATAAGACCGCTTATGCAATCTTACGCTTTGGAATTTTTAGTTATTTTCCTCAAGCCCTGCAGGATGTGGGGGCCATACACAACTCTACCGGAGGGTCAAATGTCTTTGCATGCCTCCATAGGTTGTTTTTCTATTGCAAATTTCTATTTCAATTGCATTATATTTCTTGGAATCACACTGTCACTGATATGTCGCCAGACTTCTGATATCTCCCCGTCTGCTATAGTTGTCCTGTGAATAAATAATAGAAATTGAGATTAGACGAATAGTTGAAAGTTTTGCTTTATGTCGGCTTAATTTCTTGATTGATATACTTACTATTTCTGCTATTGCCTCTTGTGCTGCAAGAGTCTCACAATGCTTAGACAGGTTTGTCCACAACTTTCACATCTGAAGAAAGAGAGGAGATTTATTAATTTTCGTTAAGAATAAATAAAGCAGTCTATATGATTCAGAATGGAAAAGCTAATAAATCCAATATCTCATGTTTTATTTAAAAAATATTTTACTGAATTTGGTATATAAACCAACTAATAAAAGGGTTTAGTCAGAAAATTACAAGCATTCGTGGCTCCAAATACTTGAGAAATCAGACTATACAATATAGACCGGTATGAGTGAAATGTTAGGTGAACTTGTTAACACTTTGATTCAATACGCAAATAAAAGTGAATGCGTAATAGTATGTTACAATGAGCAGCAATCAACAATGAGTATATATCCTCACTGATTAAAAAAATCTAACTGGAGGTGCATGAACTATTTGAAACCATAAGGGGTAAGTAAATATGTAATTTCGGCAAATGGGCAACTACGTACCGTACTGAATTAATAACTTCGTAGTATTTGACAAAGGCTGACTTTCCCACATGTACTTAACAGTGCGATGCCCGGGTGTGATATACAACAATAGTATTCACCTTACCTTTTACCGATTTCTTTTTACCCCAACTTTTAAAAATATCATTAAAATCGACAACAACTGTCAAAGCAGGCACGAACACCATTCGTGCTACGCCTTGAAAGCAGCACACATCCGCTCGTTTTCGTCTCGTCAAGTATGTGCATTGGAGCGTGCTATCGAATACGATCTTCGGACAAAAATGCCGGAGTTGCGCATCATGTTGTTTAATGTCATTGGTTCCATTTACGACAGTAATACAGTCATCACCGGCTTAGGAAATTTTGTTTAACCTCGCGGCGCAAGCACCGAATTGTTTTTGGCAGAAGCCACATTAAATGATATAGCTCACTCAATTTCTACTCGATACTTAAATTTTGACAATTTCTTGTTGAATTTACCTGTTTCTGGTTCCCAACATTTACGACTGTGATAATAAACGCACGGAACCGCAACTCCAAAATATTAACAGCTTGAATTATGAATTGTTTCCATGGCGTCAGCATCGCATCAAAACATTGGAATGGCGAGATTGGTTTTCTCGTGTTTAGATTGGTTTCTCTCATTCCTCCATTCAATACCGTAATTGAATTGAACTTGCTTGTTAAACGATTCTATCTCGTTGAAAGTTTTGAATTATGGCCCAAACCTCATTCAATTGGGTTTGTGTTTTTGTGTGTGTGCTGTTGGGCAGGCGTGTGATATTTCTGTATTTATCATGTTTTTAACCTTAGGATAGGATAGGATAGGATTTTACATATTTATCCCGGGGGAGAGGAAAGCCGATAAGACGGCTTATCCATATGGCGAACCACGGCCTCTCGTCCGGTTACCATTCCAAGTCGGGTATGGGATTAGTTTTACTGTATTATTTGTTTTCGGAAGCATGGACTTGGTGGTGGAGGAAGCCGTACCTAACCGACCAGCGGTTACGTGAACCACCCAACGACGGCGAGGAGTCCAGCAATCCTCTCGCACATAACCATCCCTGCATGGGATTCGAACCTGCGAACCCACGCAGAGTAATTAGAGGTGCGGTGGCGAGCGTATTCCTAACGCTTGGCCCGTTGAGCCACACCGCCGCGCCGAATAAAGGTTTTGCTTGCTCTCCAGAATTCTCCATTTTTAATTTGCGTGTGTTATGGAGTTTTCAAAATAATATAAATATCTAAAGTCTGAGATCTAACTGGGACTTTTTATTTGCCGGTACCGATGTACGGTACCCTAATTTAACGTTAGCATTTTCCGAGTTAGGTAGGCATGCAGTTCAGTGGCAGAAAAGGTAGACTATTTTCAGCTTACTCTCATAATACAGTAATAGGCTTGATTGAATCATCTTGACACAACGTGTGCGATATCTGATTTCTGGATTTACAAAGAAGCTGTTTGTTGCTGTTGTTTTTATCTGAATAAATTGATTTTGAGTCTGAAAGTTGATGAATCTGTTTGCTTTAGATTTAGACCATTCGTGCAATATTACTGTATTATTTGACAAATACCTGGACACCTGCACATCATAAGAATTTATTGCTAAAAATACTGTATGCTATGCAAAAAAAGTTGGCTCGTACAAGGTCTCATGTATGAGGTACGGTACCGTAGTAAATTCCACATAACTTTGTCTTGACTTTCATATACAGTATATTACAAACCAAATAAAATTTGAAATACAATTTTGATGAAAATTATTTTATTCCGTGTGGAAATAGAGCAACATCATGGCAGCTGGATCGATAGCCGTTCCTACTATTATGCCTCTTCGAGTACCAATCCTTGGAGAATCAAAGAATGTGATTGATTCAAACACTTTGATCGAACTTAAATCTGGTAAATTTATTTGAAATATTGATTCATGTAAATGTAAAAATTTATATGAGAAATCTTTTTTCTTTCTGATGTTGAATATTATTTACATAAATTGTTTTCGCTATGTAATTCGAGAGTTCTGCTGCACACTAACACGTATGTATTTCAACGCAAGTTCACAAAACTAATATGGCGGATACCAGGAAAACCAAACGGTATGCGGAGGACCAGTGCCAAGGGAGTTTATTAGAATCCGGGAAACACTAAAAACACTACCACAATTTGTCTTACCTGCTTATAGTTAATGAACTAACGATACTTGACAATGCAATGACAATGCAATGACGACATGTAAACATGGCCCTGTGTTTCTGTAACGTTTCTTCAGACAAGCAGTTTACAACAATGACAAGAAATGAGCTATCATGGGTACCCGCTGTAGTATGTGTACCAGTTTGGGGTTGGGCCATAATTTTATTCCGATTTCCGATTCTATTACAAGATCGTGGACTGTTGTGTCAGCAAAGTGAATATACCCCCTGCCCAGTGGTTTTAGTCCCTTTACACAACTTGATGTAAGTAGGCGAACAAAATTAGTTTCCTCCATATTGGTACACACATTTCTGGAGCGCCCAATCATGTGGTTTAAATATAGAAAAAAAGTTTATTTGAAATTAAAATCTCAAATTACGGTAATTTTGTTTTCTATTAATTAATTTGTAATTTTTGCAATCACAGGGACAATTGGGACGAAGATCTATTACACTGTTGACAACACAAGGCCTGAACCATTCCGAAAGTTGGGTGAAAATACTACATTGATTTACAGAGAACCATTTATGCTTAGAAGCGGAAAAAGAACTGTGAAAGCTGTTTCAATGTTAAAGTAAAGCTGGCCATTTGGTTTAGATTTGATATACTCTACATTGAACTATGACCTCTCTGCTAAAAATGTTGCAACTAAAATGTTGTTTTTTGTTATCACTGAATCTACCAAATAAATTTCACGTTTATATGGAATTTTCATGTGCACAGCATAATCTGCATGCCATTCACTCTGAACATGACTGTACGGCAGTCACTGGGAAAACTTTTCTATATTCTAGATCAGAAGTATCTGAATGTTTTTGGTGTGTGTTTGGTGTTCCAATTCATAACAGTGTGGGTCAAGTGTTTGGCAAAGGATTTCAAGCATATGACCTTCAGTTTGACATAGTTGAAGCTAATGTTCCAGTTGCTATGTAGCAAACCTTTTACTCTCTTTCATGATTGGTGGGAAGACTATTATGGTTTAAATAATGTTTAAAATTGATTCAATTTATCATGGAATTATCTTATATATTACTATTTTGCTATGATTCATTGGTAACGATCGATCAGTGCGCTTAGCTTTATCAGTTTTGAAAGCCATTTGGTCAAATTCAACCACAGTTACTACTTTGGTAAGCAGAACTTGTCGACTATTTTCATTGCAAAGATTCATTTACCAATATTGACAACATAGATGTAAAATGTTTCTAATATTCAATTTAATATTCCAGGGACGGTAGAGAAAGCAACATTGTTACCAAAGTATTCACCGTAAAATACGCAGAACCTACTGCTCATTCCGATTCTGATAGCGACCAAACTGACAATGATAAAAATTATAAAATAGAAATGGCAAGAGAAAATAAGGTAACAATATTCACAACTTCTTCAGTGGTTTCCCACTTTTTTCCATTAAATTCCTTCTTTTGGCTATTTCGAAACCCTATATTCCTCTCTTCCTATGCCTAAAAGCTAAATTATCTATTCAGTATTTATTTTATCAGTAGGTGGTGTTATGTGCAAGTTTAAGCCTCGCTTTTGTACAGTTTGCGTATATTATAATGTTGTATGATGAGTAGGCTATTTTATTAATAATGAGGAACAAAAGACTAGTAATGATACAGCAAATACGAAGCAAAATTCCTTTCCAAGAGAATGGTCGTCTTGTGTAGCTTTCTAGTATACATGCAAGTATACATGGTATGACCATTGTGCACTCTGTCTCATTTGAAAATGTTTATTTTACATTTTGCAACTGTTTCAGAGAATGTCAAAAAGACTGACAACTTCAATTATTGGTGGTGAACCATTGACTTTACAACAAGCATGGAATGCACCCTCACCCAGATCACCTAAACAAAATGGTATGTTGACTGGGATTGGATAGGATTTACATATCAAGAATTAGATTATACATATTTATCCTGAGGAGAGATTTGGACTCTGAGATATTTGTCAGAGTTTAGTGCATATTTTCACAGGCTGCACTGCCCTGGTGGGATGGCAAGTTAGTTCCTAGCAATACAAATACATCAATTATACATGATAATGACCAACAGAAATGTACATCCACGATATTATTGTGAAGAGTTTATATTGATTACCAAATTGCTTACTATTGTTTTTGAAAAATGGCAGATGAATAATACAAAAGTAGAAACAACTCTTTCATAATGAGCTGCAATTTTATTTTCAGGAGCGAATAAAAGTATTTTATCTCACCGAGCAGATTCGATAAGAAGATCTTCGAATTTCTCATTGAATCAGGAAATCGACACTTTGAGGTCTGTTACTTGGGAATAAAGTCATCTAATGTTTCGATACTCCCGATACTTCGATACTGAGTGCGAAACTTTTTTTTTGGCATAGGAATTTAGAAAAAATTCAAAATCAGAAATCGCCTAGGTCCTAATGCCAGTTTGCATACATAAAGCTCGAAACTACGAAATAATAACTAAAGATTATAAGACATGGAGAAAAGATGCGACAACAATTTTTTCATTGTACAGACATTGATTAAATATCTATGACCCAGCGTCTGCTATCCCATGATAAAAATGTAGTTTTTGACCCTATAATTCAAAAGGTTTGCGTCACTGTTTTGGTCTTTTTAATGTTCGAATATGTGTAAAAGTTGTTTTTGTTTTCAGATGTGTGTATTGTGATGCTCCTCGTTCTAAAAGCTCTTTTGCTCGTTTTTGTGGAAAATGTGGGAAACCAGTCCCTGTTGAAGCTGGTGCACCAACTGTGGAACCTGGATCTGTGAGTGTTTAAATTTCTTTTGCAAAGAAAATCCCACAGAAAAACATTGATGTTTTGGATATTATGTCTTGAACTGCGAGTCATTTCCCCTTGTCTTATTCCCACTTCGGATCTGTTTGTGTCCATTGTCACAAAGATGCTTGGTGAGATAGTACCAAAGTGATAAATAAGAATAGCATAATCTCTTTCCACGAAAAAGCAAGTATATTTTTTAGCTTTCGTTATATCGTAGTCTAACTTTAAGCAAAACAAATTTAACTTAATCAAACAGCAAATTCACTGGAAGTATTTGATGGAAATAGATTATGTTAATTTCATTTTAATAAAATGACATTGTCTTTTCTGCAGATGGGAATGTGTGTGAAGTGTAGATCTTATATTCCACTCAACCAACCGAATTGCATTGTCTGTGAAGAACCGATTGGACCAAAACTCAAACCTGTGTCTAGCATTCGATTTGAGGTAAGGCTTTACAGAGGACGAGATTTATGCCCACCTAACGTCTTTGGTTGTAAAAAAAACTGTCTATATCAAGCTCGTTCATTTTATTCAATCCACATTCAAATGAAATTCACATGCTAGGCAAATTTGAATTTCCATGGTAAGTATTGAAACATGTTGAATGCTTGAACATGATTGGCATCACACCACTGATTATACATGAAAAAGTTCTAATCCTGTGGCCGATTATTATATGCAGGGATTCCATCGATCTGGAACCCAAAATAAGGACGACTGGAAAAATTTCTGCATTGTGATCAGAAATAGCTGGCTTTCCTATGGGCTCCAGGTTAATGTCACAATTACAGACGTCAGAGTGTGCGAAGCACTTATCCTTCAAGCTTCACTTAACTTTGAATTCTTTCTCGTACTCACAAAAAACGTTCTTACGTTTGCTCATCTTTAAATTTAGACTAAAATAACCACCACCACGACAAAACCTAAGGATCGGCACACTAACAATGCTTCATGCGTATCTATGCCTTGCTTTTTTTGTGTTCCAAATAAGATTGTGTTTTTTTTATGCCACAATAAAGCTTTGGCCATAAGACAAACAACACAAAGCTTCTATTATGAAGTCCAAATAAGGACACGCAAGCCAAAAATAAGGACGCAAGCTAAAAATAAGCCAAAAATAAGGACAAGGACGGTATGGAATCCCTGATTACATGTGTGGAGTTTGTTAGATCCACGATAATGAACTTTATCCAACGTCCATGCCCATGAATCTCAAACAATTAACTATTCTCATATCCCAACTCAGTGGTTTCCGAAGTTATTTGACAGCGAGCCAGGAAAGGGATCGCCCCAAGGGGGCCAATACTAGTAATGGTATGTATAATTAGTGAGATTCTCAAATGAATTGTTACGAATATACAATGCTCATGAAATATTAACTTAAATCTTTACTTAGGCCTGCAGTGTTGGAACTGCTGTCTTAACTAGACTGGTATCTGGTAGAGATGTATCGGTATCGGGTATCGGTATCGGCAATATCGGCCATTTTTACGGTATCGGCCATGTATCGGTATCGGTGAGATTAAGGCCGATATTTCCGATATATTTACCTTTTTGATATGGTCCAGAATATTTTAAAGATAAGTTGGAATACTACTTTTTAATTTATTTTTTGTCTGGAGAGATCGTGAGCTATGAGCCATACTTGTCCCCACCCCCGCGAGAGAATAGGATTCACGTGTTTTTAGCTATTTATCAGCCAAATTAGCTCAACTAATTTGGCTATTTTCGCTGTCAAATTTTTATATTGAAATTTTTAATATTACATAGTAATTATGAAGAAATATATCAACACGGCACATAACAAAAAGCAATTAGACGCCCAGTTTTAAATCATACAGTGGAATTGGGGTCCTTATTAACGGCACATGGACTTTTGGCACGGGTATAAATTTTGACTGTTTGTCGTCAAGTACGAGTGTCATTCAGTCCGTCGACATCAATAAACTAAATTCCGACACAATTATCCCTCTACGCAGGTATATATAGATATATTGACATGACCGCCTAGCCCTAGACTATCACAAAATATATGATAGCAATTGTATAATATTATAAAATAGTAAAGTAAAAAAATGTCCTCGACGGTTATAGGTAGGCCTTCTTTTGGTCGGTGCTGATTGATATTCTTTCATGTTGGCTTTGACTTACTTATTGCGTCGACGATATTCTTTTAAACACGAATAACAATTTTTGAAGGTCGCGATATTAACATTAAATTCATATTGGACATCCCGGCTTATGAGTTTCAATTGAACACCGAGATTACTAGCGTTACTGTACAATGTATCTTAATCAGTTAAAGCATATGGTTACCAATCATTAATTTCATATTATGCGACATATATATCATTTTTTTCGATCTGAAATATTGTGTACTATGAACAACGCTCAGAGACCATTGTTTTAACCCGTCTGCCCTACACAACACACCTAATCAAGTAATATTTACATAGTATCGGTATCGAAATATCGGTAATATCGGCCTTTTTGTAGTATCGGCGTATCTGTATCGGCGTTTTTAGCTGGTATCGGATCGGTATCGGCGACAAAAGTGGTATCGGTGCATCTCTAGTATCTGGACGAGAAGCCATGAATTACCATATATATAGCCACCTTCGCTACTTTTCTATCCAGTTTGGTAAATATGAAAATTATATATTGTCCTTTTTTACCTCAGGACAAAATTATCTGTGGATCATGTGGGACTAAAAACCCATCATCTTTGACACATTGTGCCTCGTGTGAGCATCGATTTCCTGGACCAATACACACTGAGGAAACGGCTGCTCCTTTACCTAAATTGGATGGTCAGTTGGTCAAATGTCCAGTGTGCATGAGAGTCAATAATCCTGATGCCAGATTCTGTGACTGGTGTGGATCAAAGGTATATTTATTTAGTTTTCGGAAAAGAAGTTTGTGTAATGGTATATTTTTGGTTATATAGACACAGAAATACGGGAACAAGCAAATTGGCTCTGTAATTGGAAACGAAGAGTAGCCTACATGTGGACTGATTCGTTAAATTGCTATTATTGGGAAAAATCATTCTTTTCGGCCGACTAATGGGTTACCGACTTCGAATTGAATTTCAACTCTAAAGTCCAGCTCTAAACTATAGCAAACCAAATTTTACAAATAAATATTTTGTCATGTGCCCTGCTTGCATAGAGCTGGGCATATAGAAACACTGTTTTGAGCAGTGGCGAATGGCGATAGCATTTTTTGTTATTTGTGACAAACTTGTGTTTTGGTTCGATTTTGTTTCAAAGACAATTTTGTTTTGATTTCGAAACATCGGTGTTTAGAAAATGCCAAGCCTTAAATGCAAGTTTTTTAACTGCCTGTTGAGAATTCTTAGTCAACTTAATGATTTTTAAATGGGGACATTCACGATGATTGTCAAAATTAAAAGTCTAAAATCCCCACTCACAACACAAGAGAATTCAATATTTTGACTCCAAGTCTAAGCTGCTTGGAGTTTGAATATATGACTTCGGCACAAACACTAATGGAACATACTCCACAGCCCTGAGCTAACCAACGAAAAACGACTACTTTTTGTGATTTATACATGGATCAGACCCGATCATACTGATTACCATTTATAATTCATTCAACACCGTGCATTCAAATCTTATACCCTCATCTCATCCAGGGTGTAATCAATTTGGTAATGGCAACGCTGAACTGGAAATATTCTATTTCTTCTAGATAATAGTAACTCATTTTAGTTATAGTGAAATATCAGCGACTTCCTTATACAGGGCCTTGTTCTGAGCAAAAGGTTAACTGAGTGTCGAATAATAAAATAATAATTTATTACAGCCGATACCAGAGCAGAATCCTCTGACATGCTCATTATGCAAGGCGAGTAATCCTCCATACTCAAAGTTTTGTGCACACTGCGGAGCAAACTTTGCTCCCCCGAATCGTATGGATCCAAGAAATAATGATCTCGGTGAACAAATTTGTGACTCCTATCCCTTCGACAATCTACCAATGTGGCAAGCAATACCGCTACCTTCTGTACCAAGATCACCTAGAAGGTATGCTACAGATTTTTCGATAACTTGTAGAAAACGTTTCTGCTTTCTACAGGTACCTGATAGTTATATGGTGTTGCTGTGATAATTACAACACCCATGTTTTCCACCGGAATTGGGGGGGGGGTTCTTACCAGGGAGGGATTTTATCATTCCTGGGGCAGAATTTTGAATTTGCTGTAGGGTTATGTTATTACAATATTTACAATACCATTTATTTATATATTTATTGGTTGTTTTACAACTATTTCATTGTAAAAAAGGGAGCCACACATAGAACTAGCTGAGGGTCCATTTAATATTAAATAAACAAAGTATTTGGACCTCCTGAAGTATGCGCACTAAGATGGCGCACAACCTGAACTCGGCTTGTGTACCAGGTTAGGGTTCAGGTTGTGCGACGTCTTGGTGCGCATACTTCAGGAGTACCAAGTATTTTTCAGCATAGTGAGGGAGGAATAAAGAGTTTCATAATAGACAAAGGGACAAAATTACAAAAAAGGGTGTGAACCACTGTACTGCACAAGAGTGGGAGATCTACCTCAAGCTAGGCCTATAGCGTGATGTCTACTGCTGCATTTATTTTTTTTTTTTGGATAAGTCGGTGGTTCCTAATCCTAATCCAAAAACAACAAAATTCCTCTTTGGGAAAGAATTTCTCTCCAGTTGGGGAAAGCGAGGCCAATCAACTCTGGAAATGAATGAAACTGTCATGTACATAGTCATAACCCAAGGAATATAAACTTGTCACACACCACACAGGGTAGTTAGGGATCTAGTGGTGAGCATGATTGTAATAATTTGTAGCGCAGGGATCAGCAAACTTTTGTCGTTCGCACGCCAAAATTAAAAATTTGAAAGTCATTGGCGGGCTGCACATATTTTTAGAAAGTTAAAAATCGACGGAATTGCCGATGAATCACATTTTTTCACACAGATTTCAGTTAAATTTCAATCAGTGCGCGAAGACTGATCATTTGAATATTTTCTGCGTCATTAAACCATTTGCACTCAGCATCAACTTTATTACGTTCTGTTGCCATTTGTCTAATTATAATCAATTATAGGCTCATTAAACGAGTGGTTGTGAACTATATATCTGTTAGGTTATAATATAATTTAGTGTCTCCAAACAAAATCTGTCGCGTTAAGAATATAATCATCAATACATCTGTTTTGTTAATATAATTCAGTGAAGCGTCGCGGGCCGGATTATATTTCTCCAGCCCGCGGTTCGTAGTTTGTCGACCCCTGGTGTAGCGTAATCAATTGTTCATTATCCATAACAATCTCACTTCATGTTTAGCACAAGAATGCTTCCTGCTCCAAGACCCAACAAACGAGATGACTACACACAGACAGTCGGTCTCTTTTATCCCGGTGGAAAAAAAATTCTACAAGATCAGGATGATTTAGCTCAAATGAGATCAGTGGAATTCAAAATGAGAGACAAAAACCCTCCGCTGACTGCTATAAGCCCTGGAAAAGGTTGGTTAAATGGAATTTGTATTGAATGAGAATTCGTTCGGAACAAGCACGTATACTGCACATATGGTATTATTCATAGATATCCCATTGAAAGCTGGGAATTAAATTCATTTTGAGCAAAACTTAAGCAGATGTAAACCATTATTCACAAGAATTATTGTCTTTAGACTTAAATTTGATATGAGCTTTTTTAACTTGTTTAATTATGAGCAAATGTTTTTAGGTTATTGGAGAAAGCAACTTGATCATGTATGTGGACATATCCGAGGTTACACAACAAATAATGTCGAATTTCGATCTGTGTTCGGAGAACCAAGACTAGGAAAGGTAGTATCGATATTACTGACTGTTTTTTAATAAAAAAAAAGATTGGAACAGTAATTTTTTTGCAATCCAGGAGTGTGTGTACCAATATGAACGAAACTAATTTTGTTCGCCTACTTTACATCAAGTTGTGTAAAGGGACTGAAGCCTATGGGCAGGGAGGAGTAAATTCTCAATAAACGATTAAAGAAAAGTTGGAATGCACAAAACTTTGACTCCAAAATTTGTTTTGGAAACGAATACAGAACAAAAGTATCCTTGAATCAGAAGTCATATTCAAAATATTAGTTAACTCTGAGTTGTTTTTAAATGACTTCCCAAACATACTCTGGATACTTGAACGTTTCTAATATATGAATATAGTAGTGTGAATATTTTGTTTTTATATTCATATTCAATTTAAACTTTCTGTTTTTATTTAATTTTTTTCATGCTGTGTTAGACCCCACCTAGGGTGCTGCTCGATAACCGGCGTCACTCCACCCTGAAATGCTATTCTTCTTTTATTCTACATCGTATATGTACGTCACATATTTTTATCATTGGTGGAAAAATGAATTACTGACGGTTCAGGGTTTATCTTCAAAGTTGTGTGTGAATTTTTCCGCCTCCACACCCCTGGTTTGAAATATCTGTCTGAACTTTTAGGTGACTGGAGCTGCTATTGATGAAACTGAAGATGAAATGACGATCAGTTTTACCTTCACACTGAAAGGTCATACTGAATTTGGAGAAGATGGATTGAAAAGTTTACGCAGAGGTAGGATTAATAATAGGATAGGATTTACATATTTATAATCGATAAGATGGCTTAATCATATGGCGAACCAAGGCCATCTCTCGTCCGGTTATCATTCCATGTCAGGTATGGGGTTCGTTAGCCAATAATTTGTTTCAGATGCATGAATTTGATGGTAGAGCAAGCCGTAACCGACTAGCGTTTACATAAACCATCCTACTACGGCGAGGTGTTCAGCATCCTCTTGTACATACCATAATTATCCCCCATGGAATTCGAACATGCGGACCAATCATAAGTACGTGGCAAACATATTCTTAACCCTTAGCATGATGTGCCTCACCGCTGGCCAATGTATGTCATTTATGTAAAATGTACCACATACAATTTTTTCTATGATGCTTATTATCTTTTGCTATGAACAAGGCCTTGTACAAACATTCACTGATATGTGAGGTTCTTCTGTTTTCAGAAAGACTATAATCTTTCTGGTTTGGCATTGCCTGCACAGTTTATTAAAGATTGAACACATGAAGAGTTTCAGAAATAAAGTAGTTGCTCTGATTTTGTGCAGAATAGAATTACGAGTTTTCCATTGCCTCCACCCTGGGTGTAGAAGTTGGGCAAATGGCTAAATCCAAAGTCTATAATGCAGGGGTGTGCAACAGGTGGCCCGTGGGACACAATTCCGCCGCCAGGCTGTTTTTTGTGGCCACTCTGATTTTTCCCATCAAATATAAAATCTTAATCCAACAGTGTATTTTTAAAAAGGCGCTCACATTGGTGGAAATGCATAATCTATTTTTACTCTTGATGCTGCGTAAAAATCTTGCATTGTGATAATTTTTTAATTTTTTGTGTCCATGGAAAAACTGATTTATTTGTGTAGTTCAGATAGGTATTTGTAGTTGGGTATAATTATGGACCGCTAACAAAAATGTCGCACAACCTTGCTCAAAGTTGTGGTGCCAATAAAGTTATATTTAAAACCCTTGTCACTGGATCATTCGACCCATGTCTGTGTATTTTGAGTTATACTATTTTTTTTTTTTTTGGCCAGATATCTACCAGAATCTAGAAAAGAAAGTAGCTTTTGGCAGCACTTTCAATCCCGAGAAAGAGAATATTGAAGTAAAAGCCGGTAAGAAGAAAAGTAAAGGAAAGAAGAAGCATTCAACCAACAATAAACTGGACAAACTGAGTGTAAGTAGATATACAGAAACAGGTTCCCTCCACCATCAATTTCGTGTATCTGAAAACAAATAACTGTCTAACTAATCCCATATCTGACATGGACTGGTAACAGTATGTGAGGTCGTGGTTCACCATATGATTAAGCCATTTTAGCGGCTATTCTCTCCCCCGGGATAAATATGTAAATCCTATTCTATTTTAAATATGTACGATAACTCAACATTTGAAAACGGAAAGCTAATTTGTGTGATCATTAATTAGACCAAGTCCTCACCCCTGTGCTTGCTTCCGGTGATTTACTTTTTCTACTAATACGTGCTTCATTCACTTTATTTCATCCCATTCACCATTTCTCGTTGTGTTGTGCTATTTTACTTTGGAATTGAAGACATATAGGACACCGAATACCAGAGCTGATATTTGTCCACATTTATGACTTTATTGTTTGTATTTTCACTGCTCCTCGCGTGTAAGACACAGTCAGATATTAACACAATGCTCACAAGATTCAAGATCCAGTTTTTTTATCTTGTTTTTATTCTATGCTTCATAAGAAGTTTCGGCAACTTTTTTAATCGTCTGTTCTGTGAGTTTGTTTTTACCATGGCGTAGTTTCAAATTCGAAGCTTTTCACTGAACTTATTTCATTGGGATTCCCCTTTGAAGTGCTGCTATGTTTGATAAAAAGCAGCAAAATATTTTTCTTTATGCAAAAAATTTGTATAAAGTACAGAACTTTACAGTCAACTGCCAACAGAAAAATGCAGACTTTACATGGCTGTGAAAGGACATAGGTTCTTAATCTGAGATGTATAGGGTGCTCATAAAGTTGCAAAGGAAATTTAGCGATACCATATTTTGTTTTGGCCCTCATTAAATGAAGTAAAAATACTTAAACAATTACTGATTGAAAAACAACAAACCTGATTAAGATATAATGAGAACTGACTTAACAGAATTGGAATTGTAAAGGGACTTTATGGACATCCTGTACTTCTTAGAAACGCTTTAAGGTTGGAAATCCTTTACATTTATCATAACTTTTACTCTATATGTATGATAATCAATAGTACATTTTTTTCATTCATCAGCCTGAAAATCGATTGCTCATCAAAGAAGTAGGACCGAAAGGTAGTGGTCGTATTTCAGAAATGAAAGAATTATTAATGGAAGGTGCTGACACCAATTGTGCGGACGGTGATGGTGTGACGGTGCTCAATCACGCTGTGATGCAAAATCGTCTCGCTTGTGTGAAAAGTTTGATAAATGCAGGAAGCGATATAAACAGAACATCTGCTGTAACACAGAACACACCCCTTCATGAAGCTGTAAAATTAGGACCGAATGGAAAAGACATAGTGGAATTACTGCTAGAGTGAGTTAGCAAATGATATAGGGATTTCAAAAGATGCTTTCTCAACTCTCGAACCCAGAAAGTGTTCAAGTACTCCCATAGTGTGTGTACCCAATTAGGGTTAGGCCATAATTTTATTCCAATTGTCCTTATTTTAGTTCTGTTCGGGGACTGTCTGTGATAGCTAAGTGAATATACCCCCTGCCCATAGGTTTCAGTCCCTTTACACAACTTGATGTAAAGTAGGCGAACAAAATTAGTCACCTCCATATTGGTACACACACTTATAGAGTGCCTATTTTCGTACGCATTTTGAAATTTTTAAATGCTCATCGTGAGAGTATTCTGGGGATACAGCACTTGCAAACTGTTTACGTTTATTAATCACCGTTTTGATTTTCATTGTTGTAGCAGCTGCCATCAAACAGCACTGGTTGCTAATTTAAGAAATATAGTTTATCCTGATTTTTCGTTGTAAATGCATTACACACTAGGTGAAGTGGGAGACAAGGGATTGCTGGACTCTTCGTCGCTGTAGGTTGGTTCACGTAGTAACTGTTGGTCGGTTACGGCTTCCTCCAACATAAAGTCCACGCTTCCGAAAATAATTAACTGGCTAACTAATCCCTTACCTTGGATTTAGACTGGCAACTGTATGAGAGGTCGTGGTTCACCATATGATTAGGCCATTTTATCGGCTTCCCTCTCCCATGGGATAAATATGTAAATCCGATCCTATTTGAACTCAAAATATGTGATGCTGTTTGGTTCGGTCACTAAAAACTAAGTAATAATTTTTGTTTGGTGTTATTCAGAAATCATGCAAAAACAAATATCAGGAACGCTAAAGGATTAACAGCATATGATCTTGCAGTGAAGGCAGATTACAACAGCATAGTGATGTTGTTTAACGCTCACAAGGGAAAAATGATGGTCAACAAAATGGTCAAACCAAAAGGTAAACAGGAAAAACTAAACTTGAAGAAGAGAATTTCGTCTGATTCCGATTCTGAATCAGATGAAATTGACATGTTTTAATCAACCACACGATGTGGACCACTCAATGATGACAGCGCAATCGGTCTCATTATCAGCATCGTAAAGTTTATTGTTTTATGTTTCTCCATGTTTCGAAAATATTAATTTGTTTACTAACCCTTTTTATGAATCCTTTTACACTGCGTTTCGAGCTCGGCTTTTAACAATCACAGGCTATTATGTTTTGTAGTTGAAACCGAAATCCAGTTTGGCCAATTTGCAAATTTTTCACATCTTGTGTAAAGTGGAAATTATGAATTTGAGCACTAGATCTTTAGACTGCTACGTCAAAATAGTTCGTTCCAAGAGAATATTCCATGGAACAAAAATGGGTGCTCTAGGAGTGAATGTACCAATATGGAGATAACTAATTTTGTGTAAAGAGACCGAAACTTATGAGCAGGGGGTATATATTACCTTGGCTAACACAGACAGTCCCCGAACTTGCAATAGAACTAAAATAAGGAAAATCAGAATAAAATCATGGCTTGGATGGTCAAAACCGAATATTTCACTATTCCGAATACATTCTGAAAAAATATTTTTGAATATGGGATATCGGATACATTCAAAATTAGGGGCAATTTTTCATGTGGAAAATACATAAATCACTATTTCTTCTTATTGATCACATCTAAAACGGTTACAAAATATAAAAATTATTGTTGTATTCTGTGTGTTTGTTATCTGTTGAGATATCGTACATTTTGATCTTCTTGTCTAGCGGCTCAAAATCTCTGATTTTCAAATAAAAATATTCCAAATATTACTTCTAAATTAAAAAAGTTTTATATCGAATATAATGAAATTTGAATGAAATCGAATATTCAATTCGTTTCGGACATCCCTGATTTCATACATAAATAAGTTAATGATCAGTGAAATATTTGACCACAAGAAAAACTGGATATCCCCGTCCTGCTCGTTTGATACACTGAATAACATCTAAATTTACAACATTGAAAAGATCTTGGGGATAATTTCCTCAGAAGTATACAATATTTACCTTTTTTTCTATTTTTAAACATCTCCCATATTTGTGTAGAACATAGTTTATATATATATTTAATATGAAAAATATATGTGGGTGAATAATATTTCAACATTTATCTATAGATAAATAGATAGTTCAATTTTGGAAACTCCAAATTACTCACAAATTCTAAATGTAGAATTCTATAAACTAATATTTAATGGAGTGATCTTTCATGAACTTTATTGTGAATTTTCTTCTCCAGTAAAAATTTGTGTTGATTTACTTTACTCGATTTCGTTGATTTACTTTACTGATTGAAAAAAATAAAATTGACCGAGTATGACTAAACTCAGTTTTTCTCACATTTCTCATCCTTTTGGCTGTGCATGGTTTACTATGTCCAGTAGTTGCCGGTCCATTGTTTGATTACACATTGTTCGAACTATTTTAGTTTTTTTTTTATATTCCTGCTAACTATGTAAAAATTTATATAATGCATTTGAATTATGGAAATATTTCGGTGTTTTATGTTTGTCTTTTGTTTTATTATTTTTCGATCTTGATCGGTAAGTATATTGATAGGTATCTGTTTGTTTGTCTGTTAGATACACGCGATATCTCACGAAAGCGAGGTTGAATCTGCTCCAAATTTTGCATGTGCATTTATCATATTTCGGACCAGAAGCCTATTGATTTTGGATGAATTGTCGTATAATTAGCGAGATATTAATTAATTAGTGATGAGACACACAGTGTCACCATGGAGTAGGGGCGGTTGAATCGAAACCGCAGTTTCTGTGTTGGGGATCCCTAACTTTCGATCGGTAAGTCTTCGGTCTCCGACAGATATTCTCGTTGAGGATGTATTGGTGGTATAGGTAAGATGAAAACAGTTGGTGCTCCAGAAGTATGCGCACCACGATGTCGCACAACCTGAATCCCAACCGGTACACACATACCATGTTCAGGTTGTGCGCCATCTTGGTGCGCATACTTCAGGAGGTCCAAATAGTTTATAGTAAGACTAGTATGTTTAGTTTCACAATTGAGAAAGATATGAACACATGTACAGATAAATTAAGTGCGCGCATCTGTCATGAATAACTCGCTAACTCGGCGGTTTCCTAACTTTCTGTTCGTGCGGCCCAAATTATCAGAAAAACAACTCACGGCGCACCTACACACAAAAAAATTGCTGTCTCAAATAAAACTAAATTTTTTGATCGTAACCGAACACTACGTAACAGAAAGTGAACAACATAGGAAGATAAAATGAATTTATTGATCCGTATACTGAGCATTTAAAAAAGAAACTAAACATTTATAATAAATACAATATGTAAAATATTCAATCATATATTAGTTATGTTTGACACAAACCTGTTAATTTTCGGGTCGCACTTCGCAAATCGCCACGGCACCCCCTTTTGGAACCACTGGTCTAACTTATCTCATTCCTGACATAAACTGGTAACCGGACGAGAGGCTGGGCCGCTGGGGTACTGTGTATACCGTGTGATTGGGTTTTCTTTCCCCTGAGATAAATATGGAAATCCTGAATGTAGGAAAATAGTAGATCTTTGGTCGTTGTTCATAGTCATAAACGATGAGAACGCACTTGCACCTATATAGAATAGTATTATTCAGTTAGTTCAACTTGAAACCGTATCGTATGGCACACAAGTATGCACACGTGTCACGTTCGTGGGATTGATAAAATCGAAAATTACGGTTGAACCATTACCGTGGTACGGTACGGCATTTCAAATTAAAAAAAAAAAGCACGAAAATTTGATAGGCAGATTCAAATAAGAGATATAATGCGAATTGGAAGAGTTATAGTGCTTATCACCAGCTCGCACCTGCTAGTGGACAACAATAACTTCCTTCCATGACCCAACTTGCACGCACTCAATAAGTTTTTTATTTGAATTGATATAGATAGGATAGGATTTACATACACGGCTTAATCATATGGCGAACCACGGCCTCTCGTCCGGTTACCAGTCCATGTCGGGTATGGGATTAGTTAGCCAGTTATTTATTTTCGGTAGCATGGACTTTCCTACTAATCATACCATAAACACTTTATATGGTCATTGTAGTATTCATATTTTCGTTACAGTATTCATACGCTTTTTGCATTTGTGGCAAATAATCAAAAGGTATCAAAAATACACAGTGAGGCGGAGAAGCAAAAAAATACAAATTCGATTCAAATCAGTGTGATATGCTTTGCGCGGCCATTGTGATCAAGTAAATAATATTTTCAGAATAGTTATACATAGTTTTCTCCAGTATAGATTTTTATGGACAATATTAAAATGTATTTCTCCAGTATAGATTTTTATGGACAATATTAAAATGTATATTAAAATTTCTTTTCAAAACTTATAGCCGTAAGCGTTATTATCCAACGCAGTATCCGTTTAGGTTGTAGATAACACAAATACCAATGAATCAGGAGCGAAACGAGCAGGAAACGTATATTATTCTTTATTATCTAATATATTATTTATTTGAAGTTAAAATAAATAAACTATAATGAATTGTACAGGATTGTGCGTTTCCTCCGATATATTGACATAAATATAATGCAGCATCCCGTGACTAATCGAGAATAGTTGTTATTATGCAACTGCCGAGACTTTTTGTTGTGCAATCAGATATTGGATCACTTTTAAAATATTAACTTGTTTTAATCGAAAGTGTGAAGGCTGCGATTCTAATTCATGATTATAGGCAAGTTATGAACATTGATAGGATTCAAAATTGTAACAGTCTCTGTTTTACAGCAGGTTTTCTCAATTTAGAAAATTTATGCTAATTATGTCACCACGTGAGCCACACTAACATGTAAAAATGGGTTCCATTACATTTGAACCCATGGCAATTGTACCTGTATGCTATTGCACCTGGAATTTTTTTTGTTTTTCGGATAGTTGAACTCATACTAACCCTAACCCATGGGTTTTAGCACCCGCATATAGATTAAACCCGTGGATATACACATGGGTACAAATGTACGGTCACCGTACAAATGTACATAAATCTAATACGTAACTTTCGAAATACCAAATAAAACAGTCGTCAGCTGCAGTACACATTTGCTACGATCGTCTAAAGCAGCGGTTGCCAACCTTTTATGGCTCGTGGCCTCCTTCCGGATTCTTCTAGCACTTATGGCCCCTTTGTTTGTCCCTCCAGTTGTATTTATAGTGTTATTTCTATTGGTAGATTCCGAATCCTATTAGGTTCATGCTCAACAAAGTGAAAACATCCTGTGAAATAACCTTGTCAAGCAATAAAACTGGGAAAAACGGGGAGATTTATTGTAAGGGAATAGTAAATCAGTTTTGCGCATAACAGTATGGCCTTCATCCAATTGTTCTGTGGCCCCCTCGAGACCGATTATCTGATATCTAAAACAAGAGAACTATGCTCAAATATATGGACACGTAGCGCCACCAAATGGCAATAATTTTGATGACGTCATAGCAAAAAAAGGTGATAGCCTTCTGGAAATTTAATTTTTTTTTATCTTTAACCACTGAAAATTTCAAAGCAATTGGTCCAGTATTCGAAAAGGAAAGCGATTTTTTTAAAATGATGGAGACAAATAACAATAACAACAAAATTTTGAAACGATCGTTATGTCCACTAACTAAACGTGTCCAACAAGAACGGGTTCGTAGACAATCACGACATTTCCAGAACGGCTTCGTGAAAACCACTAGTTATAATCCGCAAATGTATATGATTACTGTTCAACCATCCGTAATTAACCATGATTTGTTCCTAATATAAATTGATCATTTATGTTGACCAGTATAAATAACTTAATTTCAGACATAAGCGAGTTCAAACTAAATATGCTAGTATCGCTAGTAGACCAGCCATGTCCGACTAAAATGTTTTCTGGAGCCACAAGATATGTTTCAGTTTTTTCCGCGGGGCACGCATTCGAAAACATTGCGAGTTATGTTATAAACAGATGGTTGAGGGATTAGTAAAAAATTCCACGCGGACCGCATGTGGATTACTAGTACTACACTCCGAAAGGTTAAGCCAAGTGTACATTAGTTAATGATCACCTTTGGGTACTCCCGTATCTAAATTTTTAATTCTATTACGAGTTCGGGAACTGTCTGTGTTAGCCAAGTGAACTTGATGTAAAGTAGGTGAACAAAATTAGTTACCTTCATATTGGTACTTCTGGAGCGCCCACCTTTGCTTCATCATATTTGGCCTGGCATATGGATTAGATAAGATAAATCATGAAATACCATGATATGCTACATATTTTATTCATACAAACATTAAATGTTTATCATACGATTAATAAAACAGGATTTCAAACTTCCTCCGATGTAAGGCGTTACGCATCGGAGGTAAATTGGAGCATCCGATCAATCCCGAGAAAATGACTCACAGAGCTGTAAACAAATAGCAATCGATTTACGAAACACAAATCTCAACGAAGTACAATGCAACTCAAGAGTCTTTCTCTGACATGGGCAAGCTACGGCCCGCGGGGCGAATCCGGCACGTTGGGTAATTCAATCTGGCCCGCCTGATGCTGCCACAACTCAACTAAAATCATTTTGATGTTTTAACAAAAAAATAGCTCATAGAATTTGTTGAGATTGCGATTAAAATTTGGTTTTGGCACGAGGTTTATTGTTTTCCTTTTTTGCTTTTTAACACAGTAGATATTGTTCATATAACGGAACTTCTTACGTCCCACTTACATGGCCCGCTAGTCTAGTTGGAAATCCTTGCCCACCCCTGGCTCTTGCTGCACACTACCACAAATGTATTTTTGAAACGTCTCGTCCGACCACATGCGGACTTCCACAACCAGTTTACAACAATGAATCTCCCGTAATCTCTACTGATAATTGAATTGACGAAGTATTACATTCATTATCCACTAAATCTTAACTTTATTGTCGTTGAAATAGACAGCCAACACCCCTTACCCTTTGTATTGAGAAACTTTACTACACAAACACATAGACCTTCATCAAAATAATATAAAATCCATTTTATCTATAAAGTATTGAAACTTGCTGTCAAGACGAGAGTGCGTTCGACTGTTGACAATGCTCAGCCAATTTAGAATGCTGTATTTAACTAAATCAGTTTGATTAGAAGTTTGATGTTATTTATAGGTAAATGGATATCGGTTTTCATATTTCGTATATTTGAAAATCTCGTAAATCTCTACTTCGCATTTTTTTTTTTTTATAAAAGAAAATATAGGACATCCCCCAAAATTAAAATCAGACCCAGTCTTATTTTCGAAGAAACACGGTATCAGTTATAGGGTCAAAGGTTATTGTAGAGTTGACTATAAGTTTATATGTTCCGTTAGCGTCGTGTGTGCTCCTGTGTCCAATATAATCTGTGGGTAATGTTTGATTAACAAGTACAAGTTTCGGCGATCCAGAAGTATGTGAACCAAGATGGCGGACACCCGAACGTAGTATGTGTCCCGTATTAGGCCATAATGTCATTCCGATTTTCCTTATTTTAGTTTTATTACGAGTTCGAGAACTAGTCAAGTGACCGCCGTAGTATTTGTACCTGAAATTATGGCTCTTGTACACATACTACGTTTCGGTGTCCACCATCTTAGTTCACATATTACGGGAGTACTCAAGTTTCTGCAATACAACATACTGAATCGTAAACCAGTCTGTCAGTGGTATCGGGAAAACTGCGCCCACTAAAACATACCACATTGTTAAACCAAAGAGTTTTCATAGACAGATAAATGGCCGCGGATAAAACTGAATCGGCACCTGTTTCGGCCCGCGCTAAGCAGATGAAAAAGGCTTAGGCCAGCAGGAAGCTAAGAAAAAAGCCCGTTGGCTCTTTGGCGGCTATAAAATGAAGGTATTGTTGCTACTGCTTCATTCAGTGTGCAGTTACATTTTGACGAGATAAACAATCGTTGAATTGAACAATCATTTTGTTAACGTGGAAACAAAATCAGGAAGAAAAAAAATGAAGTACTTCGTAATATTCCTTACTTTCATACTTTGCCTTAGAAATGCATCGGCTGGTAAGATTAAGTAATTTCTTACATGACTTAACGTAGTTGTTGTAGGTATGTGAAAGTACCAGATATTTTCGACTGCCTAAAGATGAATTTCAGGATTAAGTTTTTCTTCTCACGTTTCCGAAATTCTAGGGCGTAGCCTACACTTCTTATACAGGATGTTAAAAAAGTGACGCAAAATTAACAGAAGTTAAGATGAAATGCTACTTAAAACATTTGACGACTGACACTTTTTAACAGTATTGAATTACGGTGGAATGCCATTTAAACGTTTCACAGCTGACGCTTTTCAACAGTTACTTTTTTAAGGTTGCCATGACGAAAAATCTGTACCTTAATTATGCGTAACTTTTTACCACCCTATATACACGCAACCGTTCAGTTAGAGTAAGACAGTATTATTAAAGTAAATATGATAATCGTTATCGATAGAAATATTTCCCAACCAATGAATTGCTAAAACACGAGTGTGGCATTTAACTTATATTTTAAATCCCATTATTACTTATATTGTATATCATCTATATATATACCTGTCTATGTGGCTGTCTATAAGCCTGTCGTGCTGTTGCAGTCAAAATACAAAGTATTCTTGCGAAAAATATCTATATATTTCATAAAACAACGGTGAAAACCATTCACCAAATGTTATCTTTGCACTTGTCCTATGTTAGTTTGTTTTAGTACAGATTGGATCTGTTTTCCAGATACTTTGGCTTGTGACTCTGTCGACATTTCTTCTCAAGCTGATGTGGCTGCCGAGCTCACACTAACCGTTTCGTGCAACGCTGCCTCAATTGATATCACGTAAGTATGGAATTTGACAGAATTTTTAGATATTTTCTTCTGATTTCAGTTACGTGCATTATTATCTAGTCAGGATGGTCCAAAGATACAATACCAAATACGATTTTTTGATTATCTTCCAGCCAGATGCGGAGCACAGATGAGTACGCGGGCCTGGGTTTGGACCACCCTGATTCAGATGATTCTTAGAAAATGTACTTGAGATTAAGATCGTTTATGCTTCGAAATGATATTATGACAATAATATTACATTAGTAAAAAGGGTTATTTTTTGGAATAAGTTAATTGTATTTTTTATCATTATGAAGATCCCAAATATTATAACGACGGTGTCATTTTTTATTCATAACCTAAAACGCAATAAAACTATTATTTAAGTGACCTTCTTATAATGTAATTTGTTTTTCAATACGTACAAGAAAAAAATGGAAAAATCAATTTTTCGCCAGTGAAATTTAGCAAACATTTTAACATTGACTTTCACTATGAAATGCAGGCTTAACGCGTGCATAGTTGAAAGAATGGGACAGACACCTGAGACAGATTTGACGTTGGCGGGTCCAGCTTCCGTTACCGGGTTCCCGCCTACGGGTGTGACTGCCGCATGCCCTGATGCCACTCAAGCTTACGTCGCGGCGACGAATCTTTTGACCATTACCATAAGTGATTTTCATGCTTGTGGCATGGTGGCAACCAGCGTAAGTATTCTCAATTGAATACGTAATATTTGACACCACATTTACGACCTTTATTAGGTTAGAGTAAAATGAATGATAAATTATATTGTAAACTCAAAGCAGAGGTGTAAAACAGTTTATTTGTATCACAGGATGCCACTAACAACATTTACAGCAACGCAGTACGAACTATTATTGCTAATTCAGCAGGTGCCACCATTCTCCGTCATTTTAACATCTTGGCCGAATTCACTTGCGAATACCCGAGAACGGGATCGTCAATAGGATCGGCCTCCGTAAGCCCAGTTGTGGTGTGAGTATAATACAGATTTGATCCAATATTTTTTAATATGCTGCTCTAACAAATTACAATAGTTCTTTACCTATTGTGACACAACAGTTGCTTCTTGTAGGCGTCGTATTAAAAAAATCGGTACTCATGTAGTATGCGAGCCAAGATGGCGTACATCGGAACGTAGTATGTGTACTAAGTTAGGATTAGGCCATAATTTTATTCCTATTATCCGTATATTAGTTGTATTACAAGTTCGGGGACTAGCCAAGTGACTCCCGTAGTATTTGTACCTGCAATTATTGCCTTACCCAAATCTGGTACACATACTACGTTCCGGTGGTTAGCATACTACAGTAGTACCAAAAATCATAGAATTTGTGATAGTTGTGGTTTATATTAGGTAGCCTCACTATGAGATTGATTCTATTGGAATATGCTAGCAGCTACATATCTATACCAGCATGACGTGTCTTTTTCATTACAGAACTGCAACAGTCACGTCCGTGACGTCGACAGGCGACTATGCTTCTGCTGCAAAACTATGCTCTTCTGAAGCATGCCCTGCTGAAGATGAACTTACGACTGGCAGCTCGGTCAATGTTAATGAGGCAGCATTCTTCATAGTAACCACGACCAATACACATGTTGAAATCGAGGTGATAGACTGAATCATTTCTCTCAACCGTGATAGAGTTTCGTGTTGTTTTTTCATAAATATCGTTATTCCCGTTAGATCGGATGAATTTTTTTTTTATAATTTAACCCATTTGCATTCATCGTATCTATATCATCGCACCGGAAACCTATTGGTTTTGGATGAATTATGTTGAATAATTAGCGAGTTATTAATTAATTAGTGATGGCACACGCGGTGTCGCTATTGAGTCAGAGCGAAGGATACACGCCGCTAGATCGATAAGTCGGCGGTCTCTGATGGCTAATTAATGCTAAGTGATTCTTCAATTATTATGGCTCGTGTAACATGAATTTATTTCCTTTTCACAGATTACCGCTGTCTGGGCAACTACTGTGGCAGATGACACTTCATCTCCTAGACATGATATCGTCACATCCTCGTCAGTACTGAATGTTCTTAGTTTCATATGTTTCTAATATATTGTGACGTTAAATTAGCTCGTCGCTTTGCGTCGCTCACCATCCACCTCCGTTAGTAAAAGGTTATAACGCAAACGCAAAATTGAGATGATTAAGTCTTTAAGCATGAAATGTACCACTGAATCGTTTTGTTTTATTACTTATCGATCTTAAGATCGGTAAGTATGTTGATAGGTGTTTGTTTGTTTGTCTGTTAGATGCACGCGGTATCTCACGAAAGCGAGATTCAATCTGCTCCAAATTTTGCATGTCCATTCATCATAGCTCGGATCAAAAGCCTATTGATTTTGGATGAATTATGTCGTATAATTAGCGAGTTATTAATTAATTAGTGATGGGACACACGGTGTCACTATGGAGTAAGACCACTGTTTTGGGGGATCCCCTAACCTTTGATCGATAAGTCTTCGGTTTCCAACCGAATTCTAGTTGTATTTTTATCCATTTTCTTACCGTATGAAAAAATTGCCTATTTTATTAACTACTGAACCAATTGCCTTGAAATTTTAGGTTTAGGCTAAATATTGTATTTCATACTAGAAGGCTATCACTTTTATTTATTTCAAACATTTCTGTCGGCTCTAAAAGATTCGTTTTTTTTGTGCGGTGATGTCATCAAAATTGCGCATATCGTGGCTGTTCCGCATTTGCGATCTGGTGGTCAGGCGAAGTCGTGAAGGCTGCGATACCGGTAGTCTACTGCGACAAATATATTTGATCATCGCTCTCTTGTTATTAACATATTTCGTGTCATGATATTTCAGATGTCTTGCTGATATGGTCGCAAGTGATCTCGTCCACAATGCAGTCTCACCAGTCCACGTCAAGTTCTTATGGTTTGTCTGGGCTTCTGATATGACTCTCCCAGTCTTCTTGCATATAGAATGGACCTTGTGTGATCCTACCACCGACACTTGTGCTGCCGTAAGTGTTTTTGAAAATGACGAAATAGAAGAAATTCAATTTTATGCCAAAAATCACGAAGTTGTGTACCATATTCCATGCACGGCACATTGCAGCAGAAAGAGTGCACGGACTGCAATTGCAGCAATGCGCGATAATTTTGACATCTAAAACTACTTCTATTTATATTTTTCGTGTTTTCTAGTTAATTAGTAAAAGCCGGGTATTAGTTCCATGGGGTTTATTGTTATGTTAGCAAAGTTTTATTAGAACCAGAAAGTGGGTCCAATTACCACATAGGCTACTGATGACACTGTCTGATGGTACAGGCTGACCTGGTTGGCAACCATTCCTAAAGGGTAGACTAGGGGTTCCCCGACTTAGTATACGAATAATTGAGTGTTCGAATTAATCTTTTCACAACTTCTTATGTAACTTATATATATATTCTATCATCCGATGTTCCTAATTCCAAGACATGAGTTCAGCAACTCTTTAGGAAGTCACATTTTCACCCCAAATGAAACTTCGCAATTCACGTGACTTATTTTGTCCAATCACAGCACGCAAGCCAATTTTGGTGGTACGCTATCGATTTAAAAATTGTTCAAGTGGTACATAATAACATTGAGTTAGGAAAACCATGGTCTAGATAAAAATTTCAGTGACAAAATTGGTTCTTGCTTGTTAACATTTGACAGTGACTATGGGTGCTAAACACAAACCTTATATCTACAGGCTACATGTACTGGTCGTCGTCGTCGTAGTGTTCTTAAGGACGACAGGCAAAAATACACCGCCACACTCGGACCTTTCACAATTGGAAAGTAATTCGGTGAGTAGCTGAAGTTCAAATATACAATCGTAATCTGTAATCAGTATTTGTCGAAGATAAATAAAGATTAACTGGAGTATAGCAAAACGATGTAATTTGCCGACGTTTCGAAACGTCGGCAAATTACATCGTTTTGTTATACACCGTCGTGCTTTATTTATCTTCGGCATGAATATACCTGGTGACAATCATGCGCTGTAATCAGTATTATCAGAGCTACGGTAATTGTTTCAGATCAATTCGAAGAATTTGGTATTTTCATCATAAGAGAAAAAATCGTATTTTTAACTTTTCCTTCATTGAAAATACATTTTTTTATATTTTTATCGCTATTTTCCGTATATTTTTCATTTTAAAGAAATAGATTAATTATGAAATTACGTACACATCATATCAGATTCCTGAGGTTCAGTGAACTCCGTTTAATTGTTCGCAGGCTTTTTTCTATCTTGGTAAAAGTCTTGTAGTTTTGGTATCGGTGCTCCCAAAGTATTCGTACCAAGATGGCGCACAACCTGAACATAGCATGTGTTCCAGGTTGGGGTTGGTTCAGGTTGTGCGTCATCTTGGTACAAATACTTCCGAAACGCCCTGGTATCAATATCATGACAACTCCTGGTTGGTTTAATTAAGTTAACTCTTCTATTTAATAATGATGTCTTTTTGTTTTCCATTTCATTGGCTATTTTATTTTTATATAAACCTATTGTAAACATAATTCTTCATTTTAGTTTCATTGAAAAACGGAAAAAACTCAGCATTGAAAGAATATTAACTCGAAGATAATTATTTACTCAAGATGATCAAGTGTATTTGTCTTTTACGAACAGTCTCCGTCACCGTGTCAGCGGTCATTCTTTTGTGCTGTTCATCGAATTCTTTACTAATTTACCTAGTTTCGTGTCTACAAATAATTGTAATTTGTATAGACTTCACTTAGGAGTTTTTAAGTTTAAAATATTCTTGTATCTAACATCAATTTAGGCTAATTTCAACTTGGGATTTTTTGAATTAGACTTTACTGACAAAAAATCACATAAAGTAGCAAAGTTTACTAATTTAATGTCTGGAAAATGATAAACCTGCATGTTATTATTGAATGAGTCATCAGTCTTCAAATAAACTGAGTAAAAATGTGCTTTTAAATCATTTATGCGGGTCGTTAAAACAATTTTTTGTTGTGTTACTTATACCCTACTCGGAATAAAATAGAAGAGAGAACAATGTTACTTTCTTTCTATACTTTGTATTTGTGAATGGCAAACGTTACTTATGAAGTATTGTAGTCATTGAATTAGAGAAATGGTGTGCAACCTTTCATACAGGAGGGCCAGATAAAATAACTGGATGAAACCGCGGGTCGCACTTTTATTTAATAAAAGCTTTCTAGTAGTTGCAGGCACAAAAATTTTGGTTATCGATCTTATGACATTCGTTTTTCGCTTCGCATAAGTTAGCTTATAGGGCATTACAGCGCCATAGGCATAGATATTGAATTTAGGCACTTCTCCGCGGGCACTTTTCCCTGTGAGCGCATTTGGTCCGCGGTTTGCACATCCCTGAATTAGAGAGTACATCTATGCGCACTGATCCATATTCTAGCACAAAAAGTCACTGATTCATTTTAGCTCGTTCGATTCAAATATGTTGTTGTCGCATGCCGTGATCGGGTTAAAAACCGTGTTTGATATTTGAAACTTTTTGACCGCCTATTGTTTAAAAAAAAATCCGTGACTTCAATGCATGTTAGCATAAAACAGTTAAAACAAATAGATATTATAAAATAGAATATAGATATTGTCTACAATCCACGTCAATGAAGAGCAAGAATGGAATCTCGTACTTTGACCCAAACGACTTGCGTGAGATCAGATATGGGAATATCTGACGAGTATTGTTTAAAATGCGTGGGAATTGATGTTGAAGTGACGAAAGTGATGAAGACGAGCTCAGTACTCCTTTCCCACACAAATAACACTCCAAGGCGCAGTGGTTCCCAACCTTTTTCGTTAAATTCCTTCTTTTGAAACTCTTCATCCTTTCCCTATTATGCATGAAAACTACTCATTTATGCAATCTGTAATGGACCCTTAGCTAATGTTAGGCGCAATTTACACTCCTGTTTTTGTTCAGATTATGGGGTGAAGTAGTCTATAATGTGTGAATGATTAAGTATTATAGTAATGATGAACATTTCAAAAATATCAGTAATACTGCAGGAAATACTACAGCAAATTTCCTCCCCAATAGCGACGTAAAATGTCTCTGGGAAGAAATTTCTTCCCGGTTGGAAAACGCGGCGCTCCAGAAGTATGTACACCAAAATGGCGGACACCGGAACGTAGTATGTGTGCCAGGTTGAGGTTTGGCCATAATTTTATTCCAACTTTCCTTATTTCATTTCTATTACGAGTTCTGGTACACATACAACGTCCAAGTGTCCGCCATCTTGGTGCACATATTTCTGGAGTACCGAAAAGGCTGCTTGCTCTACGGGATCCAAATCTGCAAAATAACGAATCAACCAAGTGTGCAATTGTGTTCCCAACGCTTACCACTAAGTGTCATTCGCCAAACTCTATTTGGGTACTCAACTCATTACCTATGGACAAATAAACATATATATTCTCTGTTTTTTGTGTGAGGTAAAAAAGGCTTCAATGCAATTTGTCGCCGAGTGATGGTCATCTTAGCCCAGGCGCGAGAAAAGTTTTAAGGAAAAGGACTCATTTCAGAAAATCATTAAGATAATTAACCATGACGTTTTATTCCCACCCGCTATGACAGTGTCGAATTAAATGGTGGTCGACATTTTTAAATTGAGATGGAAAAACAATATTATCAGTTTTACAATTCATAACTTAGTTTAGATTTGTCAAATAAAGTTGGAAAATTAATATAAATTCTGTATGCAGTAGTGAGAAACTTTAATGACTTTCTCCTGAAACAGGGGAGGCACGCAAAATAGACCCGTGGGGCCGTCTAAGTCTTTTGCCGTAGTGAACGCTTTTAATTTGTTGCAAATTTTAACCAAATAAAAAAGTGACAAAAAGGACGAACGCTTCCATTTTTTCTGATTTTATGTAGCAAGATACAACAAAATATTGAATTTATCGTGTCATGATAACACGTTCGTCATCTCTAAGTCATCAGGGAATACTGCTTTATCGTCGATATTTATGTCAATATATCGGAGGAAACGCACAATCCTGCCTTATTCATTAGTTCATTTACTCTAACTTCGAATAACAAGTTATATAATAATTAATAATATGCGTTTCCGTCTCGTTCCTTTTCTGAATCATCTATATGCATGTAACGTGTTACCTATAACCTATACTGCTTAAGATAATATACATCTGCCTTTAATATTAATTTTTTATTTCTCGTAAAAATCAAGACGGGAGAAAACGATGTATAGTTATTATGAAAATCCTATTTACTTAATCATAATGGCGAGGGAGATAACATCCACGCTGATTTAAATGGGTATTTTTCCGACCCTTGACCCCAGGAATATTCTTTCTATACTATTGCAAAATTTAAGAAGCTTATTATAAGAGCGGTGATTTCGCGAGTTGGCTGATCCGCATTTTCAAAGTAATCGCTTTGATACAAAAAATTTAACCAAAAGCCATTTGAAAAGTGCCGATAGCTGATTTTAGCCCTGTCAATCGCAGCTCTTTCTGGGCTATTTTTTACAACTATTGACTGAAGTTCCTCATAAAACAGTATGACCACTGAGTTATTCGATCTATGCATACATTTCGGATACAAAACTAAAACTGACAATTTCCAAGTAAAACCACAAAAATGAATCGTACCGCAAAATCTTTCGGAGTCAAAAATAGTCTGAGCAGCTGCTAAAATTTCAATCTTCATTGACATATTTCTAATAAGCCAATGTTACGAAAGTAAAGAGGGAAGACGATGCTCAAGAGAGACACCCATCGAATTTTGAATCGAATCTTTATTTTGGTTTTCAATCCTCACCAATGTAAATGTCCAAATGTTTTCCCCCCCAAATACCAGGTATTATCATTATTTCTCCATTCCACATCCCACATTAAAATCCAGTGCCATGATAAAGATTCTATTGTAAATGTCAGTCATATCAAGTGACACCGCTGACTTTTGTTTGTTGTATTTGTGCTGGATGATTCGTCTCCGCCTTTTTCATTGACTCAATACATAGCTTATCAAAGAGGTGGCGCAGTGAAACGATTTTGAATTTTGTAACATTAATTCGAGATCCAAAAATGCTATCCATCACAAGGTTTTGTCAGATTTGTGGGCTGTGAAATACAGCAACTTAATACTGCCCTCGTGCGGAAAGTGATATTCAAAAATAATTGAATGAAGCTCATACAACATCACATTTTATTAGCACATGATCATATATACCAATTATATTCTTGTCGGGGATAAATAAAGCATATGCCTATACGTTTTATAGCAATTTCTATCAAATTTCAGTAGAGAGACGTCAGAAATGCGTCAGTTGTATGGTGCAGAGATCTTCACGCCCTTAATCTATTTTATCTGCACTATTCTCTTGGCGATAATAAAACGAATATATAATAACCACAACAGTTTAAAAACAATATTATTTTATTTCGCAATTACAAAAGATTGCAATCTAATATAGTAGTGTAAATTTTTATGTGTCGCCAGCTTCATTGACGAATGGTGTGACATACTCAGAGTGTCTGATTCCGATCGAGTATTGGGGAGCTCTGGGGCGGTTGTAGTTAACCATCTCTGGGTGATGAGCTCCAGGGCCTGGCTTGGTAGTTTTATCTCCGGGCATGTACCTTCTTGCAAGCATGGAATAGCAGGGCGCCTGTTTACGGTTTTTGTTGGGATCGACAATATTGTATCTCGCTGGTCCAGGTGTCTTCGCCAAATCTTCATCGAAACTGCCAGTGACGGATCTCGCTGTCATCGAATAGCTCGCGCTCGACACTTTGTTGATCACCTTGCTGCCCAACAGCGGTGGAAGAGTGTAACTGTTCGGAGATGGGTACGAATCACATGCTCTGAATCGAGTTCGTGACCCCATTGAATATTTTGGTGCGTGTCTCTCGCCTTGCGGGTGGACCTTCTCGTTCTGATAATTTCCAGGACCCGGTGTCTTGAAAACATTGGGATCTCTAGGGCGACCAAGAATAGAATAATGCGGCGTTCCATCTCTTCCATGTCGCGTGTACCTGGTATCGATAAAATATATAGGACCAGGACTGAACTTGTTCGTCGAGATAAAAGATGTTCCTAGCCGTTTTCCGAACGAGTACGCCGGTTTCATGTTTTGTGTAAAGTCATGACCACTGAATCCGCAAGTCGATGGCAATTTGTACCGCCCTGGTCCAGGTCCACGCAATTTTGCAGCAATAGGAGGCGAATCTTTAACTTGAACATCTGCCATGATCGGAACTCTGGTGTTGTTGGGGCGTACTCTACAATGAAACACTCGTCTTCCGCCTGTTTCGCACGATTTCGCAGTAGAAACAGTTTTTCGTCGCTTACAAATATAAATTAACTCAAATTCATGTATCAATTATGACGTCACTATGGTCTTTCTGAAAGCTTTTCAGAAGTCGAACTGTTGTGGTTCGCGTCCGTAGCCGAGTTGCTTATATCCAGAAGTTTATTTTAAAAGCATGCAAACTGAATGACGTCATGCATCCTGACGTCATCACCGTTGAAATGGAATTATTTTTAAAACACGCCAGAAGCGAGCGAATAGCTTAACAATTAGTAGCGAAAGCGTCAGTATTTAATTTTAATTATTCTTAGTCTAATTATTAGTAATCATTTATTGTCTTTTACAGTATAAACATCTCTTCTCGTTAGGAAAATTCAAAATTGTATGTAATTGAAAGTAATTGTAAATCACAGAATTGTATATATTACTGTGATAACGGGCAACCAATTTTACGTGACAAGGTCTTATATTTTCAACACTGTTTTACACACGCGATAAAAATTGTCCAAGATCTCAATTGCTGTCATCTTCAAATACGATTTATGAAACGTTTTGTTATATCAATGATAAATCAAAGGCCCAGAAGCTGTGAGACCTGGTTTAAATTGGACAAGACGTAGTGTGCCCTGTTATTTGTTTTTTTATGAAAATGAAATGTTCATGGGAAAATGTGGTTGCTGTCGTTTTACGCGGTACATCTGTTTTAATCGGACGTTGTTTCTAATATTTATGAGTAACACCAGACTACGAACGTGAACGGTGCTAAACCGGAATTTAGACCCAAATTTATCGCCTGCTTGGAATGTTGAATGACGAAACTAACATCATATTTACTAAGCACCAACCGTGCTGCAATCCCACCATGTGTGGTTGATTGGAGATCGTTTTAAATACCAAAATTGAATACCCCTTTGCATAAAACCGAACTGTTTTGTATAAATAAATAAATGTAATACAGCAAAGAGTTGTTGCGCCAATTAGTCTATATATTGTTACGTCATAATTTTATTTTGGCTTTGTGACGTTTTCAATAAAGAAATAAACCAATCTGAATAGACCATACAGGTTATTCAATATCTTATTTTAGATTTCAGAGTAAAGTCACTAAATTGTTTAAAATTCTTTGCTTATATTAAATAAAACAACCTTTTTCTAACATGATTTACGAAAAATCAGAGTCCTTTATGAATGTTTTCCATAAGACTTTTTGAAACCAATGATATCCCACTCACTTTATCATGGCGAATTCCCAAAAATGTTTCTCATACGCGATGCCAAGCAATGCTGACTGACTAAGAGGTTTTATAAATGAATAACTTCCTATTAAAATCAGACGAATACAAAAATAGGCGCTCTAGAAGTATGTACACCAAGATGGCGCACAGCCTGATAACCATAACCTGGTACACATACTATGTTCAGGTTGTGCGCCATCTTGGTACATATACTTCGGAGAGCACCCAAAAATATTTTTCATTCCATAATAAGAATAAAATAACCAGGGAAGGCTTTATTCTCGCCAGGAGCGGAATTGAAACCCTCGCAATTTTTGCTGCTCCATGTGGGCAATGCAAACTGACCAAAAGTTCTAGCAATAGTAAATGTCAATTTCCACTTTATTTCAATTAACTTAGATAAATACCCCCATTCTATAATTAGGCTTATACCATATAAGACACAAGAAGTGGGGCAGTATGTATTGGACAAATCTTGGTTCGATTCCAAGGCTTAGCAATATTTAACTCGTATGAATATTAGGAATATTCAACTCACTAGAAAGCTTGCACTTTTCGGTATTTAAATAATTTAACAGCGGTACAGTTAACGTTAGTTGTTAAATTGACGTATAGAACATATATAATAAATATGAAATAACAATGTAGCAGACCTCTCTCTCTCTAAACCAATGAAATGAGTCACAATAATAAATAGGCCGCCTTCGTTAAAAGAACAAACTTTACAATAGAACAAATTTAGTATCAATAAAAAACATAAAAATTTTTTATGACTGCCATACTGCATGACAGGGACATTTATGTCTATCGGGCGGGACGACGGGACATTTTGTCAAAACCGGAAATGTCCGGGCTTAGGCTTGCACGTAATTGACAAAAATCAATTCCGTAATTACGGCCAAATCGATTACGTAATGACCCCGTAATTTCGATATTTTTTTCACGCATTTAAACCTATCATAACAACCAATTGAATCCACTTCTATTCCGAATGGGACATCGAAGTTTGGTTTTCATATTCCCGACAGTACTACACGCCGGCGACAGGTGTTAAAGACAAATATCAAGGAGTGAATTCAAATTAATTTTATTCTGATTTTTATCTTTTGTGTTAGCTTTGATTTTCCTTTATCACATTTATCACCCAATTTTATGCGATCAATTTTATCATTACCGACACTGGTATACGGATATTTATGAAACGATAGTTGACTTTTTTAAAATCGTATTAGCGTATTAATAGGACTTTCGTATTAAATAAAAATTTCGGGTTTCTAATTTATTAATCAGACTTGTTATTTCACCGTTTTTATACAATATCCGACTTTACTACTTAGTTAGCATTTTATAATAATTATTGATGCCGAGTTATTGACGATATTCCGATTACCATGCTTCATTTTACATTAAATCATTTCGCGGCCTAAATATTATAACATTATTTGCGATAATTCAGATCAAATACTAATTATTTGCGCATAATTTAAATACCGTACTAATATGACATGCCTTCTCCGGAAATACAAAGTTATATCGCAAAACAATGCATTTTGTGACAATTATTTTGCACTCACGAAAATATCAATTTATTTTTCTAACTCAAGTCGACAATCCTATCGGCCAAGATTGACACAAGTTTGGTCGAATGCTGGCGGTATTCGAGACGATGATGAATCAAAATAAGTTGCCGCATTTGGTAAAGACATTTAATCATATTTGGCCGAAATGTTGCGAGGCATTGTGAAAAACATATTGAGCAAGGCCATGTCTGGAGAGATATTTAACGATAAAACCGGTAACAGAACATCAAGATTCTGTAATAGAAAATGGTTCTCGCGCAGAATAAACACGGGAAATCCCGTCGTCTCTCTGCCGGCTCAATCGCTTTACCGATGCCGAAAAGACTAAGTTGCGTTGGTTCATTACGCAATTTCTCTTCCGTCGTCATATTGCTGTTTGATAAGCGCGACATTAATTATCACGGCATTATTTACGGGTAATATGTACATTGGCCATGCTAGATAAGTTGATAATAGATTAGTAAATGGCAACGCGTTATGCCTTCCCCACCTGCGTGACAAGAGAGAGAAAAACGGCTGCGAATACCGGAACTCTAACTTCTTCTACTTATTAAACTTTAATTTTTCACAATCGACGGAATTGACTGCTCTGAAAAGAGCTCGTTTCAATTGCCAAAGCGCTCGACCAATAATTACGACTTTACGTAATTCGTAACTTCGCTTCCGTAACTCGAAATAATTCCGTAATTCCGTAAATTACGTGCAAGCCTATCCGGGCTAAATCGGGGCGCATGGTAAGCTTACCTATAAGAGGAATACCATAACCGTAGTTTGGAGACTATATCTTGAGTCACAAACATCGCATTATGTAGAAACTGAGTTGTGATTTTAAACACTGAAAACTGGAATTCAAACTACTAATAAGCTAGATAAGATAAGTTTGATTCATTTTACAAACTGGGATCCTTGTTTTGAATGTTCAACTGTGAAGATTGTGGGATTATCGGATTGAAAATATTTTGCCCCAAATTTCGAACTTTCTCTTCAACTACTTCAATTGCTGTCATAATTTCGGCGGTTTAACACGAAAGTTTCTCATTACCCTTGCAATCTGAGGTTCGTAATTGTAACCCTAATTTTGTTAGATTCAAGTTGCACCACAGCTTATAGATTCAGCTCATCGTTAGGTCTGTTTCATACTTGGTGATGACACCAGCAGTGACAGTACTTCGTGAGCATATTTGAGGATTGCGTTTGTTTACCAGACAACGATTTTGCATTTCAGGAACCCGTCCACTATGTCAAATATTCAACAATAAAAAACGGCTCAATTTGCAGTTATATTTCTTCCACTCGCTGACCACAAGGTCGCCTGAATTTATCTTCTTTCAGAACCTACATGGTGGTATAATTTTTAAACAACGACATTTGTGAAAGTAATCTAACTATTCATTGGGTTTGTCTGATGGATATTTGACTTCCGAATCTCCTGACGCTATCTATCTGGTTCCGGTACACCCTTATGTGAGGCGTAAACTGGTTGGATGGCATCATCAATTGCAAATGAAATTGAATCATTCCTCATTCATTACATTCCAAAACTAGAGACAACCACAATCTTTAACCACTGAATTTCAAAGCAATCGGTCCAGTAATTAAAGAGAAAAGCGATTTTTTCATAACAACAAGGAAAAGAATTCTAACAACAACATATTACCAAAACGATCTATATGTCCCCGTCATGTTCAGTAAATAACGAATTGAGTTTCACACAGCATTCACGACATCTATTGCGAAACCTGGACGGTTATCGACAATTCTAACAGCGCCGCTGGTGAAGGTGCTGAGCTGACAGGTGTGATGAAGCTTCTTTCTTGATTTACCTCCGTCGTTATGAGTGGCCGGTGTTTTCTGTCGATTTTCGGACCGCCTTCAACGGGACTCGAATTCACCTTGTCTAAAACTTATTGATTGTGCGCTTCCGGCGATCCATCTGGTCCGGAAACTACTCCCACTGAATGTTTGCGGTTAAATATCCACATTACTGCATTTTTCATTTTGTTTCAGTATGTAAACATCAAGTCAATTTCAACAGGTGACTCTATAACGTGAATCACGAGCTCACGTTTACAGTATTTAATTAGAATTCACGAGAATTCGAGATTTATGATCTCGATATCTTTCAATGTTAAACTAGTGTGGATAAATGTTTTAAGATTTGTATTCTGTGTGTTGTGGAAATTACGAATAAAAACATATAGAGATTTTTAACGCATCTTCATTCACGTGGGCGTTGAAGCTGAAGGGTGAACGAGTGACTTGCAAGTCAGAGACAATCTTCAAATTAGCAATATACGGTGACTTCACATTCATTTACCAATCATATATGCTATGACTCCGCTTCTACAAATTCGAATTGAATTTGCTTACAATTTATATTTCACAAAGCTTGTTTACTTTATAATATACATACATGTTATTTAAAGTCAAATTATTTCAAATGGAAATACTGTGCCAATTTGCTCAGGAAATAGAAAAATTGTACGTAAACATGCATTTAACTGGCTATTGAAAATCCGAATCAAACTGATTCGTTGAAACCAATTTGATGAAAAAAAATTACCTGAATGGTAGGCTATCTAATTGAATTCTGTATATCAACTACAATAAGTTTGATATTTTTCAAAATCTCGATTTGCTGAATAACCCAACAATCATTGGCAGCTAGGGGAGGCCACACGGGCGGCACATTGTACAGGGCGCAGATCCAAGCTGTATAGTTCGCTTTATTATACATGTTCTACTTGATGTATTTTTATTTAAATAAAATTGACATTACGTGTATAGTTTTGTGCGACAGATTGTGGTCATGGTGAGTCAGCAATGGCTGACTGCCCGCCCCGCCAGTGTGCTCGTCTGGTCATTGCGTGATTTAGAGCAATGATACAAACATTGCACTTCTACCTGACGTTTTATTTATTCCTTCTCATGTATAACAACATCTATAGTTTGTTTTCCCACGAATTATTTTTGAAGGTAGGTATAAAAGGGCATCCTTATCAGAAACTCGCCCTGGGCTGCAGAAGGTTCGGCACGCCCCGTAGTAGTTTTTAGCATAGTGATCTCACTCATTGTTTAAGTTGTAATTACATCCCTTTTCGGAATACCATTCATTTACATTCGCGCTGAAAGCTAACACAATTAGTCAGTCAGGCGGTACTACATGCGTGCTGTCCAATACCGCCGGGACTTCCACCAACTGGAGTAGTTTGTAAGATCCATTGCTGCAAGGTCACTCGCATAAATTCCTCTATGAAGCACTAAGAATGTGGTAAACTTGAAATCTGTTTTATCCTAGGAGAAGTAGAGGCAGCAATTATGTTACATATTGAAGCAGTAACAAGAAAATTTTATAATGTAGATAATATCAAAATAGGCGCCATTAGAATTACACATTCGTGCAACGATCAGATTACCCCAATTGTATTAGCATACACTTGTTGGTTAATTTTAACATCGATATTTGACGTGCCCTTCCCATTGCTAGAATATGTTATATTTGATAGTAAAATTCTCGCGGTATTCAGTGATTTATTTTAATGAAGCCAATTTATGCTGGTCGTGTATCCATGTTGAATGTGTTTCAACGCCGCCAGCGCTATTCGATAGATTATTCTCACTCGGCATACAGGCATGTAGCATAACGATTCAAATATATATTTCAGTTTATTAGGTCACTGTCAACTATGATTGTAACGTCGTCAAAGCATGAAATTGAGGATTCGCCGGCGTTGAAGAATATAAGAGCAAGCTTAAATGACAGAGAGTTCTTTTAGTCCAGGAATTTTTATTAGAGAAGTTTTTTACTGATAAAATAAACGATTACCAAGACGATAGTTATGTTTTTTGTTTGTTGTTTTCGATATTAACTTGCTGTTGTATTGTTTTGTATTCACTGTGATGTATGGAGTGAGGATATACCCACTCGTAATACGAGAACTAGACATTGAGTTTTCTAGCACTAAAAAATCTCATTGAAGCCTCAAACAGGAAGCAGCAAAAAACAATAGAATTACGGAACGCGACATACTATTTCAGTATTTGTAATAGCAATTTTTAGCCCCTAATTCTACACCGGTAGCACCCAAAAGAGAAATGGAATTATTGAACGCGACATAATATTTGTAATAATTGGTAAAGCTGTTTTACTCAATGTGGCGCCTTATACTAGCAACCATGGCATAGTCGTTGTTACCATAATATGTTCTTGCAATTTCCACTAAACAACTAACTCCGAATACAATTTTGATCTATAAATAGTATCCAGAGTAATCAATAGCTACATACCAGCCGCTGTGTGCAAGAAAAACTCCTAAAAGGCATGTCCGAACAAGCAGAAAATGCCGGCAGCCAAGCGGGTAAGCAAAAAGATGGAAGAATAAAAGACGATGATATGAAGGAAGTTAACCTGCAAGTGAACGAAGAACAAACTGGTAAATCGAACGAAGGGAAATATGAAATTAAAGTAACAGAAAAGAAAGGTTTGCTGCGGTCTGCCATACCCAGAGTCCAAGTGCCGATAGCTTGGCTCGTTCTGTTCTTCAACGTATTCTTGCCTGGCACAGGTAAGATCTAAAATAGAGACAAAGTTTTGTTGATCGATTACGTGATAAATTGTTTATAATAGGTGTACATTTATTCTGTCGGTACCTTACCGGTCACAAATACTCGCACCGCCTTGAAATTGTTGTGTTGCTAAGAGTAAAATGCAATCAGTTGAATGATATGTCTCTCCTATTTTACCATACTGTATACCGTATAGGATTTCTATGAAACACAAATCTACCATATTTCGCGTCGATATTTACACTTCAAAAGACTTTTTGTAGGATTAAGAGGCAAAGAAAACATGCGATTGTTCAGAATTTCACGCGAACACGATAAGTCACGTTACGTAGTGGTACAGCGAGCATGAGTTTTCGATTGAAATTGAGGTATAATGTAAGCAAAATATTTCTGAATTTTAAAATGATGGCTTTGAAATTGGGTCATACTAAATTTCTTATATTCTAAACATATCTTGCAACCAAATAAAGTGATTAGTTTGTAACAAGAGTAATGACATAAATATCGACAAATTGTGACTCTGAGTGACATTCGTCTTGGCCTAGTATTATCGATCATATGTAGCAACATATGCTTATTTGATGGATGTCGTGCCAAGCTTCCGTTAGACATGAAATCTGTTCAAATTTGTTTTTATTATTTGGAATTCTTGTGGTAAAATTTTCGTCTTCTGTAGCGTCTCGGTATAATATTATCGAATTAAGGCTCTCGATGCGATAAGGTGTTATAAACTATGACGTAATAATAAATGTGGTATATGGTATTTAATGTAGCCAAGATTGATAGATACCTGGCTGCGTATTTACATTTTCAGTATAATATGCATAAACGGTCGCCATTCAAATGACTATATCAGACACAAATCCATTCTCCCACACAATAATATAAGCTGTTTCGCAGCTATACATTACGAATGTCGACCGGGACGAAGTTTTTAACTATTTTCCATTCGGACGTTTCAGTCTAAATTTATTGGGTACTTGCTAATACACTGAAAGATTAGATAATTCATTTTATATGGTAGTAAGACAAAAAATTATCATATAGAAGACAAACACACACGACGGAAATTGTGGAAAGTTGCCAAAACTGCGAATAAGATTCAAAGCATGAGACCGAAAAGTAATTCATGGACAATCCCATCTCGTGAAATACAATGCGAACACGATGCCGTACTCTTCAACCAAGCTTTAAGCTTGTGATAGGTCATTACATAATATTTTGCCAGCTTCTGTTGGCTATTACAAAATTCTTATTCGATGTTCATTTTCTCATACTAATGTGAAACGTAGTTGCAAGAAATTTAAATCGATCACTGCTGTAATTTTAAGAAAGTAGCATATTTATTGTGTCTTTATATTTAACCAGTAATTTCACTAAAGTAAACTATTAGTACAAGCCAACGTTGAAAACCAGTACTTGGTAGTTTTGTGCATTTAGTATACATTAAATTTTTGTGGAATTTTCAAATCACCGATTCTCGCTTGTTAAGCCATGTGGATGTGGTGTCATTGTATTCCGTAAGTCACCTGTTCGAACAACATGTATTCCCTACCTACCATACTAGAAGCAGTAACCTAAAAGTAAACACTTGGTGGATGGTTCCAATATATATTCAATTCTGAGATGCGAAGTGATTCAATTATGACCGGGTCGCGTAAAAATAGGCATTGTGAAATTGTGTGAATGTCAAAGTTTGTACATGGAGATGTCCTCATTACGATGGAAATTATATTTTACGGATGAAGATCAAAACTATAGAGGTTTCCAACCTTCTCAACACCACTGTTCTAGTTAATGATTGGCCTTGAAGTTATAGTCCCGTTAAATGAACAATTTAACATTGTTATATACATTTGGTATCTGGAAACAATGTTTTTATCAGATCTGTACCGATAAATCGTCTTGAGTTTGGAGAAATATATATATTAGTTGAGCTCTGTAGAAAACCTCCCGCATAGACGACGTACTCAAGAACAAACGTTCCATAAACTTTAAATTTTACCGACCACGATCTAAACCAGGAGTGTGCAGCCTGCGGCCCGCGGGCCAAATGTGGCCCACAAGGAAAAATTGTGCGGCCCGCCTAGAATTGCCAATTTTTAGTGATGTGTGGCCCGCGAAACGAGTTTTCAATTTAGTTTAATCCGGTACGTGCGAGTGAATCCAATTTCTTACAATGCGCTAACAGCTAGCTTGTGCGAAGCCAACAACGCATGCCATAAGATCATTAACCGAAATTTTTGTGCCTGCAACTACTAGAAAGCCTATGTTAAATGAAGGTGTGGCTCGCGGTTTCGCCCAGTTATTTGTATCTGGCCCTATAGCGTATTAAAGACTGCACACCCCAGATCTAAACGATAGGCTTAGTAATATCGAAAATATTACCGTGAAAATTTTTTAACCAAAAATAAATCGATGTATGGAAATGTAAGTAATATCTATATGTCACTTCTCGTTAAGCAAATCGATATTTTCTGCCGCACGAGTTTTTAATTTTAACGCTGAAATTGACGAATTTTGATGATTTATTCGACGCAGTCGTATTCAAATTGAGAGATTGATTTTATTGAACTTTGCTGGACCTCATGCCGTCACGTATTGAGAGATGGATTGTCACTAAAACAATCATACGCTAATTTAACAGCTGCCACATTATTGCATAATGCACTGAGAATTGTTTATTTTCTCTTCAAATTATTAGTAACCAACTAATTACCAATGTTTGTAAATAATTATGGATAATTTTGTTCCGACAATGCTATGACGATGTAAAATCAATTTTTCTTGTCAACAAAACATGAAAATAGGCTTAATTAGATGAATTAACATAATTCGTCTAACTCTAATCTGAGCAGATGTTCTTGATCGTTTTCCGGCTGCATATATAATGCGTATAAATTATAAGACGATTTAAAAAAATACTATATAAATGAAAAATCATTTTTCTGTTGAAATATTAGTAAGATGTTATTTTTCGCCTTATTTATAAGAACATTTTAATTTGATAAAAACGCATTTTGGATAAAATTGAGTTGCAAGTCATGTGTTTCTTCAAACAATATTTTTGCATGCATTCTACATGACTTTGTCTTGAGTTTACAAACATATGCAAAACGAAAAAATTGAAAGATGCGAAAGTGTAAGAGTAGTTACTTGCGAAGCTTAAGTTGCCCATAGATTGAACCATTTTGTACCTTAGCTAAAACTCAATATTATTCTGTAAAAGATTCAGTCAACCTTCCAACAAGTAGCTTATTCATATACATTGTGTATAGGAATTGTATAAACTATATATTGTTGAGCAAACGTAATCCTGGCAAAACAAAATTATCTTTAAAGTGTAATAGTGGCAAACCTAACACTAACAGGTCTTTGGTTACCTATATTCAAGAAATATACATATATTAATTCGGATTTGAATCGAAGCTTGCAAACCCCTGTACTGCAATGGCGGAACCGCGGGGTGCTGCGGAAGTAAATGGCCAGGTCGAAAAGTCAAAGATGATATCCTCATTGTGACCCTCAAGTTTTGTCGGACCGGCCATGCCCCCGACCGACACAATCCTATTTTTTAGATAGTTTTGTCGATGTCTTGAGCTGACAAAATACATTCTCGTAAATGTCCACTCTGAAAAGCCTAATTTTTCGGATAATTCTGGTTCCACAAAATCATATTCTTGGTAAAATCAGGCCACCATCAGGGTCGTTATGTGAGCAATAAGAGATCTTTGTAGCAAAGTACTAATCAAGGGTACGTCATCCAAAAATTACGTCACTACGACGTAATAACTCCCGCCAAAATGTACAGACCGCGTCCAAGACTCGCAGACAATCGGGTGAAATCCGACAAGATACGTCGTGTACTCGATTTCGGGTTGTCGTCTACCTGTTTTGGACGACTGTGCGTATATTTTGGCGACCCGGCACTGTGACGTAATTTTTGAACGACGTTCAAAACAAATGAGGGTTAGGAATGGCGGATGCAAAAATTTTGTTGAGCAATGAATACCAGAAGTACTTGTGGTACTATGCTACACCAGACCCCAATTCAAGTACCCGAATCCCGATTTTACCACTTGCTTTTTTTATAGGATGAATTTTTCTATATGACAGGTACCCTTATCTTGTCTCTCTTCTCACTGTGTGGAGTTCCTACTGATCTTAAGAAACAAAACTTCTGTCTTGCCTTTCTCATCAACCTTCTCACCGCTTTTCTACAGATGATAACTGCTGTAATTATTATTGGATGGATATGGAGTGTATACTGGGGAATGTTTGCAGTAACTGAAGCAAGTAAGTACTTCAACTTTATGAAAAAAAGTTAAGAAACTACTTATGGAACTAAGTAAGACTATATGTAATGAATCGTCTCTTTTTTTATTGAATGTTGGGTACTCCTTTAGTGTGTGTACAAGGTAAGGATTAGGCCATAATTTTTTTCCGATTCTCCTTATTTTAGTTCTATTACGACTATCTGTGTTAGCCAAGTGAATATACCCCCTGCCCATAGATTTCAGTCCCTACAATTTGATGTAAAGTAGACAAACATAATTAGTTACCTCCATATTGGTACACACACTTCCGGAGCGCCGAATGTTGAGAAATTGAATATAGTTCGAGTAGGGCTTCTTGTTTCGAGGTGAATCCGTCAATTTTTGGTAAAACGATATTTTTAAAATGCAATCCCGAAATATGACTGTTTTCCCTTTAATGAGTTATTCATGAAACATGTTTTTTATTGCGTGTTTCAGCTCAGCTTACTGATTGAATGATATATTTTATGTCTTCATTAATTTTTGTGCCTGGATAACCCGTTGCAATAAAAGTTATACACAATCACGTCGTTTAACTATTGAATTTAAATATCTTTCTCAAATAAACAAATATTTGATTGATTCTGAAATCATCCAGTATTCCAAAATGCCCAGCCCTAATTCAAAGCACAAAAAAGGTCCAAAAAAGGTCTGAAAATTACACTCTATCACTAAAAACAATATTTTTCAATCAATTGTCCAAGGTATTTGCACGTTTAATAACTTCACAATGATTTGCCACAAAAAAGACCGGCAAAGTATGAGGAATGTGGATTCTGTAAAAGTAGTCGTTACGTGCTTCTTCATATCGGCATGAAGGGATAATTTACAAACCAAATTAAAATTCACCTAAAACATAATCGAACTTGTCGAATAATTTTTTTTGCCAGGATTTTAGTTAGAGGCGATTAATTATTGTAAATATATTGAATGGGCATACGCATTCCCATTCTGGCTGGAGTGGTGGTAAAGTGGTTGTTCCAATGTCCAAAGGAGGTATTTTATAAAAAGTGATATATGAATAAATACAGTTTATTGCCACATTTCTAACCAGGAAGTAATTTTGCTTTGTATTTGCTGTGGTATCACAAATATTTTTAATTATTACTATAATACTGTATTTGTTTATACACACCACACAATACAAAATACTTGATTAAACTGTACATAAATGGGAGTGCTACTTGCGCATAAAACTAGCCAAAGATACATTAAACATTGAATAAATAAAGTAATGAGGAATAAATAGTTACAAAATAGACGAAGGGAGGTATTTTAGGAAAAAGATTGGGAAGCACTCGTGTATTCGTTTCATTCTGCAGCGTTACTAACGAGGTAATAATCCAGTCATCACGTTTTCCATCGACGACTTAGTTAGGATCGCGGGCGACACATGTACACACTCAATAGGCCGTACTTTCTGGCGCTCCATAAGTGTGTGTACCAATATGGAGGTAACTAATTTTGTTCGCCTACGCTACATCGATTTGTGTAAATCGACGGAAGCCTATTGGCAGGGGGTATATTCACTTGACTAGCACAGACAGTATCCGAACTCGTAATAGAACTAAAATAAGGAGAATCGTAGTAAAATTATGGCCTAACCATTACCTGGTACACACACTACGGGATTACCCTTTACTGAACTACGGATTTGCAATTCAATACTTGTGATTTGATTCCGTTTACATTAAACGAAAAGCAACACCACTGCTATGCTAGCAATGTTCACAACATATGACCTTGTGGCGAAGCCATGTTACCACAGCAGGTAATGTGCGTATATTTAGCTTCACTGTCTAAAAGCATCTAGGGAGAGTAGATGCGTCCCTAGTGACAGGTTAGCCGCGAACTCGCTTTGCCTCCTAACATTACCATAGAACATGAGCGTTGTGATCACAGAACGCGGATTAATTATTTATAAATTTTGATTTTGAACAACATTCGTACATTTGACCTTTGATTGTTGTATTCGCCATGGTGTGCATCATCTTCGAAGGCGCTTTTGTCGTGGCCTAGGCTTTTTTATTTCCCCAAACCCACTCATTTGTACTTGATTTAATGTTTCGAAAGAAGCAGATTCTTGTTAGCAGCATATGGTTAGAGACACCGCAACCCCACGCGAACACTAAAAAGATTCATAGTGAAGATACAATAAAAAATTCCCGTCTAGTCTATAGTCCAGGGCTTTCCAAACTTTTGAGCTCGCGGCCCTTGTACAGGTTAATAATGCTAAACAGTTCGAAATATGCATTTTTGATGTTTTATTGGCAGAGCTAATTCTCAAATATTATTATACCAAATAACGAAAACAAGCACATATTTATTCAGATTAACGTTACTCAATTATCCAGTGTAATGGGTGCGAATGCTTTTTGCTGCATAGCAAGTCCAGCCTTGCCTCAGTGTATGTTTATGCAGACCTAAATGATGAATTGGCCACCGACGACATGGTCCTTATCTCGAATTGTTCACTCTTATAGATCAAATTTAGCATAAGGCAGCGGTTTGTGCGACGCCAAATTATCAGAGAAAAACTCATGGCGTACCTACACGAAAATATGCTGCCTCAAAACAAAACACAATTTTGTCATCGTTAATATGTACTTTATGTCTTTTGATGTTTTTAAACATGTAGGCCTAAGGAATAAAGGCAAAAGGTTAACTTTTCTTTCTTAATTCTGCCAATTTTTTTTAAATGCTAAAAAAATCACTCATGCTTGATAATCTCGGTTCAGCAAATGAATAAACTGCAGCCTACGAAATTGCAGCATGTACGGTTTATCCCTTATCTTACATAACAATAGATCCTACGTAACATAAATTAAACACGATAAAATGGTAAAATAAATTTGATTCATATACACATCATTTGACAACAATGAGAAACAATAAAACATTTAGAATAAATACAATATATATGTAATTTGTTTCGAGGCGCACTCAGCAAATCGCCTTCAGAAACCGCTAGCTTAACGATTAAAGCCGTCATTGTTTAGGCAAGCACCCGCAAATATGCATTGTTATGCAAGCGCCCGCAAATATGCATTGTTATGCAAGCGCCATGGTTCTACCGTGTTTCCCCGAGGATAATACCGTGCCTGAACTTTGAAAAAGGATGTTAATATAAGCGCTCGCCGTTAAAAAAGACTTAGTCGATAGCGGAACTATTGTTTTTCACTTAATCCCGTGGAAGTGCGTCGTTTCAATTTTGCTAGGGCGTCGCAAAATTTCGTGATTCGTGAACGTTCCAACCAAACCATATCTTCTACTTTTACAGAAAATTTCGTTTCGTATTCATATAAAGCAGTCTTTCCACCAATGCCCATTAAAATGCGATTTCACTGACTGTCGTTAGGTTTTGTTTGTTTCTATATATGATCAATACGTATTTTCACGGGTAGTCGCAACTTGAGCATATTTTTGGAGGGCGTCACAATACAATGAAGTTCGAGAACCAATGAGTCCCAGTCGATAGCAAGAAATCTTTTCTACTTTTTAAATTGTTAATAATCTATACGTGGTAGTTATTTTAAATAAAAACGTGCTATTTAAAAGCAAATGGAAATCGGTATACATATTTTGTATAATAAAAAAATCTTGGTATTCTCTATCCCAAAATAAGCCCTAGTGTTATTTTCGAAAGAAAATTGAAGACACTGTCTTATTTTCGGGGAAACACGGTATTATGCTGATGTATTCACTCGGAATCGTGAATTTTTTTTTACACCATTTTTAATATTTGTATTTCGCATCAAGAGTCTGAAAAAGTACAATTAATATGGTACTTTGTGTAAAATTGGTGTTCTCTTTGCGGCCCCCAAAATTCGTTTCGCGGCCCTTAGTTTGGGAAGCCCTGCTATAGCACATAACGCGTAATGATCCGAAATCTATTGATTTGAGGTAGGGTTTGATGATTTAAAGTTTTCTATTTTCGTATTTTGAAGGGAGCTTGATGGACCATATTTATTTTGAAAATTAGGTTCCAAACAGTACAACAGAGCAGTACAAATTTTTGCAATACCACGATTTGGTATTTTTATTCAGTCCACCGTATTTAACTGGTATATAAGTTTTGTTCCCATACAGACGGCTAAAAGGCAGGCACCTCTGGGATATCATATCAGTTTTCGTTATCAAACTCATATCTCAAATTAAACATGTATATATGATACTAATGTATTAAACGTTTAAGCCTCGAGATCTCTTAAGACCCCTACATCAACCTTGGCCGTAAATTATCATGTATTAGAAGTTAGAACCATGACAACTGGAAGTAAAGTAACATTTGCAGCTGTCCAAATAGCTGCACTATGTTTTGCACTGAACAGTTTCTCCAGCACACGCCTGCAGTTAGTTATATATCGATCCTATAGGCCACGACCTCCCATGTGTCTATGTAACAAGGTTGACTAGATATGACTCCTTTCAAGACGAAAGTAGTTTGTCATGGCATGGCCGTGATTTACGTAATAGAACCAGTCCATTCCATTCACACTCGATGAGAAAAAGACATTAATTTGGCAGCATTTCCCTCGGGATTCTTATGGCGTTTGCATTTGCACTATCGATAGTTTAAATTTATTTCGAATGAAAAGCCGCAACTGATGACAAATTGAATTCCGCTGGGAGTGGTATTTCAGTTAATAGAGCTTTTTATAGTGTTGGAAACTTTAAGCTAAGCATCAAATTTTAATATTAAATAATGTTAAAATATTTTCGAATTGCGTCAAGAAAATAATCAACGGATCATGAGATGATTTGATTTTCTAATGCACCGGAAAGATAACAGTCCGCTTAAAATAAATTCTCCACTACGGCAGCATGTTTGAATGACGAAATTTTGGTACTCCGTAGTGTGTGTACCAGGTTAGGGTGAGACCATAATTTTATTCCGATTTTCCTTATAGTTCTATTACGAGTTCGGGGACTGTCTGTGCCAAGTGAATATACCCCCTGCCCATAGGTGTCAGTCCCTTTACACAACTTGATGTATAATAGACGAACAAAATTAGTTACCTCCATATTGGAACACATACTTCATTTCAATGCGTGGGTTCAGAAAATATATCTTATTCAATGCGGGAATCACTGATAACAAGTGAGTTTTAAGGAATAACATGAAAAATCTTCGTTTGAATAAACGTTTACTTCTAAAAAGAGTTTCGTACTTAGTAATATATGAAATGATTTCGTAATTTTTTTTGACTCATTGCTCATACTTATTGATTCTAATTCAATGATAATTGCCATGCAGATTTCAGAATATGTTACAATTCTCAAATTCTATCTTACAAGTGATAAGTAGGGAGATACTGAACCAAATATTTCAGGTTTACATGTTTTACATGAATTACCGGCCTTGGGTGGAGTCGCTAACATGGATATTAGCCCAACTAAGTTACCGCGTGAATCATGAACAGTACATATTCTCGTTTCACTCATAAGCATTACATGTTCACATCTCTGTTCAGATGAAAGAAGCGAAAATTTGAAAAAGCAAAAAAAGATGGAAAAGGCTCAAGCTGCATCAGAAGAAGCAAATCTTAAAGATAATGCAGTCGATGACAATGTAGTTTAATTGTCAACACCAATCCAATGACACAAGAACATTTTAGCCTGTCCGTCCAGTACACCCGAATTGCACGCATGTCAAACATGCAGAACTGCCTTACTACAGTCCGTTCTTGAATCTGAGAACATAGCAGCGATTAGTGCTTCCAAATACTTAACCTCAGCATGAATATCCTGCCCTGCATAACATGTATCTCTATGCTCGGAAGAAGATGGAATCTTCTGGAAAAGTTCTGCAGCAAAATTTACTGTGTGATATATATTAGCGCTGGGGTTCTCAAGCTTTTAGTGTTCTGGAGCCCGTGAGGACAATCATTTACGAAGCCTCACGATAAATTTATAAAAATAAAAATTTGCCACATTTCGACGCTACCGTTGTCAAATTTCATTAATGACGTTATTGCTCATTTGGACAGTTACAAAATTAGCCTATAGTCAGTGTTTTAATAAGTAAACGAATAGTTCGCGGAGCCTCTCGGTTCGTCTCATGGAGCCCCATGGAGAACATTGAGAACCAATGTATTAGCGCATTGCTGAAATTAAATAAATTCGGCATAAAGGCGTTTTTACACATATATAGCATGAAGATGACGACAAAAATTCATATAAATAAAAAAAACATAATCTCTTTCCACGAAAAACAAGATCACGAAAGCTCATAAATATACTTGATATTTTGTGGAAAGAGATTTTGTTATTTTTATTTATCTTTATAATACTATCTCAGTCACGCATCCTTGTGGCAACAGCCACTTACAGATCCGGAATAGAAAGTAAACAAAGAGAAAGGACCTGCACTTCAATTTACAATACCCTAGTACACCCCAAAAATTCATATGTTGAATTCTTCAGACGACAAAATTCTCATGAATTTGTTTTTAAATTCTTTACTATTGAAGTCAATGGTCTGCGTTCGAAATTTTTCAAAGTTTTGCTATAAAAACAGCAGCTGTTTGGAGGGTCTCGATGTAAACCAAGAGCTAACCATTTTAGAAGACGAAAGGAAAAGAATTTATTCTTCGAATTGAACATCCATTCATTGAAATGTCGCACCCAACGAGGAACAAAAGAATTCGTTTATTTACAATTTGGCATGCACGGACGTTCTTTCCCCGCACCGCAGTAGGCTACGGCAATTTCGTGCAGATATGTGGACCAGTAGCAGACATCGATTTTTGTAAGTCCCTTCTGAAAATTTAATGAGTCTCATCGATCAGCGGATTTCAATCCCCGTCGTGTTTTACTTGCGCCTTCACAGACATATTTTCGTCTCGATAATAGTTCTTTGTTTGTATTTATTATTTTTTTGTTGTTTTGTGAGCAATGACGACACCCGAGGGTAGAGTTGTATGCCCCAATGACATTTCCGAATGATTTGAAAAACAGAAATAACTTCCGACAAACATAAACCAATAAAACAGCCCCGCGCCTGGTTTTTATGGAAAGATTTTCTGAGGTTATGACCATGTCAGGTTATTCTGAATATTGCAAGGAAATCATAACGTATCGTTAATTTCGAATTAAATTTATATTTGATTCGAAATAATTTAAAGCAAAGCATATATACATTCAGCATAGTCATATAAACATAGTTTAGTATCATTGTACTTTTAATCAACGCATCGCCGTGATTATTAAAAGAACAACCAACATAATTATTATTTGATTCTTCGACTCGTGATGTTTCATAGTAACCTAAGGCGAACGCTTTAGCGTCGCATTAATCAATATGTAACTCGTGCTATATTTGCCTATTCTTCAATATTTTTATGAAATGTTATTTTTTATTATTGAAAGTCTCTATAGTGAACGTCTTCGTTTTTATAATGTATTTATTATCATTATATTGTGCCCCTACACATTTTGCCGTGCTCAAAAAATGCTATTAGATTACTTGGCTATTATTTCAACACAATAATATTTTTGAAGTAGATGAAACAGCGTGCACCATAGGCTCGCCATGCTTGATCCGGTATTGTGTTTAACACCTGTGTATTTTTGTAGCCACCAGAAAGTCGTATTCGTTTTCTTGTTTCGATTTCTTCGGATTTGAATTATTAATTAAATTCTGATATATACATTAAAAGGAGCTTTCCATGGGTAAATTCGCCGAACCACAGTCGGGAGAGAGGCAGACTTATTAAATTGTACTGATCTAACCCATTGCACACGTCTGCTAACCTCTTGCACCGGTCTTTTTCCCAAGTTAAAAAATAGAAATGTTTAATAGTGAAAATCGCTGCATTCGAGCTAACTTTAGCAGTTACTAATACCGTATAAGAATTTTTGATACTTCCGTAGTGTGGTTTACCAGGTTAGGCCATGATTTTATTCCGATTTTAGTTCTATCACGAGTTCGGTGACTGCCTGTGTTAGCCAAGTGAATATACCCCCTGTCCATAGGTTTCAGTCCCTTTACACAACTTGATGTAAAGTGGGCGAACAAAATTAGTTATCTCCATATTGGTACACACACTTCCGAAGCGCCAAAATTTTTACATAAATTTGCTCGAAGTTACGGGTGGCCACTGAAATAAAAAGAACTACTGAAAGTACCTAGAATTATGGCGAGTAATTACGCGTTAATTAGAACCGATTGGCCCTAGATTTGGATGTTTTGGGTCAGTACGATCATGGAAACAACTATGAAGCAGTGAATTTCACATTCAATAAAATACCCTTGACTGAAAGCATTCTCAAATACGTAGACGCAACCTAATAATTCCTTTTGTACATGCTTTTAATGGCACACATTTACACAGCTGCACTTTAAGCAAGGCTCTATACAAAATGGTCACTGATATAAAGGGAGGCTTTTACGCCGTGAAGGCTTGTTTCAAATTGAGCATTACAAGTATGGAAAGAAATTTCAAGAGAGTCAACTCACTAAACAGAGACCATTCGGTAATTTCAGATCGCCTCATCGCAAATTTGGGTGAAAATAATATGATGATTGATTCAAATGACAGCATTATCCCGACCGATTGAAAATTTCGAATAATAAAGTGACAGTCGCTTGAGACTACTATTCCACCAGGCACATCGCTAATCGCATTTGAGGTTATGGTCTTGGCATGAGGTAAATCTTTCACGAATAAGCCTTTGTAACTTTGCTCGAAGCAAATTGTGGCATTTACATTCGATGTGCAGTTATTACAATCTTCGAAAACTATTATATGCTCTTCTCTGCCACCTGTCGGAGTAGATAAACCTGGCTGCAAATAAGAATGCGGTGGTTACATATATATATATATATCCAAGCTGACTTTGGCAAGTTTTTATAAACGTCGGAGTCATATTTTTTATCTCTCGCGAGTGAAAATTTTACATATTAGAATTCTAATGAAAGTAAAGTGATCGTAGTCCGAATTGCATTAAGTTGACTTCTCAACAGACAATCAAAAATAGCTTGCATATGACGAAGTCAAAATTTAATTTTCTTGGAATTTGTCGAAACAAAATTGTCATCTACCTGGAGTCAGAATCGAGCAGAAGTCGCATTTTAATAGTTATGTGGGTTGGGTATCATTTTTCCGCGACTCGTGAGCTCTTTGAACTATTCTCCCCAGATTTTCCTGTTAGGGGTGGGTTGATATTTTTCTATTAGCGACAAGACTATTTGTATAAAAAGTGTTATGTTTGTGGCCTACCATCTGCACTGGTGTTAACGCCACTTTATAGGTATTCAAATACAATTATATTCAAGTTTGGAAATAAACTATGGTGTCACACCTAAAAAGGATTAGGGCGGGTCAACCTCCTATAGGGCGTGGGGGCTTTTGTGGGGAAATCACCGACTCTGTATATACCAGAATAGAGAATCACTTATTACATTTGGTTCTGATAGCGACGATACCAAACCTACGATCAAAAGCAAAAATCGGTATATGATTTTATTTCATTTGAAGACAAAGTGCATCGTTACAAGGTTGCAACAAGTGAACATAAAATGATAGAAAGCTCGTAAAACTTAATTAGTATATTGCACAAACACAAGAGACTTCCATGTTGTCCGTCTAGGATTTTGACGACCCTGAGAAAAAAGAAAAAAAAACGTAATAAAAATTTTAAAACATTGAGTGATTACTAAAGCTTTCATCAGGTAAAATATTGATGTATGCAAAAATAAATTTCGTCGAAAAAGGAAAAAAGATCCTGACACGAAATTCTGTTTCATGGGATTATTAATAGTTTCATATCAAATTTGAACTACTTTTGAATACAAACATTTTGCAACAATTTCTTTTTTTGTCAAGTAAAATATTTGAATCTTACTTAATATTGGATGGTATCACTGGTTTGTTGTAGGTAGAACATTTCCAGATTCGATATGAAAAAAATCGGGGTTAAAAATTCAAAAAACAAAAAAATTGTTGACACATTCATAATCGGATCATTTTAAGCGTTTTACATGTACGATATTCCGGTAGTGGTAAAGCTATAATTCTCAGTTTCAGCCTACAAAAATGACACTGCATACAACTCTGTTCAGTTGTTAAAATTTAAATCCTTCCTATAGTCAAATATCTCACAATTCTATTGAATTGCGTATTTAACGAAAACTCCTCCGTTTTGATAAACATTTTATATTGATTGTAAAAAACTTTCACATACCGGCTGTTGGCTTAACGTCAAATCGTCCTTCAGCACATCTTTTCACCCAACCGTGCTCTTTTATTTTTGGCAAAGTGTAACGTTGTTCGAGATTGAAGTTTAAAATCTTGAGTAGAAGATCTTTCAAATCAGTAGCAAGAGTATTTACCACGCTTCGTGGGATGTGCAGAGGTGCTTTTTGGTCTGACAGAAGAGTTTTAATATTTCCATCTCTAAACGGCATTGATGAGCAACTCATAATGTACAAAATAACTCCTAAACTCCAGATATCTGCAATGACGCCTTTATACGGCATTCCTTGTAGCAATTCCGGAGCAGCGTATGCAGCACTTCCACAATATGTTTTGCTCTTTTCCATTGGACCTATGGTACGAGCGAATCCGAAGTCAGCAATCTTGGCAGAGTTTCTCTTGCTTAGAAGGACATTTTCACACTTCAAATCTCTGTGAACAATCCCGTTTTTGTGTAAATACTCGACGCCCGTGCACATTTCTCGAAAATATTTACTCGATTCTTGATCTTTCAGTGGACCCTTCAGACGTACATGTTGCAGAAGATCTCCATGGCCAGCCCATTCAAGACAGATATAAACTTTGCCACCTAGTTCGAAAGATTCATATCTTCTAATAATGTTTGGATGATCAATTTTTTCTATAATTTCCAACTCCCGCGGTAAAAATTTCTCTTTGAAATCCGAAGGGGCAGTTTTCTTGTTGATTATTTTTAAAGCTACTTTGATTCCCGCTTTCTCTCCTGGTCGCACCCATGTCGCTATTTTCACCTTTGAATAAGTTCCCTCGCCCAGCTCAGTTCCAACGGTGTAACCTCGTCTTTGCAGGAGAGCTTCATCGCTAGAGAACAGGGCCCTCAATTTGCCCATATTAAGCGGTCCACTACAAAATTAACATTGCCTCAGGTTATCCCTGGCATAGGAACCTTAACTTTAGCTTGTCTTTAGCTTCTTTGAAATTCAATGTATATTTACTACAGATCTGTATTTTACAGTGCTACAAACTTTCTGTTGTTACGCAATAAACCTTTTCCCTCACAGCATTGTGACGTAATATAGAAGCCTCCTTCTCATGTTGAAAGAAGCTCATAGTTTACAATTAACATGTCCAAGATAAGGTAGCGTAATAGGATTTTTTTATTTTATGTATCGTGGCGGCCTTACATTAGGGTTGCCTCGCCCATAAAGAAATATGGGTTCGTATGTTCATTTAGTCGTTATTTGAAGGGTGTAGTCTCTGTAGAATGGCCGGCATGCGAGAGGAAGATGTATGGTTGCGTAGGGCAGGCTATCTCCTCGGAGAGCGATTCAGTGGAGGATCATTTTCTACAATACATCTGGCTTTACGTATTCGTGATGCGTCGAAAGTTGCTGTGAAGCTCATAGACTTGAGGACTACAACTCAAGATTATAGAAAAAGATTTTTGCCGAGAGAAATCGAAAATGTGGCCACTTTGCATCACCCCAACATTATAAAAGTTCAATGGGTAAACATTGCTAACTATTGCTATTTAGGTCTAGTGCAGTGGCCTTCTTTTATTGTGTCTGAGACCCACAACACCTTTGACAAAAAGTTCGAGTATCATAAAGAATGATTTTATTAATATAAACAATACAGTAAAAGTGGCAATGACCAAACTAATCATTGTGTCTCTTTATCAGCTTGTCAAGTTGAACCTTCAAAGATTAATTCAATTTCTTCAAAATTTTAATTCAATTTCTTTGGACCTATTGTAGGCCCAATGAAACTCCAGGCCGTTTTAAAAAGTACCCACATTCGGACCACCTTGAGAAATACTGGTCTGGTGTTCTGTGGCACGTAGGATAAACAAAAGCAGCAGGCCGACGAACCGCCTTCTAGACTGTGTATGTCTCAAGTAGATCAGACCTGAATCGCAACAGTAGGCTGCTATTAATTCCGAAGTAATTCTACTACAAGGTTGTATACCGTGTTCCCCCTAAAATAAGACGGGTCCTATTTCAATTTTCTTTCGAAAAATAACACTAGGGCTTATTTGGGGGGTATGTCTTTTATTTTCATTTGTTAAAAACAAAATTACAAAGTAGGGAATTACGAGATTTAAATATACAAAATATGAGGACCGATATCCATTTACTTAAAAATAACGCGTTTTTATTAAAACAAACTGCTAAACATCGATTATTCAAAAATTACTAATTATATAAAACGTGTAGGGGAGATATCTTGCTATCGACTAGGTGAAAAAAAAATTCGAGCAATCGACTAAGCCTTATTTCTATTTCAACGGAGGGGGTTCATATTGAATCGTTTTTTAAATTTAGGCTAGGTCTTATTTTCGGGAAACACGGTACTCTTCTACTCTCACTGTTCACGGATGGTTCTGTCATCAGTCTAGTCTCTTGTATAGTTCGATCATTATCAACCTATGTAAATGGTCTGCTTTTTTTCATTAAAACTTTTTGATACGATGAAATATTTACGATACAGATTCAAACTCTCAAATGTTTGTCTATGTAATATTTTTAGGTTGGAAGAAGTAAGACGAAAGCTTACATTATAATGGCCCATGCGAAGACTAATTTACGGCAACAGATTGCAAAAAGATCGTTCATCGACGAGACACAAGCTAAGAAATGGTTTTGTCAGTTGGCATCCGCCATGGCCTATTTACATCGTCGTGGAGTAGCTCATCGAGATTTGAAGATTGAAAACATTCTCATCGATGAAGAGCAGAACATAAAGCTTTGTGATTTCGGATTTTCAAAAGTTTGCCAACAAAATGGCAATCTGGGACCAAACAGCGATACTTTCTGTGGATCACTTGGGTATTGCGCCCCAGAAATTTTACTCAGAACTCCATACAATCCTTGGAAAACTGATATATGGTCGCTTGGTGTCGTTTTGTATAAAATGGTGATCGGAGGAATGCCATTTGGCGAAGGAAACGACCTCGGTTGTATACGGAAAATCGCTAAAGCACAAACACAGTTACTGGAATTTCCCGACCATCCTAGGATCACAGACGATTGCCAAAATCTTATTCGGTCGTTGTTAGCTTTTGAATCTGAACATAGAATCACACTTGTTGACATTTTCCGCTCAAAGTGGATCAATGCAGACGGTTTATCCTGTGTTGATACGAATAGCTTGTCTCATGTATCGAGAGTGATACAGGAAACGAACAATCTACGAGTTCAAGAAACAAACAATCGCGCAATAGCGCGTGAACAGTTTGTGAATTCCAGTCAACAGCCATCGTCCGATAGGCCGAAAACTTCCATTAGACCGACCTCTGTGATATCACGTATTCGCATGAGACTACCTTCTCTAAGTACCAGACGATTTCGCAAAGAACGCCTGTAATATTTTGTTTACACAATAAACGGAATTTAACAGAAAAATATAAGCTTGGATTATGTCCAAGAAGGAATTAGAAATCCAACCAACATGTGATAAATTGAGTAACGCGTAACCAACAACTGTTCTTTCCCTCTACTTTCGTCATTATTAGACAAGTTTATTTTTCCCAGCCAGCAAAATGATATGAATGTAAAAAATATGTCAAGAAGACGATACAACGACTTAATAGATAAAAGTTTGATTAAGAATTGATAAAAACTGATTGTAGATTAGTATTTATTGACTGCAAGGTTACCATAGCAAAATTAATATATATATATACCGGTTCCATTACATTTGAACCCACGTACATTTGAACCCATGACAATTGCACCTGTATGCTATTGCACCTATGGATTTTTTTTTTGTTTCACGGATAGTTAAACCCATACTAACCCTAACCCATGGGTTTTAGCACCCGCATATAGATTGAACCCGTGGATATACGCATGGGTTCAAATGTACGGTCACCATATTTACCAATATTGTAAAACGACGATTATACTAACTAAATATAATTCCATTACTTTATATAAAGCTAGACTTGTTTTGTAAGATAATTCCGCGCTATTTATACCTAATCCTAACCGATCCTTTTTTACTCCAATGCATCGCTTCTCGAAGTGGGGTTCGCGGTCCGGGACCGCGAAGCAACTCTGACACAGAAGCACTGCTGAGTGCTGACGTGCTGAGTAATTTTTTGACGTCATGATAGTACAGTACAGAGTTTCTCGAAAATACTACTCCATTTTATTACGTAACAAATGTTGGTGAATGAACAAGTACAGGTAGGCTACCGTAATGAATGTCGATCATTATTTGTAGATGGCACGTGCACCAGATCGTCAACTTTATATAGGTAAAGGTGTGACTCATGATTTTGGTTGTTTGTTCCGGCCAGCTCCATCCCAATATCGGGATCGTTACGACGAGAAAACGAGAGAAATAGCTTGCTTGAATTCGGGTGATCGTCTTTACGTTTTGGACGACAACTCGCATAATTCGACGGGACTTATTTCGCCAACTGGGACATTGTAGTGACGTAATTTTTAAAAGGACGTAGTCAGGTAGGGGTTAGAAATGAAAATAGTATAAGTACTTGACGACGTTCATTGAAATAGCCCCGTGTATTGAGGTTACTGTTCCCATAACATGCGGTAGCACTGAACGTTTCGTCAGTTTGCCGAATTATGCGAAGAAAGCGATTCCGATTTCGAAACTATCTTGTTGCACTCACACGAGAGGTGGTTGTCGAAAGGAAAAGTGCTGAATTTTTTTTTAGTATTTACTTAAAGAATATGCACGATTTTGCAAGAAGTAAGACATGGAGTGCACGTAAAATTGCCCGATGTTTGTTTGCTTGTGTGCCTGTCTTTGATGCGCTACTGGCTGATATAAGAAAATTACGAAACATAATGCAGATGGGACATTATATATATATATGAGAGTTGCCTTGTCCTGTCCTGAACAAAACCAAAAATAGGTGAACTGACGGAAGTCAGTTTATTCTCATTTCCATGGAATGGTAACCGGACGAGAGGCCGTGGTTCGCCTTATGGTTAAGCCTTTCCTCTGCCTCAGGATAAATATGTAAATTCTATCCTATGTCAAGCAATTGACACCATCCCATTGAACTGTAATAATAATGACATGCAATAAACAAATGCTTGCTATTTTGAATTCTTTAGAAGACCGCTAGGTCATCAGAGAAATTGTAAGAAGATCGTCATGCTAAATTGTAGAAATTATTGAGAACCATTGCTCTAATAATATTCGAAAAAATATAGGGGGAATTCCCTAATTCTATAAACGAGAATATCGGTCAGAGACCGAAGACTTATCGATCGAAAGTTAGGGGATCCCCCAAAACAGCGCTCTTACTCCATAGTGACACCTTGTGTCCCATCACTAATTGATTAATAACTCGCTAATTAAACGACATAATTCACCCAAAATCCAATCCAGTAGGCTTCTGGTACGACATATGATGAATGTACATGCAAAATCTGGAGCAGATTCAATCTCGCTTTCGTGAGATATCGCGTGCATCTAACAGACAAACAAACAGACATACAAATACCTATCAACCTACTTACCGATTAATATCGATAAGTAATAACAAGGTGAACTATTGCCTTGCAGCGTCATCTTGGGGCGATGCTGTTCTCACATAAAAAACGTTTCGCGTTGTGCAAATTTTGTAGCCATAAGTTTCAGGCTATTTTAAAGGTTGCCGCTGGCAAGTAGACCGGATGGTCATTTCACGGTTATCCTGTACATTCCGTACAAAGGCATGCGTATATACAAATATTTTGTTATCTTTTTCGCTCTCATTTTACTATGCTTTTCCGGAATGGCTAATAAAAAACGATTTGGTTGATTGATTTGATTTATAGGAAGTGATTGACCCTATATGCGCATTCACTCACGTGTTTTTAGATTGACACACGTTTGATTGAGTATAACTCCGATCTGAACTCCTCAATAAGCATGGGCATTTCGAATCGAATAGTAAATTATTTCGAATCGCCGCCATCTTTCTTTTTTTCTGCTAATGGTCGAGGTAAATGGTGAATTTCTCAATTTTTTTTTATTGAAGCCATATGTTTTCAACGCAATTCTGACATTGACTCTTTTCTGTAGAGAGTTATTGACAAAAACTTGTTTTTTATTGTGTGTGAACGCTTAGCAATCTAAGTGTATTTCAATATATATATATATATATATATTGTATTTGGATTCTTCAATTGGATTGTAAAACTTTACAATATATGAATATTTGGCATTCAATACATTGTATGCTCATTAGGGCTGGGCAATTTTCGAATACCCGATGATTTCAGAATCAATTCGAATATTTTTTTCGATTCGAATCTCGAATACTCGGTAGATATAGGGTTGTATGTAACTTTCTTACTGTATTAGGTCCTCCAGACACATAAATTACTGAAAACATAGAATTCATCACTCAGGCAGATTGCTGAGCGTTCTCACGCAATAAAAAACACGTTTACATCAATAACTCTCTACAGAAAAAAGTCAAATGTCAGAATTGCGTTGAAAAAATATGACTTCAATGAAAAAAAATTGAGAAATTTACCTCGACCATTGACAGAAAGAAAAAAAAAGATGGCGGCGATTCGAAATAATTTACTATTCGATTCGTAATGGCCAGCCCTAGTGCTTATTGAGGAGTTCAGATCGGAGATATACTCAATTTTATACGAGTATAAAAATCTGGGTAATGGAAAGACTTCATGGCGTAAAATTATTTTAAAGAACCTTCAACGATTCCCTGGATTAGCTACACCAAACGCCAAGGGTTCAATTGAACCCGGGTTAAAAAAAACGCCACCATAGACAGTGCCGTACTCATTACACCACATTCATTGGTTATTGCTCTAGTTAGGGGAACGGCAACCTTTTGTCGCTCACGGGTCAAAATAAAGGGTTGAACGTCTTGGCGGGCCTCACATATTTCTAGAAAGATAAAAACTGAACAAATGACCGTTGAATCCCAATTTTTCCACATAGATCAGAATTGAAATTTTATATTTTGGGCAGCGCGCGAAGATGGTGACAACTCGTGAACGCAACTTTTCGTCTTACTTGTATAAATTACAACTGCTTTGCTACCTATTTAACTCCAAATTACGGCTTTATTGGACAGAATAGTTAAATCCATGGCGTGATTCTACGAAATGAAAATGGTCTGGTTCTAACGGGCTTAGACATAAAAAATTAATGACCGCGCATCGGTGCTTAAACTGGCAAAAAGAGGAACGAAGAAATGCAATTTTTCTGTTCTAAGATAAGTTTATAGGCTACTCAATATACAAAAACAAACAATTTGTCGCAGATTTCACAAGTTTCAATTATTTTGGTATTCAGAATGATATTTTAGAGCAGTGATATTCAACCAGTTATACTATTTACCCAAGTGTATACTAAGTCAGATCCCGGGTATACAAATAACTATTTTGAACGCGCAAAAAAACATTTATTGGCGGAGAGATATACAGAAAAGTCGGTACTCCCGAAGTATGTGAACCAAGATGGCGGACACCGGAACGTAGTATGTGTATCAGGTTAGGGTCAAGCCATAATTTTATTCCAATTTTCCATATTTTAATTCGATTACGAGTTCGAGGACCAGCCAAGTGACTCCCGTAGTATTTGTACCTGAAATTATGGCCCAGCCCTAACCTGGTACACATCCTATGTTCCGGTGTCCGCCATCTTGGTTCACATACTTTGGGAGTATCGAAAAGTCTGCGACTATCTTTGTTATTTGCGAGGTATATACAAAAAAAGTAAAAACCGAAAAAGGTGTAACACGTAGTAAAAGATTAAATAGCACTGTTTTAGTGTATTAGATTGGGATCTATCTTACAAGGCCGTCGAAACTAATGCAAAAATATGAGATTTGATAAAAATCCCTCTGCCAAGTTTTAAAAGCTAATTTGAGGACTTTCTTTTCCCGACTCAATCACTTTCATTGATACAAATCACAGCGCACTGAAAAGCAAAATATAATTTATTAGCATTAATTTTTAACGAGTTACGGCTAACATGTAGAAACGATAAATGTGAAAATAAATATTCTTTGGCTTTTTGCGTCATATTTTTCAATTCCTAATTTTGCATAAAGCGTGTCGACGCCGTTTTTGTAAATTTAGAAACGTCGAACCAGATAAGTAAGACAGGTAGATATTGTATTTTATGGAAATTTCTCGAGATATTGGGGAGAAATATTATTTTGAATTCATATAGAAATGACATTATTGTCGATTTATTCAAGTGTTTAGTAGCCTATCAGTGTTTTAACCCAAAGCTGAGTTACGTGATTATTCAACACTGAGTCAAAGGATTGACAATGACAATACTTTTCAGATCGCAGAAACAATTCTAAGAAAGTAACTGTTTTTGTTCGAGATATGAAGTAATCGTCAATTCTACCTCGCTTTCGTGAAGTGGTACAATAATGAAGGTTTTATTTCATTGCATCAGTGTCTGGACTACCACGCGTTTCGCCAGATTACTGGCGTGATTACAGATCGCAAGGGAGGGTAAAATAGAATATTTTTCTGGAATCGAATAATTCGAATATTTTAAAGAATTGTCGAATATCGGGTATTTTTAGTATATACAACATGCATCCAGAACGCTAGACTTACTAAAGTTGGTGGGCCATTTCCGCCTGTCCTCTTTTCTGTTTACGGATCAATTATTACTAGGGCTGGGAATGGTTAACCGGTTAACCGATTTCATATGGTTAACGGTTATGATTTATTTTAAGCGTTAACTGACATCTCAGGTACAAATCATCTTTATACCGTACAATTTCGTCAAATATGATTACGTCATCGCAAATTTATCTTTTGCGGCGTTTAATTCAAAAAAATATTACTAACTGTGTGGGTGAGGAATCAATAAATGTAAAAAATAATGGAAGTACCAAGGTTGCTAATAATGAAAATTTACAATGATGAATTCAGAATCAGTTTTCGGTCGATGTCGAAATATATTGTTCACGATTTCATTGCAAAATCGGATATTCAATTTCACACAATAAATGTGCAGTTGATGCCGTTTTTCTTCATGATATATATCTCGAAGTAGAATTTGCACATAGAACACTCAAAATTTGTCACATAAATGACGTTTAACAACGGAATCGGGTTTTCTAAAATATTTCCACATGCCCGAACCCAGCTGCCTATTTTTTGCAGCATAGGAATCATGAAACTATCTCGATTCGTGAATAATTTTGAGCGATACCGGGATAAGAACACACGAAATTGCTTTATAACCATTGTGACGTAACAAGATGAAATTATAACTATTACATCAAACGTCACGCGGCGGTTAATCGGTTAATTTTACCCGGTTAACGGTCAAAGTGTTTTCCCTAAAATTCCCAGCCCTAATTATTACACGACCGCGAACGTCGAAGTTTGGCTTTATATTCCTGGGAGAACCATGCGTTCATATGGGCGACAGCTAATAAGGAGTGAATTCGGGTTTTTATTCGGATTTTTATTTTTCCACCTTTCTCCCCACCGTTTGTAAATTAGCCTACCTGTCCCAATTTTGAGCTAACAATATTACAATTTCTGACGCCGGAATACGGATATCTATGACTGTATTTGGTGGACGGGCACGTACGTTCTCGTACGGTTTTAACTTTTTTATTAAGTTATACCCGTCCTCCAGGTCTTCTGCATTTTGTTTGTTGTCGTTTCGTTTCTTTCAGAGTGACCAAAATATAATTGTGTGGTTTAAGACGATAGTTGACTCTCTTATTATTTTACATTTTTCTACTGTGTCTGTTTTATTTTCGTATTGAATAGTGAATAAAAACAGGTCAAATAATGCGTGAATCCTGAATGTTATTTTGAGTTCGAATGATTCAATAAATCGGCAATAATGGCAAATAATAATTCCTTGGTAAAATTTGGGGAAAATTTCGCACAATAATTTGTTACCTTGTAGACTATGACTTTTTCAATTTTACGAAACGTTGTTGGTGCGCTTTATGCAAAACTTGAATTGAAACAATACCCAAATACGACTCCTCAAATTTTTCGTTCCTGTTTGTTAGCAAGAGCCGTGGGGTAATTCTCGCGAGATTCAAGAGAATGGAAATTGGAATCACTTGAAATAAATTCAGAAATGAAAATCTCCAGTGGGCCGCGGCACGTTGGCTGTGAACCACTGCACTACATGCTGTATCGGTATTTATTATCTTCTGAACCGAGTTTAGCAAACGTGAGTGATTTTTTGGGTCTCGTGTAGTTTCGTATCACTGTAGTCTACCGTACTTCATGTGTACCGGTACCGTTACTTCTAGTGGGCGTACCAGCAATCCTCATGTACAGGCATAATTATGGCCATGTAGGCAAGATCAAATTGGGTCTGTCTTCAAATATCTGCAAACAAGAACTGTAGTTCTGATATTACTGCAATACTGTATTACGGGTCTCGTGTAGTTTCGTACCTAATGTACTTCTAGTAGGCGTAGCATAACAATTTTTTGACATGCCAACCCTAACCCTCACCTGACTACTGGACTACGGCATCCAAAAATTACGTCACTACGACGTCACAACACGTCATAGAGCTTGCCAATTTCTCTTACGATCGCCCGAAATGGCATCGGCGCCGACGATAAAGAACTGACTAACATCAGTGATCTCTCTCCTATCGGGATCGTTGCGACGAGAAAACGAGAGGAATGGCTGTTCGATTTCGGGTTCTCGTCTGCGCGTCTTGGATGACAGTTCGCATAGTTTGAAGGGCTCTATTACGTCACTGTGACGTCGTAGTGTCGTAATTTTTAGATGGTGTGGTCAGGTGGGGGTTAGGATTGACACGTGAAAAAATTGTTATGCTACGCCCACTAGAAGTATGTTAGGTACGAAACTACATGAGACCCCTGTATTACACCACAAACTACTTTTTTTCTGTATTCAAACCATCCAACAGTCAACCTCCAGTGCATTGTTTTTAGTGAATACTATGAATTGTAACAGTCGCTTTAGCTTGTTTACTATTTATTAACAATACGAGTAGTGTAGTTAATGATTGTTTTGCTTTATTTGCCATTGTAAAACTAATCAAAATATACCCTTTTTTTAAAAATCATTGGGAACATTTAATTTTACGCGTGGGTATTTTCTGCGATTCTGTCAGTCACAATTTCGTGTTTTGCTGCTAGCTTCACAGAGGTAGTAATATGGATGAGATTACCGCAGCTCTGAGTGCATCATTTCAAGTATCCAACAATACAAATAGCATTTATGCTGCTCATCCCCGACAAAGTGAATACAAAAAGAAAACTAGTAATGATCAACATACACGACGTCAAAAATATCTTGAATTTCAAAAACAAAAGCGTGTGGATTATAAATTACATGCTCGTCGACTTGCTATGAATGATTGGAGTGATGAAGACGAAGAATTTGAAGATGAAAATGAAACAGAAATGGAAGTCATTTCCCACGTCAAACCTCCTCGAAGATATAAAGACCAATTAATGTTATCTGAATGGCTTGTGGATATTCCTCCAGATTTTGAAGAAAATTGGTTAATGATGCTTTGCCCTGTTGGACGTCGCAACCTTGTAGTTGCAGCAAGAGGAAGCACAAATAACTACTCCAAGAGTGGGTATCGTATTGATACGTTTACATCAGGACTTCCTGGTGGTAGTAAATACTCTTCATCTGGTTATACATTACTGGATTGTATTTTTTCCGAAGTGGATAAAACTTTCTATATTCTTGATATTATGTGTTGGAATCAACATCCTGTATACGATTGCGATACTGAATTCCGATTTTTTTGGTTAAATAGTAAAATTCAAGAAATGTCTAATAATCCTAACGATTCATATCAATTTAAAGTTTTACCTAATTGTAAATGTACAAAAAAAAATATGAATAAATCACTAGAAAAAGGTTTATCGAAAAATACAGACGGTGTCTTATTTTATCACAAAGAATCTTTTTATACATTTGGCACTACCCCATTAGTTCTATGGTTGAAGCCAGATATGCTTCCAGAAATGCTTGGATTGAAATTACCTGAAATAGAGAATAATTCTGGCATGGAATGAATTTTATGAACTCTAAATATATCTAATGCATGGGAGATTTGTTTATAATGTGAACGATAAAATATATAATTATTTTGATGCATTGTCTGTGTGTTTCTAAAAAAACTAATATATTTTCTGATCAATAAAAATATCTGCAACTCATTTAATGATAAACTTATGCCAAAAATCTTCAAAGTGATTATCTTTTCACTAGCCTAAATATGTTCCTTGGGTTTCCACAATTTAACATGGCTGAAGCATGGCTGTGAAGCCGAAATTTGGCGTTTTGCTATCAATGTAGGAATTCGGGTTTGGAGTCAAAATTTGTCTTAAACCAGGCGCAAATTTTTCTCATTGGTTGATAATATATCTCTCATGAAATAGTAATTTTCTGATTTTCCCCGCCATTGATGAATTGTGACAAAAGAGGTATTGAAACACCAGTTTAAAATTGATTCCTCTCTCAACTCTAGGATAACAGAACAAAGTTATTTGAAAAACATCTAGCATTTAATAACATTCATTCCATTTATTTTGAAAATTCCAACTCTGACTTTTGACTTTCATGAAATCAAAATTTCGACATTAAAGTGTTCATATATACTATTCTTAAACTTTCATGAATTTTGAAAATATGATCATAAAATTTGTGAAATATGTTTATCAAAAGTTCGTGAGTACAACAAAATAGTTGAATTAAAGTTGCATTAGGTCTAATAGATGATTGGTTTAATTTCGACTTCAGGAAATGAATTATTATACTTGATTCTGTGTTGCACTGATAAATAGTTATTTTAAAAAGCAATGCACTAGTATAGACTGCTCTGTGGTAATGTATATTTTTCATAATATTGTTAATTTTTTGCAGACAATATTTGAATATTTATTGATATATTTAATGTGATACTTTCAACTTCTTGGGAGATTTTACCAATACTCGGCTGCCAATCAATGAAAATATGAAGTAAGATATTCCTTCATCAGCTTACATAAAGTCATGGCACCTTTGATTACTCTGCATGGGATTGCTGGACTTCTTGCCATGTAGAGTGGTTCATGTATCCGCTTTGATATTACGGCTTCGTATTACCAAGTCTGTGCATCTGGAATAACTGGTTCTCATACCCGACGTGGAGTGGTTACAGGATGAGAGGTCGTGGTTTGCCATATGAATAAGTCATCTTATCGAATTTCCTCTACCTTGGGACGAGTATGAAATTTCTATCCTATATTAAGTGAATGAGTGTCCATAACTTCACATGACATTCGATCAGTTTCACGGTTTTATTGCACAATGTTGAATTCAAAAAGATTGGAATCAAACTAATTTGAATCATATATCTCAAAGACAAATAGTTTATTTTGGAAAGTCCATAATACACACAAATAAAAAATGGAGAATTCTGGAGAGTGAGCAAAACCTTTGAAAAGTTACCACATACGTGATAATTTCGAATCTTAATAAATATTTTTCAGGCTCAACATAGATGGACTCCTGGTTTACTTTCCATATGAATTTATTTATCCTGAACAATATTCCTATATGCTTGAATTGAAGAAGACACTAGATGCAAAAGGTCATGGAGTGTTGGAAATGCCTTCTGGAACAGGAAAAACTGTTACTTTGTTGTCATTAATCCTGGCATATCATTTGGTAAGAAAACATGATCAAATATATATATTAGATACTGGAATCTAGTCGAATAATATCCCTGTTATAATGTTGTTGTGAAAAATCATCGCAACTAAATTTTCAGTCCTTACTTTTTACATATCATATGAGGCATTATAATTTCTAATTTTTCTCCTTGTCAATTTTTTAACATTTTGGTATTATTTTTCTGAAATTACATTGGCTTTATTACTTATCGATTAGGTATTTATCTGTCTGTTAGATGCACGCGATATCTCACAAAAGCGAGATTGAATATGCTCCAGATTTTGCATGTGCATTCATCATATGTCGGACCAGAAGCCTATTGATTTTGGATGAATTATGTCATATAATTAGCGAGTTATCAATTAATTAGTGATGGGACACAAGGTGTCACTATGAAGTAAGAGCGCTGTTTTGGGGGATTCCCTAACTTTCGATCGATAAGTCTTCGGTCTCTGACCGATATTCTCGTTTTGTTATTCGACCCACGTTTCCGAAAACCTGAGCATTGCTCTGGTTTCTTCAGTATGGTGCTAGTTTGTTATTAACCTAATGCACCAGTCTTATCTGTAATCAATTTCTAAACTATGATCGGAAGAACAGGAAAATCCTCAGTCTGTTGGGAAGTTGATTTATTGTTCGCGAACTGTTCCTGAGCTTGAAAAAGTTGTTGAAGAATTGCAAAGGCTACTTCTCTATTATAAGTCAACTATTGGGGAGGCACCAAGGATACTGGGACTGGCTTTGAGTTCCAGGTAAATCAATATGAATGTTATTTTTATTGGAAATTCAGAGATCTGAAATTTCATTAGAAATTTATGACTGATTGAAGTGTAATTATTCCACAGGGTCATATTGCCCGTGTTTTACGTGCATAGTTATACTTCATTTGAAGTGTCAATCAAGACAAATATAATTTGTTTTTGAATTTCGAAATTTAGATTTTTTCATATTGGTTGGACTTGTAAATTTTGTTATGATTGAAGAAACTATCATTATGGCTCAATTGTCTATGTAGTACTTCTGAGTAGCATGTTCGAACCTCTTCTGAATGTTTGGTGACCTTCTTCATATTTTATGTGTTTGTTTTGTGTGTTGCACCATGGTGGAGCTCAAAATAAACTACCGGTATGTTTTCTATTACCTAAGTCAACCATGGCAAAATATACTCACTTATACTTAAATTTACTCGTCCCATAACCATAATAAAACAATTTCGAAAGAACAATGCTCAAGATACGGAGTATTCACTTTCCAATGTAGGTTTTATTAGGATAGGATATGATTTACTTATTTATCCCGGGGGAGAGGAAATCCTATAAGATGGTTTAATAATATGGCGATTGGCAAATCATATCGAGTCGTCCGTTTACCAGGCCATGTCGGATATGATTTTAGTTAGCCAGTTATTCGGTTTCATATGCATGGACTTGAAGAAAAGGCAGGTAATGATATTGTTATATTGCGATACTACATTTTTTTTTCTCTAGAAAGAATCTTTGCATCAATGCTGATGTGAAAAAACATCAGTACGGTAAAGAAGTTGACAGTCATTGTCACTCCCTCACTGCATCATTTGTCAGACAAAGGCATCAACAGAATGAGGACATTCCCATTTGTGCTTATTTCGAAGTAAGTCATTGTGTATTTACTAATTAAACTTTGAAATTTCTATTATCAAGGGATTTTATGTCAATGCATTTTATGTTTTTATAGTATGGGGTACTCCCGTAGTATATGTATCAGGTTAGAGTTAGGCCATAATTTTATTTCAATTTTCCTTATCTTAGTTTTATTACGAGTTCGGGGACTGTCTGTGTTAGCCAAGTGAAAATATCCCCCCCCTGCCCATAGGTTTCAGTCCCTTTACAAAACTTGATGTGAAGTTGGTGAACAAAATTAGAGTAGGCGAACACATACTTCTGGAGCGCCAATTTTTGTGCAGTGGAATTACTAAGTATGATTTTTCATGAAAAGTTCAGAATTTTTCAAAATTGAAACTGATTGGTGATCATTGTTTCAAATTTTGTACATCCAAATTCGGAGTCGCTTTTGATTGTGTGATAATCTAACTAGGGCTGTGGCCAGAGTTTGGTATGTTTCTATAGATATTGGAGAGTCATCGTTGTCATTTCAAACGTAATGCTGAATGGTCATGAAAAATTTATGACAAAACTCAAAGAGCTTGAAATTAACTAAACAACATTCTTTCCATATGGCCTAATTAAATGCAGTGTTGTATGCAAAACTTTAATTACTAAAATTTGGTTATCTCTGAATTAGGAGCTATAATAATAGTCTAATTTTGTCTCAACCTTGAGCCAGAGTCGTTTTTTAAATGGCTTGGATAACTCTACGGCCATGGAGCGATCAGTTTTTTGTATCAAATAAAAAAGTTTAAATTTCAAACTGTCATTACTATATACCTACTATATACCCAAGCTGCTACATAGTGACACTCACGATAATGAGCAACAGAATCGCTACATTTCATTGTACTATTGTGATGTAATGGTGATGCCTGGTTTTTAAAATGTTTTAATCATTCATTTTCCAGAATTTTGATGCATTTGGTAAAGAAGAAGCTCTTCCTGCTGGTGTTTATAATTTAGATGATATGAAAGCATATGGACGTAGGAAGGGATGGTGTCCTTATTTCTTAGCAAGACATAGTGTGAGTTGTAACTTATTATTAATAAGAGTGATTATAGCAAGACGATAGCATTCCTAATAGTTCTGTTTAACAAGATATATAGCTTGTCCATAAAATCTTAATTTTTTTTTAAATTACAAAGGAAATTTATCGATACCATATATTGTACTGACCCTCACAGATGTATTAAATGAAGTAAAATACTTAATAAACAATTACTGATTGAAAAACAAGAAACCTGGTTATGATATATTGAGAACTCACTTCATACCAAAATTGAAGTTATAAAGGGCCTTTATGGACACCCTGTATATGATGTAATAATTTCTATTTGATTGGGATTTGAAATATCTTACAGAATTTGTTGTTCTGAACTATAAATTAAGTTCTTTTGTATATTTTAATAGAACTGGGCTATTCATAATTATTAATATTGTCAATAATGTAAAGCTTTACTGTTACAAAAAAATGTTAAATTTCTTGTATGTAATGGTGCAACTAAGTTTCTCCACCAAGCATTCACAATTCTTATGTTTTTGTGTCACAGATCATGCATGCAAATGTTGTTGTCTACAGTTACCATTACCTACTTGATCCTAAGATAGCTGATCTTGTATCAAAAGAAATGTCAAAGAATTCTGTTGTGGTTTTTGATGAAGCACACAATATCGGTACTTTTTTTTAAAGCCGTACATATATTATATATATTTTAGTTTCGCATATTTAGATTGTTCTACCAAATTCTTGATGTTGTTGTTTTTGCGATAAATTATTTTGCCTGCAACTAATGAAACAATCGATTTAAGATTTTAATTGCACTAAGTAAGAAGTCCCTAGAAAGCTATTACTTTTATATTTTTTTCGAGTTCAGTTTAGGTCTTATGTGGACCCCCATATTTCATCAAAAAGTTTCTACTAATAGGGAAACACTTTTTTCTCGCATTCATTGCTTGACCTAACAAACTCTAGTCACTCATGCTTACCTGTACAAGTATTGATTCATGACCTATATACTGCTTAATTTATCTCTTGATATTATACGAAAAGATCGTGATCTAATAATCAAAGTTATATCTCATAAGTAAGTATAAGTAAAAGTTGGCTTATCCCATTACATAATTTTATTGCAAAACTGAGCCGTCTATTAATATTTCACAAATATATAAAAATCCTGATTATTTTTATGTGGATTTACTATTCATATGAATATTTCTTTTCAGACAATGTCTGCATAGAGTCAATGAGTGTTAATATAAGCAGAAGAACATTAGACAGATGCACTGGAAATCTCAATCAACTTCAGGATCATCTGAGCAAGTATCATGGATATATGAATTTTATGGAATAAATTGATTGATTATGCCAACCAAGTAGTCAATTTTCTGATTGGTTAACAATTCCAGTAGCATATAACTTTTTCGGTGATCGCTAGAAAATAGGAAAATTTCAGATGAGATCACGAAAAAAATGTTTTTTTTTTAGTTTTTATTTCTTTTGAATTTTAGGTTGTTTTAGGTTCTATTTTAACACCTACATCATGGACGATTGTAGGAAACAGCTTTTAGACTTTGTGAAAGAAAACATATGCCTTCAAAAAACTTTGTAAAAATAAATAGCTGTTTAACAAGTTTTCCGATTCTTAGCGACCATCGTGTATTTGAGAACTTGATCTATTAATTCTATGCAAAACTTTATTCTTTTATGCTTCTGAAATTGTCATATAAATTTGATTACTTATTAATGGGTTTCGTCTAATTTTATTCTGAAATTCCATAATTTTCAGTGACGAAATTGGCACTTTTCGAGAAGATGAAAGCCTATTGTTCATTAAATTGCCTGACAATCATCTGAAATTTTTACCTTTTCTTACTTCAAAAATTGTTGGACACAGTGAATTAGTGAAACATTGTTATTGTTACTGTTTTAATAAAGAGCTTGCAAAGGTCTTTAATCAATTCTTCATTTTTTTTTTCCAAAGAATGAAAGAATCAGATGCAAAAAAACTTCAAAATGAGTATCAGAGATTGGTTGAAGGATTAAGAGAAGCAAATGTTGCCAGAACATCTGATGTTGTTTTATCTAATCCCATCCTACCAGACGAAGTTTTACAAGGTGAGATTGGGATGTGAACAAATTGACCAATTCTTATTCAAAATCACAATGCAGTTTCATGAAACTATCATTGTTAATAATTTACTTATTGCACACCTTAATTGAAAGGAAAAGATTGAGAACTGTGGCCTAAAATGTATAAGGTAATAGACTTTTGCAGGTATTATATTATAATGCGTCTGATTGAAGTAGCATGTGCGCTACTGGTCTACTGCTATTAGAATTATGTTTGAAATTTTATGTGATTTTACGATATATTTCAAGAAGATCCAAAATCTTTTATTTACTTTTTCAGGAAGTCTCAAAATGTGACAGACTTATTTTACTCTGGTACTGCAAAGGCCATAAGTGCCCACCCACTCTTTTATATGAAGTGCAGAAAATTAAATTACATTTGAAATGCAAATAAGAATACCACATATACCGTAAATCCAATGTGGAAAAATTCAAATTTCGAAGCAATTTCAAGTTCTGTTCACAGTGTAGTTGATTTTGTATATATTCTTCACTATAAATGTATTTTATGAGGCTGACATATATATTCTTTTATTCAATATAACACTTCATTCAGCACCCAATTTTCCCATTTTATATTACAGAAGCAGTACCAGGCAGTATAAGAAACTCGGAACATTTTGTTAAATTTATGAAAAGATTTGTTGAATATTTAAAATCGAGATTACGAGTTCGGCATGTTGTCAGTGAAACTCCGGTATCATTTCTACACGATATTTTCGACAAAGTTTGCATCGCTAAAAAACCTTTGAGGTAAATGAGTGAAATTCATTTTTCTCTTTTGTTATTTTCTGATAGACCACTTTAAAAGTGTCGCTGCTCGATAATCTCTAATGTTTCTTTTCACCTTGAAATTTTTTTAATTTATCTTCACTTCCTAAATGTTTAACACATGTTTTCAGCATGGTTAAAAAATAAACTACTTATTCTCTGATTACTCAAGTCCAGTTTGTTTTAAATATATAATATTTGAAATAAAATAAAACATTTAAACTTTCGGTGCTCCAGAAGTATACGCACCATGATGTCTCACAACCTGAACCCTAACCGGTACACACATACTATGTTCAGGTTGTGCGCCATCTTGGTGCGCATATTTCTGGAGGTCCAAACTTTCATATTTTTCGTTCAAATTAGAATCACTTTGAATCTACTTATCCATGAAATGTCTTCCATTTCTTAATTTGTATTTTTCAGATTTTGTTCAGAACGTCTTTCGTCACTGCTGCGTACACTTGAAATGCCACAAATTGCAGATTTTTCACCGATTGTCTTAATTTCTAATTTTGCCACGTTAGTAAGCACCTATAACAAAGGTATAGTTTAACTGATATTTATGTTATTTCTGCCTCCCATACTTCTTAAAATGTATAATACTCTGGTGCGAGTTGTTGCAAATATCGATGTAATCGTTCAAATTCATAAGTTATTTCAAGGGTTACAATTTCATGACATGAAAAGGATATGATTTTCATCTGCATATTGAGAGTAGCAAATTAACAAGATTCCTTGGGCATGTATTGAATCACAACTTTTGTTTTGTGACCAGTCTTTATGCCATCCTGTATGGACATTTTTTGTGAGGGAGATGTAACCAACAAACTGATTAATATCACTATCAAGTAAATACATTCACATTTAACAATGCATATAACACTACGTGCTCCTTATTACAAGCCATATATTGGAAACCATTAGGAACCTTGGGAGCATTTCGAGAAAAGGGAGAAACCCAGTGAGTGTGATGGTATGAAGTCCAGTAAATATTTTGCAAATGATTCTCCACATATTATTTATGTCATTTTAAGTGTGTTTTAATTTTTCACAAAGTGGGGCAGCCATCAAGCCTTTCATTTTCCTAGTTTTTATAGGGCGCTATGATCGATGAAACTATATTACTTCTATTTTCTTCTGTCTGCAGGTTTTGTTTTATTAATTGAACCTTTTGATGATAAAGCACCAACAGTGTTCAATCCAGTAATGCATTTCAGGTGATTGGTAATTTTCTATTCAGATAAGGAGTCACATAAACTAATAACCCAATGAGAACGAATTAAGGCAAATTACCACTTGGCTGTAAAATCTATGAACAAAATACTATTTTGTCAAAAAAATATTGTACCATACTTTCTCACCTGAAAATTTTACTCAGTAGACTAACTAATTCATGGACTCATGGCCGAATCTCATAACTGAGTAAAAGAGATATTTTCAAAGAGATATTTTAAATATTTCGTCAATAAAAATAATAAGAAGTCTACTAGAGGTATAAACACTGGATATCTTAAAGCAATATATTAATCTGGGAAAAGTCATTTCTATGAGAAGTCTAGAAGTGGTATGATCATACAATCATCAAGCTCGATTATCATATCTGGCAAAAATGGTACAACATGGTTCTCATGACTTATTATATAAATAAATACAGTAATAACTGGCTGGTATGTGTTAACAAACTATTTATTATCCTTTATTACATTTGATCATCTAGATTTCTTATTTCTTAGCTGCATGGATGCCTCCATTGCCATCAAACCTGTGTTTGCAAGATTTCAAAGTGTGATCATCACTTCGGGTGTAAGTTATATGTTCCTCTAATTTAGGGATGGGCAATTACTTTCTGTGTGGGCCAGGTACAGATAATAGTCTTGGTTGCTGGGCTGGAGACTTGAAACTCAATATGAAAAACTATGAATAAAAAACAGTTTATTTACAACAGCTAGTCCAACAATTAGGCTGACCTTTATATATTAATAAAAAGCACAATGTAACAACTGGAGTCAACATGACGTTATTTTTTTAGCAATATTTTCAACAGAAATTTACATTCATAAAAACTGTAGTCATAATTTCAGCAGACACATGAAACACTTCGGTGGGCCGGATCCGGCCTGTGGGCTGTAGCTTGCCCACTCTTGCTCTGATTTGATTTACCGTATTTGCTCTTTTTGTAGCCCGGGCCAATATTTTTTTAACCAAACTCACTAACCGGGCCCTTATTCAAGCACGGGCGCTTGTTATTTTTAAAGTAAAATTATAAACAAAAATATTTGAAAAAAAAAAATATATATATATATAGATAAGATCGATCGTTACAATAATTAATATATTGTCATTTCCAGTTCTCAAGTATGATTTAAACGAGAATAACGAAAATTTTGACTTTTTCTACACACCGCGGGTAGAAATTCTCAAAAGAAGAAAAGTTTTGTGACGCCCTATCAATATTAAAACGACGCACAAACGACACAGTTGAGGAACCACGGTGTTACGTAATCAATGCTATCTGTCATGTAATTGGACGCCTAAGGCGTGAGTGTTATCTACCAGCGCTTAAAATTCAACAGCGTTGTGACAAAAGCGTTTCTTATTTCCTATTGTTCTCTACCACTGAAAAATCAGCGTTTACATCGGGCGGGTATTCAAGCACCGGCCCTTTATTTATTTTTTTATTTATTTTTATGTTCTGTTCACACGGGCGGCTATTCAAACGGGCCCTCAATCAAGATCGGGCGGTAAAACGAGCATATACGGTAAATGCTTGCACAAAATCCTGTCCATATTTCAATACTGTTCATGTTTCATGTACGAACTTTTGTTTTAAGAAATTACGTTCTTGTAAGAATTGTCTGTTATCAATATTTCAGGAGTAATATTGCGAATAGTTCAATTTCTTTGGTTCCTAATAAATGTGAAAGCCTACTTTCAATTTTGTGGGTGCTATGGACTAACAGTTAAATAGTTGAACTTCTGTATGTTGGCGTTGCACGGTTAAAATTCTCTGATTCAAATTACAAGTCCAGCACTTCACCCAAGAATTTGGCTCTTTCAACATAAAGTAGCATCTTAGATATTAGCGTTGACATCATGTACAGAGCCTTGTTTCAAAATGAAGGATAAAATGAAGCGTTATATAAATAAATATGTATTTTATATTTATTTTGTTATTGTGATCAATTCGCACTGCTGACCATTATGGCTTAAAAGTCTTTCTATTTTGCAGACACTTTCTCCGCTAGACATGTATCCCAGGATTCTTGATTTTCAACCAGTTACTATGGCAACCTTTACTATGACACTTGCTAGACAATGTCTATGTCCTATGGTGAGTTGATTATGTTATTTGAAAATTAGGTAACAAAGTACAGTTGATAAATTCATATTTTTCAAATTTCCTAATCTGAGTAATGCTCGCTAATATGAGCCAATTTTGGTCGATGGTGAAAAGGTCGGTCGATGCATCTGAACTGTGCTCAACCTGTTACTTGATATGATATAGTTCAATTTAATCAGTAATATGGGCAAGTCATTGGTCATCCGAGTCTAAAGTCTAGTCCGAAGTCCAGTCAATCCAGTCGAGCCTCACTGACAGGTCAATGATTCAAGCCTTCTGAACACTGCTTCCCATACTCGTGGATTTGGATTTTGTGCTTTTGTAAAGCTGACTTCCTCTTACTCTAGTGTAGTTGAGGTGAACACTAACTATTATTGCTCTTAAATTAGCTTTTTTGTGACTTGGTGAGTTTGAATTCAAGTTATATATGGTATACAGTGATGCCTCTGTGCACAAACGACTCGATACTCTAACAATTCTGTAGCCGATCAAAAACTTCGGGTCAAAAATGCTGCGGTAGTCGGTAGTAACAGAAATTCCGTACCCAACACCCGACTGAGGTAACACTGTTATACAAAATTCTCTAGGTTGTCACGAGAGGCAACGACCAAGTTGCAATAAGTTCTAAATTTGAGACAAGAGAGGACATTGCAGTGATTCGGAACTATGGAAATCTTCTTGTTGAAATGTGTAGAATTGTTCCAGATGGTGTTGTCTGCTTTTTTGTTTCATATGTGTACATGGTAAGTATATTAGAATTATCGTTGGGCCAGAGCTAATATCTTAGGAAATTGTTGCTAAACATAGAATGGATATTTTCTTTTGGGGGGGGGGGGGGATGGATTTTCATATTTATTCTCGGGGAGAGGAAAACCAATTTTTGGTTTAGTCAAATGGCTTCTTGTCCAGATTTTGTCTGGGTACCGGTACATGGTTAGCAAATTATAATTATCTCTGGGCGAGAGATATTCGTCAAAATACAATTCTTGAGGAAATTGTCACCAAACACGAGAGAATTTTGTGTACTTTCACTGGTTGTATCCATATTTATTTCTGAATAAAAAAATGGAGTAGTTTAAAAATATGACAAACCATGGCTTTGAATCTAGTTACTGCCTTGGCTAGGTATATGGATAGTTAACCAGATCATTGTTACGTATGTATGAACACCCATGATGGGGAAGCTGTAAATAACCACTGGTTATGTGAACCACCATACAGCACTGATGAGTCCAGCATCCACTCATACCAATGATATCTCAATCTATGAAATTTTAAATAGCTAGTATGGTCGTAACACTTGTCCAATGTGCCAACCATCCAGTCCTGACTCAAGTTTTAATGATTTTCAAATTTATTTTAATTTTATAATTGTTCATATTTTTTCAGGAGAACATAGTTGCTGCATGGTATGAGCAAGGAATCCTTGAGAATATTCAGAAAAGTAAACTTTTATTCATTGAAACTCAAGATGCTGCTGAAACTAGTATGGCCTTGGATAAGTATCATGAGGTATGTGATATCACTGTAAGCTTTCTGTTTACGTAAAGATGCCGAGTCGCTAATCTATGTAAATAATTGGTTTTAGATTGGTAGACTGAAATTACGCGATTGTATGAAGGTATTTTATTCAGCATAACATTCATCTCTATACAAAATTTCGATAACAAATTCAGCAAATTCCAATTTTGTTTTGTCATTTGGTGCAAACTGTTTCTATTTTGATAAAAAGTCCTATTTTGGTGAAAGTTCATCCCTTAGTTAGATCATTGTATTCAATTTAGTCTAGTACAGTGCTCTTCAACCTTTTCGTTATTGTGGAACCCCTGATATAATTTTTCGATTTTTATGTAACCCCAATTAACAAAATTAAAATAAAACACAAAATACTCGTAACACGAAATATTTGTAATTCAAATATTTCTACTTCAACAGCAAAACAGAAAGATGGTAACAAGGGTGAAATTCAATGAATAAGTAGTTCTTGCATTTCCTTTGCAATCTTCTTGAATTCTCATACTCATGTGTACAATCTTCAAACAACTTCGCAACGACGCATCAACATGCTGAGGCCAGAAATGATTCCCCTAAAAAAAACGCGCAATCCCCAAGAACCCTGTAAACTCACGGAACCCCACTGCGTGTATTGCGGAACCCCTGTTGAAGAGCACTGATCTAATATCTAGAGTTTACAGGACTTGAGCATGCTTGAATGTACCGATGACTTTTTAAATAATTACTCAATAGTCATATAATGTTGAAATATGTATTCAGTATATAACTTAGAGAACAATACAGACTGTATCTACATCCTCTCTGTTATTGTCTGATAATTTACATTTAAAATCCTTTCAGGCCTGTAACAATGGAAGGGGAGCAGTTCTGCTGTCAGTTGCTAGAGGCAAAGTTTCTGAAGGAATTGATTTCAGTAAGTACAATTATTACGCAGACAATACATTATTTTTTCTAGTATTTTATTTGATAACCGTAGCAGTCAGAATACCATGATATAAATTTTGGATAATGGACAACTAATAATTACCGTATATGCGCGTTTTACCGCCCGATCTTGATTAAGGGCCCGTTTGAATAGCCGCCCGTGTGAACAGAACATAAAAATAAATAAGGGCCGGTGCTTGAATACCCGCCCGATGTAAAAGCTGATTTTTCAGTTGTAGAGCACAATAGGAAATAAGAAGCGCTTTTGTCACAACGCTGTTGTATTTTAAGCGCCGAGTACGGCGTCCAAGTACATAACAGATAGCATTGATTACGTAACGCCATGGTTCTCAGACTGGGCGTCGCGACGCCCAAGTGCGTCGTTTCAATATTGATAGGGCGTAGCAAAACTTTTCTTCTTTTGCGGATTTGTACCCGCGGTGCATAGAAAAAGTCAAAATTTTTGTTATTCTCGTTTAAATCATACTTGAGAACTGGAAATAACAATATATTAAATATTGTAACGATCGAAAATAACAAGCGCTCGTGCTTGAATAAGGGCCGGTTTGAATGAGGGCCCGGTTAGTGTGTTGGTTGAAAAAATATGGGCTCGGGCTACAAAACGAGCAAATACGGTATTCTATGCATGACTTTGGAGTAGAGACTGAGTCAGGTTTCATCTTGTTTTATTTATACTGCAGTCTTGAACCTGGGTCTATGTAATTGTTTTCACAATTCACCACACATTGAAACGTTGAAATTCATTATTTCACAATATTTAGTTTGAAACTTATTCATTTTAAGTGTTAGAGAAATTATGTGATCTGGGCTCAGTCCAAAAGCTACCCTTCAACGCAAGCAGTACATACTTTTTTTTTTTAAAACATTTTTATGATTTGGCAAGCCAATTAAATTGTCTGTTTTTTTTTAAAACATTTTTCTGATTTGGCAAGCCAATTAAATTGTCTGTTCTTCTCCCATTCCTAAAAGGAACCGGTTCTTTTTATTAACTTGTAATGAATATAAATTGTATTTTTTTTTCAATTTCATCCAGCTCATCACCTCGGACGAGCTGTCATCATGTTTGGCATTCCTTATGTTTACACTCAGAGTAGAATTTTACGAGCGAGACTTGAGTATCTACGAGACAACTTTCAAATTCGTGAATCTGATTTTCTATCTTTCGATGCACTTCGACACGCAGCACAGTGTGTTGGAAGAGTAATTCGTGGCAAAACTGATTATGGAATTATGGTCTTTGCCGATAAGGTATTGTTTAACATGTTTGATATAAAGTAAGACACTCATTAATATTGCTTATAAGAGATATCAGGGTATACCTGTATATAATTTTTAAGAGGGTTTGCTCAACACACGGTCAGTTACACTCACTCAGTCAGAGGAGAGTAAGGAAAATATAATTATAATGCCGGATGACTTATCGTGACAGGTATTATCTCCGCTGGTGATAACTCATCTTTGTTTCAGTCGCCCTTTTAGTGACATAATTGAATTTGAACGAATGTATTCATTTGAAATGACAAAGGTCTTATGTGTTATGTAACTTTGCACATACTGCATCAAGATTTTGCTTGAAATCTGACTTTCTATATCATCTGTTCCAGAGATTTGCACGTAGCGACAAGAGAAATAAGTTACCTCGTTGGATACAAGAACATTTGGGAGATAATGTATGCAATTTATCAACTGATGAATGCGTCCATATTGCCAAGAGGTTTTTACGAATTATGGCTCAACCATTTACCAAGGTAACGTGACAGTCAATGATTTCAAAATTGCTTCAAAGTTAACTGAACAAACTCTTGAACATCTTTGAACGTTGTTTTACAGGATGACCAACTTGGATTATCACTGCTAACTCATGAACAACTGGAAACTGGTGAAATGCAGAGAAGAATTCAGCAACTTGCACATCAAGTTTAACATTTTTTATGCACAAAAATAACAATCATTTCTTATTCACTTAGTACTTGTTTGTGTTTGATGTAGGGCGAAGCTGCATATGGATAAGTATTAGGCTAATACATTGAATGAGAGTCAGAAAAATAGCAAATAGGTTCGGTTGTCTGGGTTTTCTCATATGTGTTGGTATTGCATTTGAGGATGAGGTTAGTTGTCAGAATATACGTATAATAGTGATTTCAATGCATATGATAGTTTGAATATTCCTAAGAGCGTATGGAGTGAAGGCTTGTTGAAACGTTGCTGGTAATAATGTACAAAGAACATGTCTTCCTAGTGTTAGTCGGTCGCACACGGCGAGATGACATGAATTACAAAAAAGGTGCTTTGCATGGAGGGTCGGGACTTTAGATACTGTTTGTGGCCCTGGTGAGCGACGCCTGTCCAGTACCGGCCTATTTTTAGAGAAAATGTAGTTTGAAGTTTTTATATTTATTCTGGGGAAAGACACGCCTGTCTACTGTGGCAATATTGTACCAAATTCTTCTCATTCCATATGCAAAGATTTGGTTTGTAAGGAAGCAGTTTCCGCGGAGGGATTGACGGGATGACTATCTTCATAATCATCCCCACCGAAAAAATACAGGTCACTGCGTCATGGGTACAACCGTAAATATATACTACTATGGTACAACGATACGTTTTACTCGACTAAGGACGTCACGTAAGCGAACAACACCTAAAATTAGGTGTAAACGTGCAGCAAATTCAAATAACTGAATTTAAAAAATCCAAACTCGCGCTAAATGAGTAAATATCAAAATACTCCCAATTCTTTACTTGGCCGCGACGCGTTAATTTTAGCGCTGGCTGTTGGTGTATGTTGGGCGAATGTGGCGTTACCATTGTACATTCTGATCCGTTGTATATTCTGATATATGCATGCGTGCGTCGCTTTACTTTTCAACATAATCTGCTGCAATCACTGTTCGTTTGTGCGCAGACAAATGTTCACAGCTATTTCCTTTCATTCTTGCATCGATGTGGCTTTGTCTGGCTTACTCACTTTTGATTTTAGTGATGGCGGTTTCGGTAGCAGACAGCAACTCTTACGGTATTTCTGTACCGGTGTCAAGGTTGACTTGAGTGTTTTGTATGCTTATGTTATATGCATTATTATTAATCAAATGTCGATACAGGTTATATTTTTTGTCCGTGGTCAGTCATACATTCGTTAAACTGCAGAACCGTGTAACACAGCACAAAAAAAATAAACGACAAGAAGGCTAAATGAATTAATGAAGAAAATACAGAAATTGGAGTACGGTGTCCTATGTAAATTGTGAACCTAAATTGGAAAGTCTAATTTGATTTCACATGACAAAATTTTCGCTATCAGACTATAGAACTCTTGCCTGCTTCGGAAACTGAGGAATGGAAGATTCAGGCTTTGATCTTTGAATTTTATGATATGACGATAGGATTTCAGTCTTCAGATACCACAGTACTGCAGTAGGCAAAGCGTACCACTGTACCAGGATTATTCTGTTATATCAGTAGACTATATCATGTTGTGTTTCGTGAATTAAATATTTATTCACTGATTTATTTTTTATGGAATAGCTTGTATGAATGTTATACAGCACTAACAGTACCATAATATTCCAATGGATGAAATAAAAGGAAAAAAATTAACAAAATCCACCAGTGGATTACGAATGATTCCAACTGGTGAAAAATATGCAAGTCCTTTCGCTCTCGAAGAACCGATGTGGATGCCAGATAGAGAGGTAGAATTTTACTTTAAAATTTATTCCTTTTTACCAAAATTATGCAGCAAAGATTCAAGATTGATATTTCGAGTTGAAGATTTACGTTATCGATAATATATCTATATTGATCCTCAAATCAGTCAGCCCACTGGCCTAAAAATGAGAATTGTGCTTTAATATATTTACGTTTGTGGTCTGTATACTATTTCTCATACTGTCATAGGCCTATTAGGAATAACTACATTAAGCAACCAGGGACATTTAAGTGTAGAAATTGAAATAAAAATTTCTATCTTATATTGGCATTGAGGAATTTTTATTATTGAATGTAATTTTTTTATTATCATTCTGGCAGCATTTCAATCAATTTTATACACATTACACTTCATTTGTCTGGTTTTTCGTTCGTTTTTACCAGCTTATATAAATACGTTATTCCTTTTTGTTATCAATTTCAGCTCTCATTATAAAGTGTTTTTCTATTTCAGACCAAGAAATGTGTTGGATGTAAACTAGTATTTGATTTCCTTAATAGGAAGGTAAGATGCAACATTTGTTGGTTATGTGAGATATCTCGGTTTACAAATGCTAAATTTTGTTTTATCAAACTTGCGCAAAACACTGGCTGAACAGATAATAAGACAATTCAAATCTGCTCAATACATAGGTGGTTGAAATAGTTAAATTAACTGAGAAATTGAATAAATATATGTCAACATATCATTTGTATGAATGTATCAAATGAAATTGCCCAACAGCATTGTCACACTTTATTGTCACACCCTATATATCACATGACTGCATTGTTTTCAATGTCTGTGTTTGTGTGAACAATGTATTGATTAGGGCTGTGTATATGAGGTGAAGAAATGAATTTTAAAAAGAGGGAAAACCAACCTCCCAGTAAAAAAAAAAGAAACATTATGGCATATGCAAGCCTTCTTTATTTAAGTCTTAGATAATTTATTAATGCTTTTTGAGTTACTCTGAGAAACCTGTATTTTGTATAATGAGTTGTACATGATGCATTCTCAAAAATTAATTTATTTTCAGCACCACTGTCGTCGTTGTGGAAAATGTTACTGCAATCGATGTTGTTCAAATTCTATAAATCTACAGAGAATGTACTTTGTTGATCCAGTAAGACAATGCTATGATTGTGCTGTCATATCCAAGAAAGAACAAGAATTTTATGAAAGAGGCTTGAAAGTGTTAATGGCTGGTGGGTGGATTAGGCTATTATTTGTTGCAATTATTTACTATTGTTTGTAAATTAATTCTCCACCTCTCCTCACAAAATCTTGATGCAAATGAGTAATGCATCCTTCTATATTATCTGAGATTCACTGAGAATCAGAATTAATTGAAGTGGTGGTATTTGCAAAAAATTTGCCAGCATTTGAGTTGATAATTTTTTTATGGGTCCGAAACATTTTACAACTTAAAATATACGGTAGCTAAAATAATTGGCTTTTCCAAGAAATAACTTTTTTAAGTATATTTTGTTCGTTTCATACATTATTATTCCATGATGTTCCACGTATATTTTGTTTGTTTCATACAATATTATTCCATGATGCTACATCGATATCAAGTAATATCTTGAAGTTAATGCAAATATGTTACAGTTGGTGCATTATACTCTAATGTCATGAACATAATGTTGATTATTATGAATATTCATGATATTCCTTCTTCAAAATATAATTTAAAATTTTCAATTTGATGTAATTATGGGTTCAACGTGATACAATACATTTTGTGCAATAGCCTAGCTAGCAGTGATCTTTCATTTCAAACTTTCACAATTTAAATTCCTTCGAGACATTTTAATGCCTGGCCTGACCTATACAGGAACAGGAAATGCAATTATGTCATTGTTTCTCAGAATCTTGACTGTTCTTTCTTATATATTTTATTTGTGCCTTGTATCACGTTTCACAGCGTCTAGCATTACATCATCCTGTATAAGGTGGTATGATTATAGTGTGCAATCAAGTTATGCAAATGATTTTTTAAAATCACTGCTTATCTGTTTATTTCAATTGATAAGACATTGATTGGCAGATAAAAAAAATATATAGATTACACTGAATCCTGAATTCCAGATAGATCCTAAAATAATCTTTTCAGATATTAAACACAAGGTGACCTAAAAAGCAAAGCATCGGATAGACGGATATTTTAAAAGATCAATGAAGTTGTTGTCCACCAGATGTCAATAATTTCTGAAATTGAGAAATTAAATATGACCTTTTCGAATCAAATATATACTTTGTAATGTACATATCTGTAAATAGCAGTGTGTAAGTAACAAAACAATTCTTTAGTTTACTTATATCAAAATATATAAAACTGCTAGTTTCATTTTTTAACAAAAATATCTATACATGTATGTTGTATTTATCACAAGCTCAATATAAAATTTAAAATGTCTTCGTTCAATAGTAATGACAAAGTATTTTGAATACCTTAATGCTCATTGATGATTGTTAGTTGTTACCCTAATATACCAAACCCAATTACACTACAAAAACAACTGATAGCATTATGGCTAATTCCCTCTTGTCCCAGTTACATAGACTTTTGTCTAATAACAAAGCATGGGTGTCAACAATTCGATATTGAAAATTTATATCAATTAGAATTTTTAACATCTGACATACGGTAGCTAATTTTTGGTTTGGAGGAGAATTTAAAATATTATTTCAAGAATTTGATACTGATTGTCTGTCATGAATTATTTGTTTTTGGCCTGATCTCAAGGATTTTTCAAATACTGCACAAATGAAACCTAACAACAAATATTATAATGATCATGTTTTTCAAAAATACCTTATCAATTTATCACATCTTTATTTGTTAACACATTTATTAAGCCTAACTTTATATTTATGTATTTATTGATTACATGTGTATCATATTACCCTATTACTAATTCATAACATGCCGTGATTGGGATTAAAATGGTGCAATAACTCTATGTACGACAGTTTATTTCCCTCGAAATGTAACAACATCTGCATAATAAATAAACAATGTAACTGAGACACGCAACATGTACAAGACATTACCGGCCTAAGACACAGTTGTTCAACATAAACCCTTCATAAGTATAACAAGAGTTTAAAACTGTTAGATTATAATAGGACAACATATACAAAAAGATAAACTCTAGTATTACAATACACAACAACCACTTACAACATAACCATGCATAGCTATGATTAGGCCATGCGTAAATGATATATCGAGTCTAATTAAAACATATTTATCTACAACAGGAACGATACAGAACATTGTGGAGGAAACGCATAATAATGACAGGACAGATTTGGGCAATTATTTATGCCGTTTATCAGCGGATTACAGGTTTGTGGTTGTTTTACAAATATTATTCGGTATTTCCATAGTATGTGTGCTAGGTTGGGGTTAGGCCATAATTATTATTCCGATTTTCCTTATTTTAATTCTATTACGAGTTGGGGACTGTCTCTGTTAGCCAAGTGAATATACCCCCTGCCTATAGGTTTCAGTCCCTTTACACAACTTGATGTAAAGTAGACAAACAAAATTAGTCACCTCCATATTGGTACACTGTACACATACTTCTGGAACGCCTATTATTCTATATTATACTCTGCTACCATTTATTTAGTTGTATCTAACTTACATTAAAAGCAGATCGACTGATGGATGTGGTAGTTTCCCTTAGTGCTTATTTGCATATAAAATCTTGTTTTTATTTGTGTAGTAATCTGATATTTAAATATTTTAAAGTGATCAATTACGCACCTATGTCAAGCAACAATTATATCTAATTTCACCTAAGATTGCCCATTTTGAACACGTTTCGAATATAAATTTTTGCAAGTAGTTTCAGCAGTCCTATCTCTCAGTATGAAAATAAATTTTATATTCTAAATGCTTCGAGAAGAAAATGTCTAAAACCTCGTATATTCCTAACAATCCTAAGTCTAGTATTAATAATTAGTTATTAGTAGAGTCATTGGTATGGTGAATGTGAATTTTGTTATTATTTATCCATTTTCTTCATTTAGAATATTTCATTAATATTGAAAATGGCTATTTTGGTGGATATAACGTATTTTTATTTTGGTACTCCCGAAGTATGTGAACCAAGATGGCGGACGCCGGAACATAGTATGTGTACCAGGTTAGGGTTAGGCCATAATTTTATTTCATTTTTAGTTCTATTACGAGTTTAGGGACTAGCCAAGTACCTTTATTCTTATGAAATGATCTTAGAATTGGTAATATCCTTATAGATACATCGAGTTTTCATCGAATGAATCACAAACACAAGATAAGGAATCCTTGCCAAGAAATGTTTTGCTGAGTAAAGTAACTGGAGCACAAATATTGACAGATTCACAATCAGGTGATTATATTTTGTCAAAATCATATACAGAGGAAAATTGTCTTTATATATATTTAGGGTAACTCCATGGGGGAAACGAAAAGTTATCAAACTCTCCGATTTTAGTTTTTTTCTTTAATGCGTGTCATTTGAAGATATGATGAAGTATTTTGAAATTGCAATTATTTTTTGCATTACATTTCATACTCGAGCAGTTGGATTAGGTAGCATGTGGCTTTTGGAGATGTGTGATCATATGGTTATAAAATTTTGAGGCTCTCCAAAGATCTAGTAATGATACCCCTTCAACTTGAAAAGTTTGGCATTTTTGTGGACGTATAGCTTCAGTTCTACTATTAATATATATGTTCACATTTCAGAGAGATAACTGTGATAGTCTCCACTAAAACGAAAAAAAAAATTATAAAAACCAAATATCAAAATGGATACTGTCGTCAGGGCAAAATATGTGAAATAGAAACCACTGTGTTAACTAAAATGCCATTCCTCGTTCGAAGATTTATAATCAACTCTGAAACTTTTCGTAGAGTCTCTTAACACAAAAGTTGCAACAGGATTAGAATTGAAATATAAAGATGAATATGACAGTGCTGTTGCCCACCATATCATTCTACATCCTGTGGATCAGAAAGCATCAATGCCTTGGTTGATTGCAGCCCATAAGGTAAGTTAATTTGTAAGTTTTGAGGTATTTCAGGTTCCAGAAGATCTTCATAGTTAGTGGAAGGGAATGAATCAGATAAATGGCTTCTCATCCAGTTTAGGTTTGGTAATAATTGTCAGCTAACTGATCCAGGAATTGTCGCTGTTGAAAGAATATAACATTAGCTGTTAGATTTGCGTAACATACAACATTCCCGGGATCCCTCTGGTCATTGCAGTAAAATGGCCCATACAATCATTCGACCGCATGGCATTTTGACTAAATTAAATTATTCTTCGAGTTGAACCAAGTGACACTTGGTTAATATTTGAAGTTTGTATAAAAGCCTGAAATTACATGTCTTTTCAATCGATATACACTTCACATGGTTGAAAGTTTCTAAATCGTGTTGGTATGCGGGGCTAGGGAACTGTTTATAAATTACAATGGCTTGCGAGCTGTATTTTCAAGCCTCTGAGTCAGGCTTCATACTTAATATCGTTACCATGAAACGTTGCCCAAACAAACATCATATTATTCATTGTATTTGATATTAATGTCTGTGCAAAGGAACAACCCTTACAACCTAACACTTGCTGCAATACTTCTATTTTCAGGCTCTCAAGATGATATTTGAATCAAAAGCTCAAAGCAGAATCCAGTGATTTGACATTGAACTTCTAACGAATGTGCCTTCTTGCTTTTGTGCAATATGTAAATTTTATATGTTGGTTTTGAACTATAATTATCACTTAGTCTCATATATTGCAAACTAAACACACACATTTTCCATTAAGCTGTGTATATATGTGATACATAAGGCCGAGAGGGAGAACAGGACCTTTTTGACTGGAGGTCAGGCCCACAACGTTTCTATCAATACTTGTATCCTTGAAATTTAATAATGTAATAATGTTGCGTCAATAAAATCTAGAACGGCAACTCTAGCGATCTTCAGAAAATCCTCTTGTTTTTGGTGAATATTAATTCAGATTTAGAATTCCCTGGAGTATAAATTGACCTGAACCAGTAGCAGACGCAATTTAAAACTGCTATGTAGCAATTTTCTGGGGAAAATATCCAAATTCATCAGATTGCTTTTCTATAAAGAGTGTGGGATGGGACTCCCCATACATATCGGTTGTATATGGAAACAAAGTTGGAATAAAGATTAGGACAAGTTTCACACCAGTTAGTAGAATGTATTTTCAGGTTTTGATTTTTTTGGTACTTCCATAGTGTGCTTACCAGGTCAGGCCATAATTTCATACCGATTTTCCTTATTTTACGAGTTTAGGACTGACTGTCTGTGTTATCCAAGTGAATATACCCCCTATAGGTGTCCCTTTTTTACCTAATGGAATGGAAATCAAGTTGACATAGCCCAAACTAATTTTAAAGAGACTCCCCTTTTTGTTGTTGGCCGATATATTAACACCTTGCAGTTCTGGGTTTTTAAGAAGCTGGTGCAATCTCTAATTTACCTTTTTTCTTGCCATTTGTTCATCCATATTTGTATTTTCACTTTTGAATAAATATGTTATGTACAGCAAATGGCAGTTGAATTGATATTGCAAAGACATAACAGTAAAGCAGAATTTTTAAAGATCTAGTCCGCAGCTCTTTCTTTTCGCATGATGAAAACAGTGTTTCAGAAAACTGAAATGGTAGGGTCTCCAGCGTAATGGAGAGTTTGAATATCGTCTGCTTGACTTATTCAAGTCGATAGGAGTTCTCATTACTACATCCTCGTTTCCTGACATAGGAGAGTTTAAGTTTGTATTGGTATCATTTGCAGGAGTTAAATTTTGATTTATGAGCGAGTCGTCTCTTGATATCACCTCACCTAAATCAACTAATGGCTCCACTGTCGTAACAGTCAGTGGTTTGCCAAATAGACTCTCAGAGCCTAATTTTCGTTTGTGCTGAATAGATTCTTCCATTGAAATTCCATTACGAGTTTGGGATGATTCTATTGGGTCTCTAGTCTCTAACCTAAAAATAGAGAGGCAAAGTTATTATTAACATTTAGGAGCGGAAGTCAAAGAGTCTAAATTATCGATAGAAACTCAAGGAATTAGGTTGGCTCATCAATCATCATACAATTAAAGAAACTTGTTTTTATCAAAATTTGGTTAAATTTTTTGACTGGAGTTTTCTGGTCGCACAGCCGTGTCTAGTGGTTGAGCCATATGATGTTGGGGATGCTAGCCCAGAGTGCAATGAATTTAGCAACAGGCGACTCAAAGAGTCACGGTACTTCTAAGGATAGAAGCTCAGTTACTGAGTGTACGAAGCCTTGTTTGAAGAATTGGAATTGCCTTCAATGTAATAGAAGCCTTAAAAGTTATACGCACCATGTTTCCAGTTCTGTGATGAGTTCCTTTACGTGTTTCCAAATATTACTGACAACATTTATGTGCAGAGTGTGAAGGGAAATAAATCTTTCCAAATTAATTTGTGGCAGACATGACCTAAATATAAATATCACACAAGATAGGATTTTATATTTGGAGAGAAGAAAAGTCTCACATCCAGCCCGAGTGAAGCAATGCTTTCTCACTTGAGTATTGCACACAGGGATATCAATGGTGTGATGGGAACCATGCTCCTAACGCTATGCTAAGTAATCAGTGAATAGGAAATGCATAAATCACAATGCAAAAGAGGAATTATTGGCGCTCCAGAAGTGTGTGTACCACTATGGAGGTAACTAATTTTGTTTGCCTATTTTCATCAAGCTGTGTGAAGGGACTGAACCTATGGGCAGGGGGATATTCACTTGGCTAACACTAAAATGAAGAAAATCGGAATAAAATTATTGCCTAACCTGGTACACATACTACTGGGGGAACCGAATTATTTTACAGAAACAATACAGGAGATTCATTGATATGTCCTCTTTTATGTCTCATAGTTGGATGATTAACATCCAAATAAAATTATTATTAACTTTGAAATTCTCTCACTTCACAGTTTCTAAGCAATTGTTTTCCACTTCTTTCAATAATTGAATAGCAAATCTCAAAATAAATTGTGTATCTTTGCCCATCTCTTCACCCTGCTTAGATCTGTAAAGGAATGTCAAATGTAATGTATTCTAAATTTGTAAACAGGGTAATACTTCATCTAATAGTCCAGAATTCAAACCCTGAAATGTTTGAAGAAAGTACTTTTCCCAAACGTCACACAACAAATTTTTTGATTAGTAACTTAAAAGAGTATATGTTTTAGTGTTCATTTGATTTATGGCTTGAATTGTTGTATTTAACATCAGCTGTCAGATAGATATAGTAATGCAGATTCACCCAAACGCTAGAATACCAAAAAAATAAAACTATTACAAATCAGGACTTATTACCAATACCTCATTGTTTTAAAATACCGGTACTGTGAAAGCTTGAGTGAATGAAATTCATGCATGTGCCGATCAATTTTCTTCAGTGCTTGGAAATATTTTTGACATCGATGTGCTCTGCTGTTCTTGTAGATTAATTGTGAAATTACACCCAAATCATACGCCATTTCAGGATTATTTAAGGCTTTAATTAACCTGGCATGGTCAAAAGACATATCGCCTTGTACTGACTTCATCTGAAAGTTTATTATGTAAGAATGCTGTTTCAAAAAAAAAAACTTTTGTTTATGTTAAGTATAGCATAATCTAAATCAGAAATGGAAAACTTGGGAGATTATAGATCAATTTTATCAAAATGACGTGTTGGTGACGTCGTAGTGACGTAATTTTTGGATGGCATAGTCAGGTGTGGGTTAGTAATAACATATGCAAAATTCGTTATGCTACGTCCACTGGAAGTACCGGTACCTGTGGTACTATAACTATACTAGACCCTAGTTTAGTATCACAAGTACTTCCATTGGGCGTAGCATAACGAATTTTGCATATTTTATTCCTAACCCCCACCTGACTCTGTCATTTAAAGATTACGTCACTACGACCTCACAATCACGTCATAGAGATTACCAAAGTATACCGGTACCTACGATCGCCCAAAATGGCACCTTTGCCAACGTTAATGAACTTACTATCGCCAGCGATCTCTCTCATATCGGGATCGACCTGAAAACAAGAGAAATAGCTTGCTCGATTTTGGGTGATCGTCTGCCCATCTTCAGATCTTGGATGACAGTTAGTACCGGTATAGTTTTGCGGGCCTTATTACGTTACCGGTACTGTGACGTCGTAGTAACGTAATTTTTGAATGACGTAGTCAGGTGGGGGTTAGGGATAACATATGCAGGTTGTGCCACGCCAACTACAGGACTAGTAGTAGGCTACTTAAGTCGTGTTGTGAACATGTCTGGATAGTCTGAGACCAGAATCGATTTGAAAATGTATTAGGTATTGTATTACAGCCATGAGAAAAATTATGCAGATCAGCAGCATCTAACCGTTGTGATTGTATATCTGTCAACAACGGTGATACCGGTACGGGCGGTACCGAACATAATTCCCAATAACATAAGAAATCCATCGCCTTAAATTGCACATGTGCCTTCCAGTGAATCAGGACAGCAGGACGAGGGGGTTTCCGCATATGCGTGGTGCAGGGAGCTTATGTTATGATCTTTATGAATATGTTAGAGCAGGGCTTCCCAAACTGGAGTCCGTGATGACTGCACAGGGGGTCCCGCAAAGATATATATGAAAAGAGTCTGATCGATCTTCAGTGATTAATGTATGTATGTTTATTTGCCTCAAAAAAATTGATTGATTAATGAATTGTTAATTGATTCCAATCAAAAAGCCATCCCATCTTTTTGGTTGAGCGTTGCGGACGAATATCCATTGCTGTCAGAAAAGGCATTAGCATTTTATTGCATTTTGCATCTAACTACATGTGTGAGGCAACATTTTCAGCTCTTACCAATATGATGGCAAAATACAAATCGAGAGACTTGAGTCGTAGAGTCGGATCTACAGAATTGCTTGTCACTTAATGCTTCGAGATTTGTGAAGTGGAAAGCAACCTCATCCATCACATTGATGTGGTTTGTGTTGTAAATGAAACATTATCATTTTTGTTGGTTGGGAACAAAAATGGATACGACATAAGATGGGGGTCCGTAAAACTTAAAATATACAAATAGGGGTCCGCGGCCAAAAAAGTTTGGGAAACGAAAGTATATTTTACAAACGAATTTTTTTAAAAAAATATTTATAACAGTAATCGAAAACATTAGTATCACAATGTTTTAGATAAAATGTGATTGGTATTAAGATTCAGATAATTTATTTCTATCATGCAAGAATAAACACAAAAATTGACAAACGTGTATAATGACAATCATGAAAAATTTAATTATACACATTTAATTTATACAAATTTGATCAATCAAAATTAACAGAAAAACGAAATCACAACATATCACCAGAGTAATAATACACGCGACAGCGTCCTGATGGGGTTCGATTTTGCGTTCATGGACCGTAACAAGAAGTTTTAGAGGGTATGACAAAAAAATTATATAAATTTAAAACTGCATTCTTATTAGTATTTATTCCGAGATAGTTACATATTCCTAGTTCCACCCTGTGTCATAGTCTCAAATATTGATGTCGCAACTGTAACTAATGTCGCAACTGTATTTGCATCAGTTGTTGACTCGTTCTTGGGACTTATATATTTTGTCCCTCATTCATGTTACTTCTCATGCTAACTTGTAACAGCGCTGTAGGTCGCTGCTTGAAGACTGTCTCAGGTCCCTCGCGACTCCGGTCAAACAAATAACATAATTAGTAATGTATAGTTATTGCATCGGTTTTATTTGTGATTTGTAACTATTTTTTGGGATGACAAATAAACGATTGATTGATTGTAAGTCAACATTTTTTAATTAGTAACTAGTTACTAGATCCTCTCCAACATTACAGCGCGCTCTGTTTTTTTGAAACGGTAAATGCTTCGAAACCAAACGACACGTAAACCTTGCCAAATATGCTGACAATAAGACCAATTTCTTCGGATTTTCATTTTGTCTTTGGGAGAAAAAAAAACGATAAAACGGTTACCGGTACTTATGAAGCCAACCCCGCCGCTTTTCTTGTTTGACAAGTTCCAGTTACCAGTCCTCATAGCCTATGCGATGCGATGGATTCCTTATGTTATTGGGAATTATGGCCACCTGAATTGCATAGATTTAGGTGGTGGAGAAAGACGTAATCTATCAGTGGTGCGTTTCATGAACGATACAATTTTCAGAATTATCTTTGTATAATTTATGGGGAACCACGGCTTCCTATATATTTAACGACCCATGTCAAGTATGAGAAAGGGACAGTTGATTAATTACCGGGACGTGATAATTTCATATTTTCTGGCGTTTGTTCGACTGCATCTGCTGATGAATACCATAAAACGCAATTCAAATATTTTTTCCTTATAAGCCGATCGTGCGTATTGCCTTAAAATCGTTGCGTTGTGTATCTCGATGCACCTCATGTATTAATAATAACCCAATTATTAAGGTCCGTAAATACGGTAATTACCGTTGATATCGAAATTGTTTATTTTTACAACTATAGGAATCCGCCGTGATTGGTGAAATTAACTAGTTGGATAAACTACTCAAAATATTGAATATTTTTCAAGGAATATCGATTTGCCGAGTAAAAATTGGATTTTCATAAATGACGGGCTTTTCGAGACGGTAGCTGTGGTGTGTGCGTGGTGTAAATTGTGGTTATATTAAAATAAACTTATGAATAAGCTTTGTGCATTTTCCAAGTCAAGTTTAAAATCATCGCAACAGCCTTATAAACGCCAAATATATATATATATATATATATATATTCAGTTCCTCTGGAAAGTAATATCTACCTGCAAAAAGCCGGCCACGTTAAAATCCATCATCTCTCCGCCTAATTATGTTGTAAACTGTCATATTTGATTAATCCTGACATTGTGTGTCTGACACGTTGTGCAACAAAAGTACACGTAAGACAACGTTTCATACGCGCGTTATAATTAGGGATATAAATGCAAGGATTAGCGTTGATCAAAACGTGTGCCTTTTATTATTCGGAAGAAATATTTTTTTTATTATATATACTATTTATTTAATATCGGCCATCTTATAAATACGTTTAAGAGTAACTGTTAACATTTGATATATATATTCAGCATGAACATTTTAAAGGTTATGCAGAAAAACGACAATTTGTCTGAGTGCCAGGAGTCTTTGCTGTAGCAATACCTATATGACGAGGATGTGAATTCTACCGGTTTTCATAAAAAAAGGGACTCCCGTAGTGTGTGTACCAGGTTAGGGTTGGGTCATAATTTTATTTCGATTTTCCTTATTTTAGTTCTATTACGAGGTCGGGGACTGTCTGTGTTAGCCGAGTGAATACCCCCCTGCCCATAGGTTTCAATCCTTTCACACAACTTGATGTAAAATAGGCGAACAAAATTAGTTACCCCCCATATTGGTACACATACTTCTGGAGCGCCAAAAAACAGGGTGAGATGTATGAGACATTTTTATTTAAATACATTTTTACAAACTTATTTAATATCAATATATATTAGGAAAGTGTATGCATAGGAAAATAATAACTATCTCGTTTCCAACATGAAGTGACTGTGTACCCGTACCTGCATCAATTTGATTTTTACTTGATAAGACGTTCATTGTCATAATGAAAAGACCTGGGTTGTCTGCGTTAAAGCGCCAGGCCTATTCCTGACCAGAGAGTAGAAAATTTGAGATTTTAAAACGCTGTTGCCAACCATAATAAACATCAATCAAAAGTTGTTGGTGATACTACGATTCGAAATCAATTTTGGACAAAACTTTTGCCAGACAAAACGAGGTATTCCATGCAATTCAGAATAACGAATCAGCTAATATTGTGTGAATCTGTATCTGCAGTTGGATTAACGTTCCTACAAATGTGTGTTAAATAATTCAAATATTTTGGGTGAGTGAACACGTACCACTTGTTCTTGGCAAAACCTTTCATCTTATATAAATTCTGTACGTTTTAAACCTTGTCTAGGGTTTTGTTTGCTCTCCTGATTTCATAATCAGTTTTTATTTATATTTTTTTATCAATCATTTTATTGTTATGCTTAATATGGAGTCGAAATAAACTTATACTTATAAAACAAGACATGTGTTACAAGTATATGACTGTTTTTAGCAGAAAAGATAACATGTTCCGATTTTGTTTGTATGGTAGTATTTTGTGTCCTCAGGCTTTTTACTTAAACCAATCAACCACGATTCATAACTGTTTTGGAACTTTTTGAAATGTAAATCTTGTAGTTTGACATTTGGCTGTGAATGGATTTATATTCAGAACGAATGGATCTGTAATCATATTTCACAATACTTGTGGACTGTGATAACATCTTCTCATTTATGACGTTAACTTGACGCATAAACCTAAAGACATAGTTTTGTTGTTTGTCTGTTTTCTCTTGAAATTTCAGCATTCACTTCGATCGCTCAGTTACACGCTAATATTTTTTCTTCCAAAGTTGAAAAGTAGGGAACAGAGAACAAGAGGATATTGACTATAGAACATTTTAAAACTTAGCGCGACGTGCTTGACTACGCTGGCGTCCGAACTTCAGGTATGCCACTCCGCCGAGTTGTATTTAGCTGCTTGTCGAACACTGGAGTAAATACTAAACAAAGCAGTTTTCTACTAGTAGGTGATTTTTCGATGAGGTTTCGGCAAATCTGTATCAAACTTAGGCTTTTGTTCAGAACGGAGATGAGTAAATGAATGAATATGCAATGGCACCGTTGAACAGACAAAATGGAGAACTAGACCAGAAAATTTCATACTTATGAATAAGATCTTCTATTAATGATGTAAAAACCTGGCAAGGGAGATTGAAAACAAGTCCACACAACTACGTAGCGTTTATCAGAATATTCCTTGCACAGAGCTTGTGATTCGGTTTTTTAGGCGAGGTCAGATTTTTAGGCGAGGTCAAATTCCGTGTTAATGCGGTATGGCAATCATAAATATTTTTATATTTATTTTAATACCAAATTGCTTATGTTTTTAACGTAAGCAGCCCATTTATCACTGATTTGCCACTCACTTCAGAAGGAGAGAGAGAGAGAACTCCTATATTGTTATGTCATAATTATTATAATATTTTTAATATAACATATATATACGTTACTTTATAAAGTATTCAAAATGTCCAAAAGCGAGGTCTCGTTTTCAAATGAGTTGAATATTAATAATATTAATATGACCTAAAATATTGCTAATCCTCTGAATCGAAACATAGTTTGCCCAATGTCCCCCTTTTTGTATCATATATATATATATATATATGGTGAGCTTATAGCCAAATTATATCTAAACTGATCTGATATGACGTTAGAGCTAAAAAGCAATATCTACCTGCAAGAAGTCGACCACGTTTAATTCCATCACATATCCGCCTAATTATAATGTAAACCGTCATATTTGACTAAGCAGTGAAACGGCAATTTTTCGGAGTGCGAGAACAAGGGCGTATCCAGAAATTTTCAAATGGGAGGGCTCTGAAGTTGCTATTTGCCAAGTCAGACGAAACAGCTGGCGGGTCCGGCGAACGCCGAAAACGTGTGTTTTCATGAGTATTGAGGGTCTAAAAAGCGTTTCAAGATACGAGAAATTGCCATGTATTATACAGAAAGTCTTTGCTGTAACAATACTAATATGACGCGGTTGTGAATTCTGACGATTTTTATGAAATAAAAAATAAAATAACAGGGCGAGAAGAGCCAGACATTTATTTTAATACAATTTTACAAACATATCTAATTTTGAAATCGAGAAATTTAATATCGTATTTTTATATTCAATATCAGTATTGGGTCAATAATAACTATCCCGTTTCCAACATGAAGTGAGTGTACCCGTAGCTGTATCAATTTGATTTTTACATGTTAGTAGACTGTCAATGTCATAATGAAAAGGCATGGGTTGACTGCGATATAGCGCCAGGCCCATTACTAACCAGAGAGTATAGAGTTCGAAGTTTTAAAACGCTGTTGAAGTTCACAAGAAATTAATCCAACCAATCATGATAACATCAATCAAAAATTGTTGTTGATCTACTGTCAGAAAACTACGATTCGAAATCAATTTGGGACAGAACTTTAGTCAAACAGGGTCTTTTATGCAATTTAGAATAACGAATCAGCAAATAATAGGTAAAAATGTGTCTGCAGTCGGATTAACATTCCTACAAAAACAAAGATATTTTTGTTACAAGTATGACTGTTTTTAGTAGAAAAGATAACGTGGTTCGGTTTTGTTTGTATGAAAGTATTTTGTGTCCGCAGGCTTTTTACTGAAACCCTGTCAAGCACGATTCATAAATGTTTTAGAATTTTAAAAAATGTAAATCTTGTATAGTTTGACATTTGGCGGTGAATGGATTTATATTCAGAACGAATGGATCTGTGATCATATTTCACAATACTTGTGGACTGTGATAATTCTTCTCCTTTATGACGTTAACTTGACGCACGCATAAACCTGAAGACATAGTTTTGTTGTTTGTTTGTTTTCCCTTGAAAATTCGATAATTACTTCAATCGCTCAGTTCATGCCAGTATTTTTACTTCTGCTTCTAAGTTGTAAAGTAGGGAACAGTTGAATTTTAACTTATTTAACATTTTACGCGCGATGTGCTTGACTATGCTGACTTTCTGGTATGCCACCCTACCTAGTTGTATTTAGCTGCTTGTCGAACACTGGAGTAAATACTAAACAAAGCAGTTTTCTACATGTAGGTGATTTTTCGATGTCGGTTTCGGCGAATCTGTATCAAACTCAGGCTTTTGTTCAGAACGGAGATGAGTAGAGAATAAATATGATAATTGAAAAGCACAGTTCAACAGGCAAAATGGACTATTAGACGGGGAAATTTTATATTTCTGAATAAGATCTCATATTGATGATGCAAAAACTTGGCAAGGGAGATTGAAAACTAGTCCACACAACTTGCATTTTCTTGCACATAGCTTGTGATTCGGCTTTTTAGGCGAGATCATATTTTTCAACTCATATTTCCGTCGGTTGGCCACATTTCGAAATTATGCGTTTTTTTTTGGATCTGATAACACCGATACTAATAGCAGACCGCAATACGGAGGTCGCCCAGGGCTAAATATCTAGTTTAACAGTTTTGGAGTGTAGTTCTCAGACGAAGACTACGGTTATATTTATGGACACCGTATTCGATTTAACCTCGCACAAAAACTATGGTTGATTTGGGTCAGTGTCAGCTGTTTGCATATAGAAAAAAGGAATTCAGTCGAGACAACAAGTCTGTTAGATTATTATTAAGCGAGTAATACTTTTTCTACAGTTTGGATGAACAAGATTTACAATTTATGTAAACATTTACAAGTAATAGTTAAACAAAATACGTTTTACAGGTTAAAAAACACAATGATAGCAATGTCATCTCCATATGAGAAAGAGTTGAATACTTCACCAACAAAAAAACTGAACGTTTTTGAAGGTATCCGTTATCTTTCGGGATTCCTCTGTCGTCGATTCCGCAACGCGCTTCTTATTATATTAATTAGTCTATTTTTCGTTTTCATTCACTGCAACATTGAAAACAAATGGACCCAGAAATATGCACCTACTAAAGTATTGGTGAATAATTTGAAGAAGCGAACGTTTGACCGCGCCATTTTGACTAGAGAGCATATTATGTCTGCTACAAGGAATGATAGTTTTTCTACGAAGTCAGTTTCTATTACATTAACGAAACCTCGAAACACCCTTTCTCCAAAATTCAAACATTCACCGCAAAGAGGAAACAGCGATAAAATTACTATAAGTGCGGTATCTTCAACACCTGTATTACGTAGTGCGACAATTGAATCCACAACAAAAAGAAGCAATGTTGAATATACATCACTCAGCGCAACAGAAATAAAATCAAATACGGAGACAAAAGTTTCATCTAAATATGAAGTCAACGATAAAAAATATCATAAAAACTGGTTAACGGCGTACACGGCAGGTTTGCCTGAAAATCTTCACTATTTACTCGAGACTTTACTTCTGAGGGATTTTACAGTCGGAGATAATTTTTCGGTATCAACTGACGATCGGACAAATAGAGTTCCTCCGTGTAAGCGGGGATACTTCAGATTAAATGGAATGCGATCTTGTCACAAATGGCTTCAATGCGAGGAAACATCAAAAATCGTAGGAGATGAATTGTATGGCAGCGGAGTTGGAAAAATTGTAAGTATATTCCGAAATGTTCACCCATATGCCAACACCATTACAACTTATATCAGATTTGAATCACTGATTTTAGTGACGTGCGTACTGCCAATCACTGGCGATACCTATTAAAGCTATGACGTGCTTGTACAAAATGGCGCCTGTGGCAAAGTTGAGAATGCGCGTTCATAATATTATTTGAGATTTATGTTCATTCGCTTGAAACGTAAAATATATATATATATTACACTTAAAAAAGAGAATAAATAACAAATTTCCCTTCCATATTTGTCGAGCGTGTTTGCGCTCTGTGACGATATGTATTCAAGCTTGTCATATACCAAATACCCGACCTTAAAAAGCGTTATGAGTGGTACAGGGTAGAGCTAAGATCTGAAGCCCGACCCGACCCGAAATTCGGGCCGGGTAGGGACTGAAATGTCAATCATTACGTTCGGGTCGGGTCGGGCTTCACTGTCGCTGACTTTTTTTTTCAAATGAGGCGTTTTGGCCACGAGAGACCGTGGTCTGCAAAAAACAGAAGTTGCCTCATCAACACATACTAAACTCTTGCAATGACAATTTAAAGAATTCTCAAAAAAAAAATGAAATTTCGGGTTTGCTTCGGGCTTGGGCCTGCAAAATCCAGTTAACTTGTCGGGCTTGGGTCGGGTTTATTACCCACGGGCATGGGTCGGGCCGGGCTGGAATTTTTGGGACCGATCTTACCTCTAGTACAGGATGCCCCCAGAAAGCTTGTCATTTGGAACATATTCTAGCTCGGTAGTTCTTAAACGGTGGAGCGCGGCCCGCAAGGGAGTCGTAGACATTTTTTGAGGGGGCGCGAAGTGAAGCGTCCTGAAACATTTGGTAACCACCATACACCAACAGAAGTTCAAAAGTTAAATAAATTTTCTTCCTTATCGCCTTTATCGTAGAAGTGATAAAGAAATTTATGGGTTCGATTTTTTCAGGTTATTTATGTATATATATATTCTCACTGCAATTCGACTGATTACATTTTTTTAGATTCAAGCTGCTAAATGGCGAAACATGTACGATGTTGCGGTGGTCAGTTTACGTAAAGATCGAATAAAGTACAAATGGTTTGTTCGACGAGTACAATCTGGTGTAAACAACATGCTGATGGTTCAACCTAGTCCGTATGCAACACAGGTAAGCTGTTTTCATAATATGATTCCCAACCGGAAATTTGTAATAAAAATATACAAGGTCAAAAATTACTGAATTTTTTGCACACATATTTAAACCAGTGGTTTTCAAACTTTTAGGCAACGCCCCCTTTTTAGAATTAGACAAGTCTCGCCACCTACCTCAAAATTAACTAGCTAACAATAACCTACAAATAACAGATAGTAAGGCGAAAGTATGTTTTATTCAAAAAAAAAAAGTTGAAAATACGTGGATGGAAGGTAAATATCGTAAATGAAAAAAAGTAAATATCTAAAATAAGGCGGGCAAGATCAAATCTAGCAAATCTTTTTATTTTTTTCAATTAGCTGCACGCCTCCTCATTGAAAATATTGAAACGGAAACGGAGTTTTTATGCATATTGGGGGGTATACTGAGTTTCAAAATAAAAAAAAGGCCGAAATGTAGCAAACAGTTGGGAATCACAGCTGTAGAACATCACATTCGCTACAGGTATCCCAGTTCAAACGGCGATTCCCCGGTTATTCGCTAGTCTCATGGCTCATTTAATACACGGTAATTTCTAGTAATAATCTCTCATAATCGATTTGCAAAATTCATATGGTATTTCCCATTAATATCAGTAATTTTGGAACTCTCCTTCCCAATCTGTTGAATGAGATGTTAGAACCTTGCGTGTCGCTGTTCGATAACCAGTTTTGGTTCTTCGCGGCTTCCATTCCCCGGTAATGTAAATATAATTTTTTTCCTAATTTTTTGCATGATTTCTGTCGTTTTACCGGTTGGAAAAAATAAACTTAACTTGACTTGTATTCAGAAAAAAGTGATTATGTCCCTGTTCATTATTGATCATATACATTGACTTTGGATTTCTTTGACTCATTGTCCGTTTTGAACACATAGTGTACGTATGGATTTTGCTGAATTGTTGTTTTTAGTCTTGTTGTTGTGATTTAGGTCACGGTGGTGCAAACTGCGCCGACATATTCCGTGCGGCACGCAGAACAATTTTAACTTACACTCTAAATCAGTGTTTCCAGTTACACTATCGTCTGGCCAAACCATTTTTAACACCCAACTTTTTATCTATACCAGGTTGTTGGATATTGCGAGAAAGGCAACACGACAGTAATGGTCATGGAAGCCTGCAAACAAGGCAATTTCCGTTCTTTCTACTGTGGGGGAAAGTTTCGTCAACTGCCTGTGATACAGAAATTCCAGTTTGCAATACAAATGGTCGCACAGTTTGATTATTTGCACAGAGGGCTGGGATTGCCCAGAGTTCACTGCGATCTACATACCGTGATGCAGGTAAGTCGGTATATTGTTGACCGGGTTTATTATGTAAAAATATTGAAAAGTACCAAATAATTTCCCAATAATAAAAATGCCCACATTCACCATGAACGCTAACCCAGAACTACAAAATATGTTTGTCTTTGTACAAAAGATCCGATCAGCTCCCCGATACAAAGATGAAGTCTGAAAAACTCGATGTACTCGGAGATATGTTACAAGACTTAGATCTCCCCTAGTCATGTTGAAATGAAAAGCAAGCTTTTGGTGAAATATTCGGGTCGTACAGAAATTCCAAAAAATAAAATATTAGCCATTTTACTCTATTCTTGAACGATAAATATACTGAAAACTGACTTGAGATTGATGTGATTCTTCATGATATTGTTAGATGTCAGTTTCTGCGTTTATTTAGCCTTGTTCGGAGAAAAAGGCACGAGTAAGCGTTGTATTAAAAAAAATTGCACTCTGCAAATTTTCGGGCTGGCTACGCTCTTGTGTACACTACGTATCCAATAAATAAGTGAATAATAAAAGTTACTTTGTTATTTTTTCTAGGCATTCGGACAATATGTTGTAAGTAACGATGGACGATTGTTTTTGAGCGATCTTGATGAAATTCCACAAATCAATCGAGAAAACAACTCATTTCCAACTTGCGAGTAAGTTTGCTTATTAATATAGGCAGCATAGCTCTTCTGAAACACTATAATTTTGATGCAATAATTGATACCTGTTGTTCCAGTAAAGCGCTCACGAATAGCATTGCACTTCAGTTAGGGCGTACTCGTTAAAATATTTGAAGCGATAAATATTTTTTGATTTTTGCTTCCACTCTGACATTGTTTTATTAAATCTAAGGTCAACGAAAGGTCCGAGGATAATTACGTGTTTCTGCGATTACGCCCCGAGCTAAATGAAAGTTTAATATTTCTGTGGCTTTTTCAATATTTCTTGTTTCCATTAGCCATTCGCCACGAGTTAGAAAGAAACCTTTACTTTATGGCATAAATTGTATATTATTCAATTCAGCGAACTTGCTGCAATTCGCCTTCAAACTTAGAATGATTCGCTGATATGTCAAATACCGATGCATGGTTTACTGAATTCCAAATTCTGGCCAACTATTTTAAGAAAGATTTACTTCAAACTCAACTTCAAAGTGACCTTGTGGCTCTTAATATTTCAAAAGAATAAAAATATTTCCAATGTAATCAGTGCTAGCATTCAAAATTTTAAAAACAAGTTTTCTTCTGATTCGAATTCACTAAACATAATTTATTTTCGCATCCCAGAAAATATATGTATGTCACTATAACGTAAGCTACATTACTATGATACACTTCACGTGAATCTAATACATAACTTTCAAAACGCAAAATGTAACGCTAATAAGCTGCGATGCACACGTTACCAATGTGCTGTAGTCATCTAATAACGTCTAAAAAATAAGAACAGTTTCACCGATATTACAATATTCCCAAAACGGGTTTCCCGGAAAAATCCTCTGAATCCCACCACCCAGTGTAACAGTCAATTTACAGTATAATGTTGGCATTGTACTATAAATCAGGGTTTCCCAAACTTTTTCGGCCGCGGACTTATGTTTGTGTATCTTATTTTTGACTGTCTCTCATCCTATGTCGTATCAATCTCTGTGACTAACCAACGAGAAAAAATAGTGTTTCCTTTTACGAAATAAAACTCCTGAAAGTCTGAATCAATAAATACTAACGATTAATACTGAAAGGCTAACGGCAATTCAATAAGAATATGATATATTTCTATAGGTTTCAGATTCTTTCCATATCGGCGCGTACCCTCTGTGCACTTGCCGCGAGCCTCCAGGGGTCAGCGGGACCCAGTTTGGGAAACCCTGATACAAATAGTACCAAATGTCACATCCATTATTAACCATTTGTATTTCATTAATTGAAATTTCATTCAGATGTGAACCAATGGGCATCATGAGCCAACCGGAATTTTTGGCTCCAGAAATAAGATACACTCAACTAGAATTTAATGACGGAGTATCTCGCAAGCCTGTAACGGAAGCTGCGGACGTTTGGAAGATTCCGGATCTTACGGCCAATATCTTGTTTTCCGTGAAGGGTCACAGATCCTTTGAAATTTACAAATTGATGGAATACCATCTGAGTCCAGATCTGCAAGAAATACACGATAAATGTAAAAAGCGCAATCCGAAGGATAGACCAAATTCGAGGGAAGTTTTAATTCGTTATCTCGAGGTTTACGAAAAGTTATTAAAAGACAAACGTAAAAGATGATTACACCAATAACCAGGGCCATGACAATTGTGTCATTCATATAAAAGCAAAGGGGTACTCATGTAGTATGTGAACCAAGATGGCGGATAGTGTTAAGGTTGGGCCATAATTTCAGGTGCAAATACAACGAGAGTCACTTGGCTAGTCCCCGGACTCGTAATAGAACAAAAATAAGGAAAATTAGAATAGGATTATGTCCTAACCCTAACCTGGTACACATACTACGGTCAGGTGTCCGCCATCTTGGTGCAAATACTACGGGAGCGCCAGCAAATGTGGTATTTGAGAATAAAAAGGAAGAATTATATGCAACAATCCGGGATATATTGACGAAGGAAATTATAGTGGTCGTTATCTATCAATGAAAGCGCTTTGGAAAAGGCTCCGTGCCCTGGAAACAAGTATCAACAGTTACCAAGAAAAGAGATTGACTAAGAATTACGAGTGCCAACTTTTTGAAAGACGAACCATTTTCATGCAAAAAAATTTGAAGGAATTTTCGTCAATTGGGTTTATCATTATTACGTATTGCCCAACTCTTTGTAAATCGAATGATTTACATAGACGAATATTTAACGCTAAAAATAAGAGCTAATTTTTCTTATCCGATTAGTTAAAACAACTATTCATCTTCAAAGTAATCTCGCTGTATGAATTCTGTGACTTCATGTAGAATTCGGTGGTGCTTCATTGTTTATTTATATTTTATTTCTTATATATACTTTTAATTTCTGTGCATAGGATAGGATTTACATATTATCCCGGGGAGTGGAAAGCCATTAGAACGGCTTAATCATATTCCTAATCACGGATACCAGTCCATGTCGGGTATGAGATGAGTTCAGCCAGCTAGTTGTTTTCATATACATGGCCTTGATGGTGGAGAACCGTGGTCACGTGAATCACCTTGCAATTTATATGACCTATTTATACGCATTCTCTCCGAAAACGGCTCCACATAAGCAGCCACTGCTGGGTGATGAGCTTACTATGAGTTTGGATAGAACGGAACCTTTCCGTTTCTGCATTGTCTACCCAATATATTATATTACACCGTTGGTGAGGTGGTGGTGATGAGCGTGTCCGGTAAATTCGCCGCAGGAAATTTAGTCGCATAGGAAAATTCGCGGCATGAAAAATCGCAGCAAGAGAATTTTGCTGTAAAATAAGTATATATTTGTGATAGCATGAAAAATCGCCGCAAGAGCATTTTGCTGTAAAACAAGTATTTGTGATAAGGTTAGGGTATGCTCTTAAATAACGACGCTTTTTCAAATAGAAAACTGTATTTATCACAAATACTTGTTTTCAGCAAAACGTTCTTGCGGCGATTTTTCCTACGCGACGAAATATCCTGCGGCGAGATTTTATACGACGAATTTTCTTAGAACCGGTAATGATATGTGAACCTACGATGGCATCTACCGCTTGCACCACTAGGCCACCGCGCCAACGTCGTGTTTTATTAATTGATTTCACACATATTAAGCCTCAGGGATGCACATTGAATATATTATTTTGTGAATGTCTCCAAATCAATATATTATTTGTTTTCTGTATTCCTCCACAAGACGAATAAACAACGTACACGTATATTTTCAAGTCGAATATTTCTTGTAATTATATCCATGGCAAGATGCAATCTTTGGAGTTATATTGTGGCGGTGTTGGAAATATACAAGGAAAAATGAGAAAACAAATTGACATCTTATTAGATCACTTTTAATTGCGGATAAAAACGAAGATAGTGTTATTTGAGATGGGAAATCTCGTAAACGTTATTTGCAGATTACAGATTTAAAGCGAATCAACAAAATCCTTCAAGAATAATTTTAACTGTTAAGAAGACTTCAAGATTTTGTCGACCAAATTAAAAAGTTACTGGGTCTTGTTTTTTTAATAGTTTTTAAGTCCAACAGTTCTCATTCACATAGACGTTCATTAATTGAAGCACAAACAACGAAATCATACGACACAACAATAATAACAAATTGGTATCCTGATTGCCATACAAGTCTATGTTGTCGAATCCTAATTAGTTCAGTAATCAGTAATTTATTTTTCCACCAATACTGAAAATACGCAACATACAAATACGAGCAAAATAAGATAAGGATAGTATTTGCAGAGTGGATGGAGACGCTGAAAACCAGTACTGGTTATCGAGCAGCGACACCTGGATGGGGTCTAACACACCATAAAAAAAACGAAGTAAAAATACAAAGCTTAAATTAAATGTTAATATAGTAACAAAGTAGTCACTCTAGATACGGTGACTACTAGACACGTGATATAGCATAAAAACAATAAATAAAGTAGAAGGCTTAAATTAAATATAGAAACAGAGTAGGCCTATGGCTTCATTAACAGAGTAAAACTGTTCATAAATCGCTAATTCTCTCTCAATTAGTCGGCGATAATTACCCTCGTTGACCAACGGGAATTTATTCGATTTATTGGACGACCAGCGGGTACACATTGTGAACGTAAACTCCGGCTGGTTATGACTTCTTTCGTCATTCAAATCTTTGCACATGGAACGATTAAATTAAATTCTTGTGTCAAAAATTATTGCATCTTAACTTCAGAAAACACAAAACAATTAACAAAATAAACATTTGCTCACATCGAACACCTTTTTCACTTCTGAGTATTTTATAAGAAAATTTGTCAAACCAAAGAGTGGGGGTTATCAGAGAAGTCATGACGTCCGCTGAATTGATAAGAACTATACTGATAATGTACTAACCAAGAATTACAGTGATGAATTTCGCGATAGTAAATATCGATGGACACGTGATTTGAAGCAGTCGCGGACAGTATGATCAGAAAAATAGCTACAGGGTAATGATTTCGCATAACTGAAGTATTGAAAAATTTTAGCATAAAATGTTTTTTTTAAATACAGTAATATGAAAGAGTTTCAAGAGAGTGAGAGAGAGAGAGAGTTTATTTCATTTTGTCAAACCAAGAAAACAATTTATGCACACATAAACAAATATCAAAAAAATAGTTTTCGGTATATGACTGGGGGGCAACGATATGACCTTTGGGGGTCATCAGAGTCAGTTGCCACCCAATTATATTAAATAAGCATAAAAATAACAGGTTCGTGTCAATATATCAATGTCTCTCACGATTTATACTATGTACAATATTTACATGAATTTACTATTTTCAATTATGGAAGCATTCTTTTAAATAATGGGATTTTGCACAAATTGAAATTATATTGCAAAATATAAAATGATCGAAACAAAAAAAAGTGGGAAAGCAGGTCAGACAAGCTACCCATTATTTGGGTAACTTGTTTTATGGAATGAATATAAGTTAAACATATCAAGTGGAATTGTGAAAGGAAATTTTTTGCAAGGAAAATTAAGAGCTTTAAAAAGTTTATTTTAGCTGTTTTTGTGGAAATATATATATGACTGGAATTCAATATCAGCTGTTCCTTTCGTCCTCTTGAGATTATACAAAGGTGGTCGCTAGAAACACAGAAAACAGCTACCGTATCAATTTTTACAATGACAAATAAAAGATTGATTGATTGATTGATACAAGAATAACGTTTACAAAGTTTTTTTTAAAGGCATAAGTTATATTGCACTCATAGATGCTCGAAATTTCCATCCGTGCACATCAGAGCAGTGTTATAAGTTATAACTTAGAAGTCCAAGCTCATGGAGCGTTTTGAAGGTTAACTTATGGGATATCGTTCCAATTCAACCTCCACCTATACGCATTTTATCCGTGATCTCATCTGACTTTCAAATTTTCTGCTTCTCTTGGAACCACCCTCTAGTTTGGCGATAGAGAGCTGCTGAGAAGTCTAGTCAAAGCTTTTGTTGTATTGCTGAAAGCAAACGGTTCCCAGTTTGGCCAAGGGAGGAGGGTTGGTAGCATAAAAGTCATATTGGGGATGGCAAAATAGGGATGGCGAAATACGGTCGAAAGGTGGCAGATTAGGGATGGCGAAATAGGGTCGAAAAGCCAAATTGGGGATGGCAAAATGCGGTCGAAGCGTGGCAGATTAGGGATGGCGAAATACGGTCGAATGGTGGCAGATTAGGGATGGCAAAATGCGGTCGAAGCGTGGTGGCAGATTAGGGATGGCGAAATGCGGTCAATGAGTGTCAGTTTTTGCTAAATCGACTGTCATAATGCGCTGTTTAGTATACAGATAACAATAAACAATTGCCTCAAAATTACAAAGAAATATGGCCAAAGTGTTTAGATTTGGGGCTGATGAAATGGATTAGTACCTGTCAAATTCGGGCTGGGAAAACACAGTCGATGAGTGTCAAAATGGGATGGCGAAATGGGGTCGAAGCGTGGCAGATTAGGGATGGCGAAATGCGGTCGAATCGTGGCAGATTAGGGATGGCGAAATGCGGTCGAAGCGTGGTGGCAGATTAGGGATGGCAAAATGCGGTCGAAGCGTGGTGGCAGATTAGGGATGGCGAAATACGGTCGAAGCGTGGCAGATTAGGGATGGCAAAATGCGGTCGAAGCGTGGTGGCAGATTAGGGATGGCGAAATACGGTCGAAGCGTGGCAGGTTAGGGATGGCAAAATACGGTCGAAGCGTGACAGATTAGGGATGGCGAAATGCGGACGAAGCGTGTCAAATTGAGGGTGGCGAAATAGGGTCGATTCCTGTCAGGTTAGAGAGGATGAAATATGGTCGATGCGTGTCAGATTAGGAAGGGCGAAATAGGGCAGTGGGTTGACGGGTGTCATGTTAAGGATGGCGAAATGCGTGTCAGATTTGGAAACGAACATTGCCAAATTTAAGGAACTAATCTGATCAGTGTTTCACATTTTAAAATTCATTTAAAAGGTATTGTCCGATTTTCCATCGTGTCTTTATTTTATGATTAATTTTAATGTTTTATATATTATTACATTTTTCTCATCAAGTCTTGAACATTTTTTTTATATTTTTCTGATTAATAATTTTAATACAATCTTTTAATGTTTAATATATTATTACGTTTCTCTCATCAAGTTTTGGGTACTCCTGAAGTATGCGCACCAAGATGTCGCACAACCTGAACCCTAACCTGGTACACAACCTGAGTTCAGGTTGTGCGCCAGCTTGTTGCGCATATTTCAAGAGGTCTGCATTGGCTGGCATAGCATTGTGGATCGTGCCTTCATTTATGAGGTCATATGTTTTATCTCTTTCGTCATGGAAATTTCAATTTTTCCCTGGTATTATTGTCTCTACTCATTCTCCGTGTTTCGTTAATTTCCATTCTCAAAATTTCTTTCGAAGTTAATTGGTTTTATAATTTGAATATAACCTTTTGATGTAAAGATGTGTTCGATATATTATGCTATAAAATGATTTTTATGATATTGGGTGAATTCCTATCTAGAGGAGAGTCTTTGAATAGGAATATACGTTGTAGTATTACTCACTTTTGTATAATATTATTCATGAAAACGCGACAAACTATTTGAACTGCGTAAAAATGAAAATGCGACTTTTGTATAACACTGGCAAAGAATCTACAAAAGGCAAGGTAATTAAACATAGGGATTTTGGTATAAACAGTTCAAAAACCAACTAATAGAAGATTTCAACACAAAATGTTGGAAACCACCAAATTCATCCATTTTATCGTTTTTCAGAAAGAAAATGTCGAAGACTAGTTTGACTTTTTAGGAATCTTCTTGCATGCTTTACTTCTTGAGGAACATAATTACCATTACTTGGTACAAAATCCAACCCATGTCTTACTGGATAGCGAATGAGCAACTTATAAATTAATGTGTTACGTGTAACGCAAGTCTTGTTCTCTGTTGCAATTGAATTCCAAGGAAAGACGCATTTGCGACGAATTTTTCGTGCTGTTTGGAATAGGGTGGGTTAGACCTTGGTGCTATATATATCCGCATTGTTTAATATTTAATGGTGCTTTTAACTGGCGTAGTTTCGTGCACCGTTATTTCGCGTTCAAATGCGTTTGATGAGGGATTAATTTTGAGCTAGTAATACGTTCAATATTCATATCTAATGGTTGTAATATTTGTTCTGGTGAGTATAAGATACAAAAAGCCTTTCTAGATTTTCAATTGAAATCAAATGAAATTATACTTTCAAAAACTTATAGGCGAAATGTTTTGAAAACATTCTGCGCTGAGCAGGGTCTCTATAATTGTACGGACATTTAGCGAAATAAAGCCAGTGAAATACTTCCCTGAATATTCGACATTTACACTGGAGTCAAATTACTATTAATCTGCAACTGAAAATTTCCAACCTAATTGTTTTTGAACTTTACAAAACAATCTCAAACATTTGATGGTCAGAAAACGCTAATGTTTTATGTAGTAGTCAGGGAACACGCAATTTGATGGGTTAGTCTAGCAGGAATGGCGAACCTTTTTAAAGAATTGGGTCGAAAATTATTGTTGTATCGTAGAAAAGAAGACTGTGATTCGTAGACAGGGTTGTCCAAAACGAATCAAATATTCGAATACATTTTCGGCTGATTTTCGAATAATATATAGTCTCTTTTCATCGTAAACGCGGTTTTTCGTTTTTGCGGGAATCTTCAAACGATTTTACACATTCATTTCCATTACGTCAAGAAGTTGAAGATTATTCAATGTCGTAATTGTTATGATACCC